ACGCTACGTCCCCGACATTCCGCAACGTGGTGTTTAGGAATTCCAAAGAGAAGACGTTGGAGCTCGCCACAACGCACACCAAGATCGTCCGCCAGCTGACGGAGGAGTGCACGGCAAAGCATGGAACCCGCTTCCGTTACGAATACAGCCCGGAGACGTTCACCCAGACTGAGCCAGACTTTGCGATCGAGGTCTGCGAAGCTGTCAAGACAGCATGGGGCAAAGCGGGTACCGGCGAGGATCGCATAACGTTCAACCTACCTGCGACTGTCGAGTGCGCGCCTCCTAATCACTATGCAGACCTGGTGCGTATTCTATCGATGCATTATCTCGTTGTCCACTTACGGCGCTCAGATCGAGAACTTTTGCAACACGATCACCGAACGCGAAAAAGTCATTGTCAGTTTACATCCTCACAATGACCGAGGTACTGCTTGCATGCCCCAGCCGATGCTAGACTAATCATCCCGCAGGGAGTGGCATCGCAGCAGCAGAGCTCGGTTGCCTTGCAGGGGGCGATCGTGTGGAGGGCTGCCTCTTCGGGAACGGAGAACGAACCGGCAACGTGGATCTCGTGAACCTCGCCCTCAATCTGTATACTCAGGGCATCCGGCCCGAACTCGACTTCAGCGACCTCGACAGCGTGATCGATGTCGTGACAAAATGCAACGATCTGCCGATTCCTGCCCGGTACCCGTATGCTGGAGAACTCGTCTTCACCGCATTCTCTGGATCTCACCAGGATGCCATCAAGAAGGGCTTCGAGGCGCAAAAGATCAAACACGCCGCGGCTGCTGCAGCAGGCGAGCCGCAGTACTGGGACATTCCGTACTTGCCAATCGACCCGGCAGACTTGGGCATGAACTACGAGGCTGTGATCCGGGTCAACTCGCAGTCGGGCAAAGGCGGTATCGCTTACCTCATCAAGCAACATCTGCAGCTTGATCTGCCGCGCAAGATGCAGATCGCGTTCTACAACGTTGTGCAGGAGGTCTCCGATCGCGAGGCGCGGGAGATGACCGTGGACGACATCACGACTGCCTTCCGCGAAACGTACCACTATGGTGGATCCAAGTACAAGGGTCGCTTGGCGCTGCGCCACTTCAAAATTTCCACTGAGCCGACGGCTGATCCGTCGGATCATTCTGGGGACGAGGACGAGCGTCGGAGGTTTGATGGCACGATTTCTGTGGACGGGGTTTTGCGTGTGATCCGGGGAGACGGGAACGGGCCTCTCTCTGCGCTGTTGGATGCGCTGAAAACGCATTTGGACATTGACTTGTCGATTCGAGAATACTCGGAGCACATCATCGGCGAATCTGACGGCCAGAATGCCAAAGCAGCATCCTACGTGCAAGTCGTTCCTGGCGATGATCGCAAGTCAGCCACGTCCTGGTGGGGTGTCGGATCTGACTCGGATATCGCCGGCTCGGGTCTGCGGGCGTTGCTCAGCGCTGTCAATGGCGCAATTGGCGACCGTCCTCTTCCGGAACTCAAGTTGACCGTCGGCTTCAACTCGCGCTCCGGTCAGGCGGACATTTCCAGTGTCATCGTCAATTCGCTCGGCCTTGAGCTCCCGCGCCGCTTCCAGGCGTCGTTCTTCGAGGTCGTGCAACGTGCAGCACGTGACGCCGGTGGCGAGATCTCAGTGGGTGCCCTGACGGAGCTGTTCCAGAGGACATATGCCTACGATCCTACTGGCAAGTTGAAGCGGCCCATCTCTGTCGATGCTTTCAAGATTGGGGGAGAAGGCAGCAGGAGAGTGATCACCGGTCAGATCGACTTCAACGGAGAATCCAAATCCATCACCGGGGAAGGGAACGGGCCGTTGTCCGCGCTGTTGGCTGCGCTGAAAGAGCACGTGGACGGAGAACTCAGCATCCGAGAATACTCGGAACACTCTTTGGGCGAGGGCACAGAAGTTGTCGCTGCGTCCTACGTTGAACTTGTGTACGAAATCGCTGACAAGAAAAGGCGAAGTGAATGGGGCGTCGCCACGGACGCCGATATCACCGCTTCTGGCATCAAGGCTGTCCTGGGCGCCGTCGGAAAACTCGATGTAGTTGTTAAAAACTAACGCGAAGGAATTGTACCATTATTTACTTGACTTGTGTGCAAGGCACTTCATGCTGTGACTGTCAATCATGTACATAACACGTGCACACGTGATCGCTCACGTCTTGATCTAAACTTTCATCGACGCGTCAACAGCTTTCCCCCTCTATGACCTCTCCAGAACCCGGGGAGCTGATCTTTGTGAAGGAGGATGGGCGACCGATGAAGTTCTTCCTCTTCAACCACGACAGATGGCAAAGTGGTGCCCGCAACGCTATCAAGGACAGTGTTGAGGTTCGTGTGCTTATCGGTGTCCACCTCAGGACCACAATCATTCGACTGAGTCTGTCCAGCAACATGGAGGGGAAATGTCGGATGTAGACGTGGGATGTGACGTGATTTTGGTCAATCCGCATCTTGCGAGTGCTCCAGAGACGGTGCGACAGGCGTACAAAACGCACTCGGATCCTCAAGTGCGCAGCGCGCGGGTGGAGTCGGCGGGTTGGGTGAAAAGCTGCATCTCCACTCGCCAGTGCGTGCACTTCTTCGAGCAGAAACCCATGGGTGGGGTCCCTGTCGGCTACGGTAGATCGTGTGTCCCTCCTTCGGCTCGTTCCCCTTCGATCTCTGACGAGATTGCTAGCCGCGTGGAATTTACCCGGGAAGATGACGAGCGGCTTGCGCACTACCTTGCGATAACGATACCCCACAAAGATAGTGGAGGGCGTACTGGAAACAATATCTATAAGAACCTGATAGAAAACGTGCGCGCCAGCTTTCATCTCATGCTGCAACCTACTCACGCGCATGTGTACAGGCCCATACAATACCCGATGAGTACTTTTGGGCCCTGAGACATACTTGGCAAAGCTGGCGAGAACGATACAAGATGAATCAGGCCTCATTTGATCAGCGAATCAATGCACTACTGCCAGTTCTCGACCCCCAACCGCACCAACAATACGAACTTTCAAGGTATGCGCCCAAGTATGGAAAAAGAGAGGCTCCAGTCTATGAAGAAGAAGAAGAAGAAGTTGTATCCCTGTTCGGAGACGATGAAGAGCAGGTCGTGACAGACTCTAAGCCACCCGTCGCCCCTCAGCTGCTACAAAGTCACAAAAGACGTGCATCTGGACCTGCAGTAACTGATCGAGACAAAAAACGAATGCGGATTGGGTCGTTGCCACTCAAAGTATCACAGAAGGGCAAAGAAAAGTTGATGCCTGACGAGTATGCAAATACTCATTGGCCATTTGTTGACGCTCTTACTAACGAACTTTCAAGGTACGCGCCCAAGTATGGAAAGGGAGAGGCCCCAGTCTATGAAGAAGTTGTAGACCTGTCTGGAGACGATGTCGAGACAGACGCCATGTCATTCCCCGACTTCCAGCTGCAAGCAAATCGCAAACGACGTGCCTTTTTACTCGCAGCAGCTGAACGAGACAGAAAAAGAATGCAGATTGGGTCGTTGTCACTTAAGGCGTCAGAGAAGGGCAAAGAAAAGTTGATGCCTGACGAGTACGCAAATACTCATTGGCCATTCGTTGACGCTTATACCCACTGATCACGACTAGGGACAACCCTTCTGACTCAGAAAATAGCTTGTTCGATGGCGACTTCGATTTGACGATGGCTGAGCCAGCTCCTGCGGCGCAAATCCCCCTCAGTTCCCAGATGACTCTGGTGGAACCCGGACCCTCCCTTCAAGCGATGCGAACTCCAGATGCTAGCCCGGTTGCTCCAGCTTCTCCGATGCGTAGCGAAGCTCCCCCAGTGCAAGAAGAAACACCTGCGCTTCCGGAGGGACCTATTTATCGCCTGACGCGGGCGCGGTCGCGATCGCAATCTCTGGAACCGTTCGTGGATGATCCAAACGTGCTCATGCGCAAGAAGGGCAAGAAGAGAGCCCCTGCTCTTGCTCCTGTTCATGAAGATCCGTTCGTAATCGAGGAAACCCTGGGAAGCACTGTCGACGGGAACTTGGACACACAAGCAGTGGAGGATCTACTCTTAGACACGAGCGCGAGCGATCTGTCCAGAGCGAACTCTATCCCAATAGCCGCGAGAAGCGAGTCGCCAGAACTCATGCCCCCTCCTCGCCAGCCGATACGACCGGCTGTTCCTCAGTCACCAGATGACGCGCGTACCCACGGGTTGCTGCACCAGAGTCGGGCGTCCACTGCATCCCATCGCACCCAAGCTTCAATTCAGGACATACGCCGTCGTCTGGGAACGCCGCGGCTGAGCAGTGCTTCTACGAGAACGACGCCGTTCCCAACACATCAGCATTCGTCACCGAACGCCAGGTCGGCTGGAAGACCGCGCAACATCTCGAGGACGGATTCAGAGACCAGCGGAGAATCATTTCCGCTGAGCGGGACGCGCGCAAGTGCGAAGAAGCAAGAGATGAAGAGGGAGGAGATGAGGACGCCTTACCGGGCTCCATTGAATACCCGCGCGGCTGCTCTTACCAGATAGTACAGCTCGGACAGATATCGTGTACATGGATGTGGGCAGCACCGATTTTATTCGATCTTGGTTATGAATTCATGAGGCTATACTTTACGACACGCCGCGCAAGTAAAGAAAGTAAGTCTCGTTGCCATGCACCGACACACTACAAGCCACATCTTAGCGGTGGGCGCTGACGGCCCCCTAGGTCTACACAGCATACCAGTTGATTCGTTCCTCCCATGTCGAAACAGATCGTGTTTACTAAAGATGCAATCCCACCCATGCCTGTGTTCTGTATGTCTGGACGAATGCTGATTCGTACGACTTCCTAATCGCACTTGAAGCCCAGGCAACCGTCGCCCAAGGCGTGGTTTACTGCTCTGGGAATATCGGATGCACCAATGAATTCTTGGTCGTCGAGGGTGGAGTGCAGGCTCAAACCGTGAGCGATTACCGCTAAATCCGAGTGTCCCGAGGCTGACGAACGCTGTCAAGCGTGCCGCGCTGGAGAATCTCTCGATCGTGCTGAAAGCTGCAGGATCGGGATTGGAACACATTGTGAAGGTGAGTTGCAAGCGAGTCAAGGTAGAAATGGGGCAGCAGTCGGTTTATTGTCTGACTTAGGCAAACATCTACTTGACAAACATGGCCGACTTCCAAGCCATGAACGAAATCTATGCACAGGTACGCCAGCCACTCTCCATGTCGGCTTGGATAGAGACTGAGACCAGCGCGAAGTTCTTCGATAAGGATAACATGCCAGCGCGTACCTGTGTTGCGGTCGCTGCCCTGCCCCTCGGAGCATGGTACATCTCCCACCGTTCAGACCTCGCCCATTCTGACACTTTCCACAGCTTCGAGATAGAATGCACTGCCTTAGTAGCCAACGCCTGAACATGTAAATATTTGTGATTCGCACGAAGTATGATGAGAATGCATCAAAGACCCGCAAGAACAGAGAGAAGGAGGATGGCCAGCAGAGACGCCGAGAAAGGTGTTGTAAGGCATTGAAGCAGGGATTAGACACAGCCATCGTTCAACACGCCTTGTCAAATTACCTCATTTGGTTCGGTTACGGGAACCTACGCAAGCACTCGGGGGCGTGTCTGACTCTGCGCCTCTTTCCCACCATCATGGCCAGCCCGCCCAATCGCTCTACGATGTCTCAGTCGTTCTATGGCGGGGCGTCCGGCTCCTCCAGTCGCCCCTTCTTGAACATGCTCAATTCGAAGTACAAGGGGTACTCGCAGGCTACGCAGGCGCCGCTCGCAGAGGAGGATGAGTCGCGGGATAGCTTTGAAGAGGAGGAGGAGGACGCAGAGGCTGCCCGGGGTCGGAGCACCATCTTTCAACACACACCTGACGACATCCCTCTATCGAAATCACGGACACATGCGCAGCATCGCGTCTCGTGGGAGCCTCCGCCCCCTGCGTTGCATCCGAACATACAGAGAGAGGATGCGCTGCATGAGAACGATTCCGACGATGAGGTTCCGCAGAGTTTCATGATCGAAGCGGCAGCGGCGGCAAAGAGAACCTCGAAGAAGGCAAAGGGCAAGGCAAAGGCAAAGATGGAGCCATCGCCTGTTGGAGGCAGGGGCCAGCCTCTTTTCTCCGCGCCTGGAAGACAAATGCCGCCCCCGATCTTACCCACCCACACGACGTCACTGCCTCCCCCGCCATCCGCCCGGCCATCTCCCAGCGAGTACCACGCGACTTCCGACGAACCAGAACGACCACGCAAGCAAATGCGCGGCCTCGATGATTATGAGAAAGCCCTGTGGAACTGGGTCAATGTGTACAATCTGGATGCGTTTCTTCAAGAGGTGTACTATTATTATGAGGGCAAAGGGATATACAGTATTGCTCTTGCCCGCGGTCTGAATCTTTTGTTCGTCCCATCCGACTGTTCTTCGCGGCGGGCCCGCTGATTGATTGAACACAGGACCGTAGGCTTCGTCATCGGTTTCTCAACGTTCTTGCTCGGATGTGTAGACTATTCCCGGATACAGCACGAGACTTCGATGAAGCTCTCTGATGTCGTTGTGTCTCGATGTGTATCCCGGTATGTTGAGTGTTTTCATTCACTCTTCACGAGATCTAAAGGCTCTGGTAGTTTCTCCGGCTTTACGTTTATATTCTTCGCACTCTTCATAGCGTTCTATGTGTGGCAGATTGTTTCCTTCGTCTTCGCTGTCCTCCGACTCGTCGATATGTATCACTTCTACACACATCTGTTGAAGATCCCTGATGTCAGTTCTTTCACCTCAAACCTCTGGCAGCAGTTGATGACCATTTCTAGGCCGATATCCAGACCATCTCATGGCCTGAAGTTGTGCGCCGAATTGGAGCTATCCGGGAAGACAATCCGATGACTGCTCTGTCGAGTAACAAGGCCAACGACACAGGCACAGCGAAATTGGATGCGCACGATATTGCCAACAGGATACTGCGACAGGAGAACTATCTGATCGCACTCTTTAACAAGGATGTCCTTGATCTGCGGGTACCTCTCCCACCTGCTTTGAAGCGTTTCGCTGCACAGGACGGGCGGGGGACCCTACTGACCCGGGCCATGGAGTGGAACCTGCGATTTTGTCTTATGGAGTACCTGTTCGATCAGCATGGCAAAGTTCGAAAGGTGTTCCTCAAGTCAAAAAACCGACCGGTGTTGATTGAAGGGTATGTGCTTTCTGTCCCAACATCATATTCTTATTTCTCTAGATTGCGGCGCCGATTCATCTTCATGGGCATGCTCAATGCTGTATTCGCGCCGTTCATCGTCTTGTATTTGTTGATGTATTCTTTCTTCCGGTATTTCGAGGTCAGAACCACGACCTTCCGAATTACACGTTGTTGACAACACCTTCAGGAATACCACAAAGATCCTTCGACAATCGGGGGTAGACGGTTCACGTCCTATGCACAATGGAAGTTCCGAGAATTTAACGAGCTTCCACATCTCTTTTCCCGACGACTGAAGGAGAGCCATCCATATGCCAATATGTACATTGGTCAGTTTCCGAACGAGAATATGACCATCATTATGCGGTGAGTGCACACTTCGCCAACTCGACATTCGATGCTGATAGTTCGCAGATTCGTTGCGTTTGTTGCCGGTTCATTTGCCGCCGTGTTGTTTCTAGCGACTGTGCTCGATCCGGACATCTTTGTGCACTTCGAGATCACGCCGCATCGAACGGTTCTCTTCTACCTCGGTGTCTTTGGGTCTACCCTGGCGGTCGCTCGTGGCATGATTCCTGAAGAGAACCGGGTTTTCGATCCAGAGTATCTGATGACAGAAGTGATTGCATATACGCACTACATGCCAGACGACTGGAAGAACGAGCTTCACAGCAAACGGGTACATCTTTTACAGACTGTCGTACTCGGGCGTTGGATGCTCACACTTGCCAGGTCCACACTGAATTCGGGAAACTCTTCGCCATGAAGATTCTCATCTTTGTGGAGGAGCTGGTGTCAGTAGTTCTGACTCCATTCGTCCTCTGGTTCTCTCTGCCGGATTGCGCCCCGGCGATCGTCGACTTCTTCCGCGAATTTACGGTCCATGTCGATGGAAGAGGCTATGTTTGCAGCTTCGCCGAGTTCAACTTTGAACGTCATGGCAATGTTAAGGTTTGTTGGTTATCTGGTAGCTATTATGCATCAGTTGATCGATCTTGCAGTTCGGCGCTCCCACTCGAAATCACGACAAGCGGATGATATCGAACCAAGGAAAGATGGAGAAGAGTTTCTTGACGTTCAAAGCTGCGAATCCGGACTGGAACCCTGCCGATGCTTCCGGATCTTTATATTTGAGTCGCATGGCAGACCTCAATGTTTCGCAACACCCCAGTTCGCGACGGCGAGCCGGAGCGCCCGAGCTTGCAGAGTCCAAGATGCTTGATGACCGCGCGCAAGAGTACGACCGTGCGCTTCGGCAGAGCCAAACTGCTGCTGTGTCACGGAGAAGAGGCATGGCGGGTAGTGTGTTGGGCATGTCTACACTCGCTGGGCCGACTGCATCGTCCATCTTTGTCGGTGGGATGTCGATGGCCCAGACAGCTGTCCTGGGCGACTCGCAGGGCAGTGTTCACATTCCCGGGCGCGCTGAGATCAAGCAAGAAGATATCTCGGCCGATGGAGGTGTCGGCAGTGCCTTGGGCGAGTCCTATGTTGATGGCGCACAACCACGGCCAGCTGCTACTGATGACGACGAGGATGGATTGGAAGATGGCGGTGTTCTAGGTCTGTTAGCGCAGATCTATGGCCACAGGGAAGGGCCTGCACGAGTCATGTAAATCTAAGCTAATCTGATCCGTCTCATCGCCACGTTGTTCGCATATCATTATGCCTTTACGTAAATCATGTGTAGTGAATCGATCATCCGACGCTAAGATGGCAATGGGACGACTTGTCAAGACTTGTTATATCTCTTGCCGCAGCCGCCAAGGATGATCTGGGCGTGGGAAAAGTCGTACCCTCGATCAAGTCCTTGACCGCGCGGTCAACACGACTCTCGAGTAACTGATCTTCGATGTGCTTGACGGTCCTAAACCCTCGTGGGTGACCCGGCGTCCGATCCATGGCCTGCATGATTCCCGCGAAGAACTCTCCCACACGCAGCCCTGGACCGTGGCAGCAGGGGTCTTGTGATGAGGGTCCTTCGAGGACTGCTGCTTCACTGTTTCTGTGCGACAGATATCACTCGAGGGGTGTACTGGTAGAGGATTTGCAGTGACGTAATCGGTATTAGCTGTACGGAACCGCCGTGACAACGATCTCGGATTCCATTCGAGTTCTGTTCCTTGTTGGCTGGCGGGCGCCTCGGCGTTGAAATGGGCGGTGATGGTGCCATGAACATCCCACGAGAAACGAGACCCCAGAGACAGCAAACAAACGCGTTCGCGATGGAGAATCCGGACATACGCGCTGAGGTTATCCTGTTGTGTGCTCTTAGAGTCTACCGACGGAATGTCGGCATTTACGACAGCTCCAATGGGCGCTCTGCTTTCGTTACTTCATAATCCTCGTCATCGTTTAGAATCGGAGGCGCAGAGGAGAACACAGTGAGCTGGACCAAAGTAGGTTGCACAGATGATATTTTGACTAATGGGGATTTCACGCATATCAATGACCGATAGAATTCTGCCAGGGGTCATCTGGGGTCATACATCCATGACGAGGTAACCGCCCGATACAAGGGACAAAGAAGCAGGATAAATGAGAGCCTTCCGGAGCCAAACACGGTTTGTCCCTGGCGCAGCCCATGTCACGTTCACCTGAAGCCACCACTCAGAGTCCAACCACTCAAAATCCACGCAAGCGCCCACGCTCCGATTCTGCTCAGTCCGAGGCGCATGAGCACGAAAATACGATCAGCATCGGTTATTTCACCCTTGGTACTGTAGCCAGCTCTTCTGGATGCTGTTCGAGCACTCAATCACTGCGCAGAATTCATTCGCGCATACCACACCGTCTTGCGAACCTTGAACCTTGAACTGGACAGTCTCAGCAATCCGGCGGACTTCTCCTCACTTCTTTTCCCCTCACTCCTGAAGTCGACCGTGCCCTCCTTGGACAAGGACAGGAATGTCTATTCGTATAGGCATGTGGGAACTAGGACTGTGAGGATCGTTTACGATTCTTTCCAACGATTAGAACGGTAGACGTCTTCCGTCCTGCCGCTAGTGGGAACGTTAGGATGTGGGAAGACGCACCTGCTCGCAGTTTTGGCTAGTTTCCTGTTCACGAAGGTGCGTTGTGATAGTTATGAAGCTTGTCCTAATCTCAGTCACTTTGGAAGCAGGGCATGCCAATAATTTTCCTGCCGCATGCGGACACCCTCGAACATGACTCTCTGCACTGGCTGAAATTGGCATTCGCACTCGCTTTCGCTGACATCGAGGGTGCTGTCGAACGAATCGCAGGTCTCCAATCTCTAAACGATTTAATTCTATTCTCTCGAAACAATTCAAAACAGCTGTACTTCTTGGTGGATGGATTCGACCTGGTGGCGGACGATCTGAAAGCTACCATTTACTCGTTGGTGTCAAACCACTTCTTGGTCTATACAACATACCAACTCGCTGGGCGCATTTCACTTTCGATTCGTCTCCCGTCAAAATTTTCTGAGGTACTGCCAGCTGATTAGAATTCGCGTCGGTTCTGATTCTCACATAGCAAGATGTCTGGAAATGGATGGAACATTACGAGAACGATTTCCCCTCCTCGATGACCATGCAAAACCGATTATTCCTCAAATATATCACGGGAGGGATCCCCGCTCACCTGCAGGCGATGCGCGAATTTCGGGGACAAGCCTTCAAGGAGATCGTCAGCAAGTTCCGGCAATGCCATAAAATGCAGGCCTTGGCTGATGACGTGACGGCTTTTCATTCGCGGATGGAGTCGCTCAAGTCTGCAGACAGAAAACGGTCTGTGTTAGAAGTTCAACATTGGTCTTGGTTCAAGCCATTGCTAGCTACCTACAGCTAGTCACCGCGTGCCTGACCGACACCATCCCAGAAATTCGACACGGGTCTCATCCGACGCTGTATGATCCGCGTTACTTTTGCTTCGACGACGAAGGCCGAGGTTGTTGTGCGAGCGGTCTGGCACGTGACATCATGATCAACCTGCTCTACGCAGAGGACATGAGCCTTTTCACGTCGGATTCGTGGTACTCGAGTGTCCGAAGTGCTTGTGGACTCATCCGTGACTCGTCTATTATTCAGATCTGTCTCGGTCGCATCGCTCTCAGCGGTCTGTTCCATGCCAATGCGAATGGGACTGCCATGAGAATCAGCACCTTCCGGGAGACCCCTGCCTTCGGCTGGATGTTCGAAGAAGCGCGGAAGAATCCTAGGGGCACTTCCTCCTTTCTCTGCATACCTGGACCGGATACCTGCAGATTCTTCACAGCAGTGATCGTCCGAATCAATCCCGTGGATAAGACCGCCCATCTGATACCTCTACAAATTTCAGTGTCTCAGACTTGCACCGATCTGGCCACCTCCTTCTTTGCTGTCACGTGGCACGGCTGGGGAAAATTCATACGGGACGAAGGCTTCAAGACCATCAATACATTCGTGCTCGTGGATAGCCTTACGTCGGAAAGCGCAGAGACGATATCTAACTCTAATACCTTTCGGGAGGGCGTCAGAGTGCGTATTTTTACCCAAAGGGTGCTAGATAGTAGACGGCAGCTAACAGCATTCATCAGCTCGTTTCTCCAGATTACACGTTTCGCAACCTCAATGTATCTTCTCTCGATCCCAAACTGGGTCGTATACTCCTCGGAGATAAATATCAAACCCCAACCGCCTAATTATTCACGTGCATCATCTATCTACTTTCACTTTGCTATCACGAACATGGGTATTCTTGTTGGATCGTTGCATTTTCCCTCATCCTGCATGAAACCCAGTGCCTCGTACAGCGCGCTGGCAGCGCTATTATGACCGTGAACTTCCAGCGTAAGCCGTCTCTTCTCCTCAGGTAGCCCCTGTGTTGAAATTCGGACCCATTCTCGGCCCGCGTTGATCAAACGTTTCGCAAGACCTGTGAGGTGGATGGTCCGCGATGTTAGTCAGGCCGTGTGTGGTTGTTGCGCACCGTTCCGTCGATAGTCAGCATGGACCCACATCCCTACTAAAACATGACGATAGCCCCCTTGCAATTCGTCCAACATCTCTGGAGCCAAGATGGATGCTGTGCCAACCCATTCTTCTCCGCCGCCTTGAACTGTTCTACGAGCAACGAAGGTTTGGCGACCCTTTACATTGAGCCTTTTCCTGAACTCTTCGAATGGCTCCTTTGATTCTCTGTCATACGTCGAGCCGAACGCCTCTGGATTGGTCTTCAACGCTAACAATCGTAGGCCGATGTATTTCGTGATGTCAGGGTCAGAGGCTGGTTGAGCGATGGAGTAGATCTCAAAGTCCCCCATAGATGGCGTAGAGTTTACGACAAGAGAGAAGTGGACAGGTTTGCCCAGCATGACTCGACTATCGTTTTGACTGAACCCATTCTTATCTTATCTCCACGATGGCATGTGGGATCACATTCAAGTTGATGCGTCCGTGTCACGCCTCCAGTCACCTTACTTTACAACTCATTGAACGCCTCCGATTACCTCGACCAATAGACGCTAGGCGTTCATTCTCGGCCATGCCCCGACAATTGCCGCCTGAACTTGTGTATCTTGTGATAGATCACGTCTCAGAGCATTCGCTAGCTCTGTGTGCCCGGGTTTGTCGGCTATGGCATTACGCCAGCGTCCGCCGCGTCTTCGGCAATATTACCCTCCGCAATAGAGACTTTGACGAGTTCACAGCACTCGCGTCGCAATCGTCTCTCTCTCTACCAGATATGATCCATGACGTGACTCTCCAATTGGACCGAGACCGAGAATTACCCCACGGACATCTCCAGCTCATTCAACAGATGCAACAAGTCTTCACCTTGACGCTACTCATGCATGAGGATTCAATGCTACGATATATGTCGACCTTGAGCTCTACATTTCCCTCCATCCGCACGTTGAGAGTCCACGCATACTACGTGCACTCGATGCGCGACATCCTCCCTTTGATCGCATCCTTCCCATCACTTGCCAATCTAGAAATTGTCCACGTTCCGCACGGTTTCTTTTCCAGACACCCCTTTCCAGGAGAACAAGCCTTTCCTCAGCTGGACTCGGTCCTCGTTACCGACGAAATGGATGGTTTTTTTGCTCAAATCGTACGATTGCGGCAGATTCCTGCATTTTCGACCGTCGTATGGCCTGGCTTTGTCGCTTGGCCGACGGCGGACTCGGGCTTTGCAAGATATCTGGAGATGATGGGACCGTCCGTTCGGTGCCTGCATCTGGTTACTGTGTTTGGCAATCGTTTCCTTGGAGGTTGGCCATTTACCATGTGCAAAGTTATATATGAGTCTGATCTTACCCCATCCAAGACACCGAGTCTTCTCTTTTGCGCCAATGCACGAGCCTGCGAAGCATTCAGATCAGCTGCTTCACAGACAGCGGTGCCGAGGTCGTGACCATCTTAAGTGAGATGATTGACAATCTTCATGGCCCGACGTTAGCTGCCATTCATTTGGATTCTCCGTACGGATTTTCAGCCTCTCGAAAAGCCCATCTGAACGGGCTGGCTATCTTGAACACGCACGCCGATATTTGGAATGCCATTGACAGACGCATCGGAGACCCCAAGCACTTCCCTGTATTCCGCTCATTGTGGATTAAAACAGGGCTCAACCCGCTGCTTGAACGGACGTTAGTCAGTTATATGCCATTATCTAGTGCTCGTGGACTGCTTGAGATCGATTGAACGACAAGCAGTCTGACGAAGTGGATCATTCCTTTGTCCACATATGTAGGACACGAGATAGTTATAGATAATGTTGTCCTTCCTCTACCTTTCGAAGGGGCGCATCGTCAAGCGTGTAGTACCTACTTATTGAGCGCACTAATTGTAGCAGTCCACGTGGATCATTGATCCTTAGCTAATGTGATTCAGGCTTGAATTCACTCTATAACCTAGACTCACCGTATTGTCGACCATGGAGCAGCCTTCAACACCAGTCACTGCGGATTTTTCGTCCTCTCCTCCCAAGCGGACCAAAATTGTCCTTCTCGGCGACCAGAGCGTGGGGAAGACCAGTCTAATCACTCGGTAATCCCGCACGCAGCCCAACCTACCTGTGTATTAAGCTTGTGATGCAGGTTCATGTACGATACCTTCGACAACACATACCAAGCCACCATCGGAATCGACTTCCTGAGCAAGACAATGTACCTCGAGGACCGCACGGTCCGGCTACAGCTCTGGGATACTGCAGGGCAGGTGGGCTTCTGAAACGTGTCGTCGGCAGAGACTGGGTCTAACTTATGCTGCTGCAGGAACGCTTCAGGTCTTTAATACCCTCATATATCCGAGACTCTTCCGTCGCCATTGTCGTTTTCGATATAACAAGTGCGCACGACCTGTCGCAATCCCGAAATACCCGCTTATGATTCCAGATCGACAGTCTTTCCTCTCAACCACTAAATGGATAGAAGACGTGCGATCTGAGCGAGGGAATGATGTTATCATCGTGCTTGTAGGCAACAAGGCAGACTTGTCGGACAAACGGTGCGTCGCTATGCAATCATCGCTTGCTCGTCTGATGTCCCAGCAGACAAGTGACGCTGGAGGAGGCCACGGCCAAAGCTACACAGCTCAATATCATGTTCATGGAGACATCGGCCAAGGCTGGACACAATGTGAAGAGTCTGTTCAAAAAGATCGCCATGTCGTTGCCCGGAATGGAGAAAGAAGGGCAGGCGGAGGCTAACACCAGTACGCTCAGTCTTCCTGATTAGGCAATTTTGAATCGCCAACTCTTTACAGAGGTCGACGTTACGACACCGCCAACGGCTGAGGTGCCGGAGGCATCGCAATGCAACTGTTGATCTTACTATAGCAGGCTAGAATGTCTCCGTCCCTTTCAGGAGGGCGTCATTCTATCCGACTGTAATATTTATATGCATGCTCAGTAATATACTCACTTTAACCTCTCCTTCAGCCTCGATTCATGGTGTTGCCGGCGCCTCTTGGATTGGCATCGACGAATTGGGCCCAATTTTCGTCCTTGACTCGCTTCGCCTCTGCCCTCTCCTCACCGAAATGGGTTCCATCCAGCTCTGAATCCATCTGCAGCTGCTCAGACGAAGTAGGAGCGTTTTCGGACGCAGGCCTTAGGACGTTTCAATGCAGGAATGCTATCGGAATGATCTCTGCGCACCCTCCTCCAGTGATGATGTTGCCTCGCTCCTGCTCGATTTGCAGGTACTCGTCAATAGACATGGAGGGGAGACGGTGTCCGGGCCCGAAAACCTGCGCAGCGAACCGTGCGCGGTCAGATGATCCGGCGGGAAGGAGAGTGAACGGTCGAAGGGGCTGAGTTACGATCAGAGATGAGGATCGATCTGTGAGAGGACACACACCTTGCCCTGCGGATCCAGCAGAGGTCCCTTACCGTCCGGCCCCAACCCGGAGGGAGCATTCAGCTTCCACATGTCGTCTTCCGTAGCACGCTGTTTGCCCCGCCTGTCCTCTTCCGGTCGGGGCGGTCGCATTGGAGCCGGCGGAGCGTTCTTGAGAAGCTCGGATTCCTGCTTAAGACTCGATAGTGAGGCCTGAGCTTGTCCGTAGTAAAGCCTCAGAATTAGCAGTGTCGTTTCACGCAACGCATCTTCGGTTTCCGAGTCCTCCTCGTCTTCGTCGGCTGTCGTGGTCTGGGGCAGTAATGACGATATCAAGGCGAAATCAGACTCCATTCCGGTGTCGCTGGAATGTTGCTGCCCTCGTCGTTTGCGGATGACCTGACGCGGTACGTTCAATGGGAATCTGGAGGAGGAATCGAGACTTACGTCAATCCTTCCCTTGAGCTCTTTCTCAGCCTGATACTGTTTTATTTTGAGGGCTCTGCGGCTGGTCGGATCGGCGACTTGCCCCGGATCTTGGACATGGAGCGCCCGCTCGCTCTCCGGCACAACCTCGAAGTTTTCAAGATCGGAGATAAACAAAGAATGGTATCTCTGGATGAACAATTGAGTTTCAGGCAGAAAGGTCCCGTCGAGCGTAGGCACCTGTGATTCCTTCAGAACCATGATCCGCTCTTGTGGCTCGGACGTCCGGATACGTCCGCTAGTCTCCGCCAACACGTAGGGAACGAAAAGATATATCAAGTCACGCGTAGATATATCTTCCAGTATTTCGTTGGGGCTAAACATGGAGAGACCATGGATTCGAGTGCTGAGAGTCTTGAGATCGGTCAGGCTTGATCGAATGAGGTCCTAATCTCCATTTTCAGTTCGACCTGGTGTTCCTTGGCCTGGCTCGGATTTAACCTGAGTGGTATCATCGAATGGAGATTGTTCAATCGCTTTCGATGCATTCTGGAGCGCGCGCTGGAAAAGTGCGGGGAGTGTGATGGACATGACGATAGTAAGAGACGTGCTTGATTTGGTGAACGTGACGGAGGACGTGATGTTGACGTATATTGACGCGCCGCATCCCCTCGCCTCCCGCTGTCGTCAATATGGACCTCAAGCGTTCCGGTGACCCACTTGAGCACGGACGAAAGCGCAGGAAACTCGGCCATAATGGCAGTGATGATTGCTCTCTCCTGACAGTGTCACTGAACGAGTACTACGCGTCGGACTTGATGGAATGGAAGGCGGGGACTACTGGTGGATACATTCAAGCTCAAATCGTCATGAAATGGCCCCCCACATCTAAGAGCTGGAGAATCAAGCTGGAGAACTTCTCTTCTGCTGCTGGTCTGCTGCAGTTTGAACTCGATTTCTCAGGACGGTGTCCTGCGTTACTTGCTACAAGCGGTGTGCAATTCAAACTCGGACAAAAGCTTCGGTTGTCACTAGACGGCGCGACAACTATCCGCAAGAAGAGCACCTCATCTTCGAAGACTATTCCCGTGCTTCTGCGTTATGAGAACGGGGTCGATTTCGAATTCGTGGGGACTGGATCAGAACGCAACATCGAAATTAGTTTATGGCATCGTGCGTCGGAAGCCATATTTACTTACTCCCGGCTCATTATCTGCAGGCCCGGAACCAGAGCTGCCCCCTTCTCCGGGTCCCTCAGCGCCGTCATCGCCACGCCCAAGTGCGCGTTCGGACGACTGGTTCATGACCCCGATCACCAATCGACGAGTCGAAACGGTGATCCAACCCCCCATCGTAATGGATGTTATTCAAGAAGATCCCTCTGTCGAAGAAACCGAGGCAGTTAGGCACAACAGCGCACCGACAAAAGTAATCGTGCCACTGAAAGTCAATGACACCACTTCCAAGCCCGATCTTGCTGTTCCTGACGGCACTCGTGTCCCTCTGGAACCTGTTCCCTCCACTTCAATGTCTTCTCTCCTTCCTCTTAGACCAATCGTGCACTCGAATGTACCCAATGCAGCCTCCGACGTCGTAGAAGGCTCTTCGACGAAACGGAAATCAAAGTCTTCGGTTATCTTAAGAACGAAACCGCCACTTAGCGATGGAGTGCCTGAAATTGTCACCCATGTCGATGACCAACCCTCATGTCTCAACAAGAAACAGCGCAAAAATTTGAAAAGAAGACAGGCAGCCAAGCTACGCAAGGCTCTGCCGCTGCCCGAAGTTGCATCGTCGGTCGTTCAAATAACTCCTGTGTCCGCACAAGGATCAGCGCCAGTCTTGCCGCCTACAAATGCCCATCACTCTGTCGCAGCTTCTGAACCACCGACAGAACCCCGCTTGCCGCCTCCATCGGTGAGCTCATTCCTACTTCAACTTCATCTGCTCACCCTGTCGTCAGGGCTTCGCGACGGTGGCTTCCATGGAGAAATGTTCGCAAGTAGGCGTTACTTATTCTGTAATCGGTGTCGTGAGCAGTCGAAAGGGGGTCGCCAAAACCAGCAAACAAGGTGTGTTCTGTCTTGAGTGCCACGAACGTTCATTGACCGCTTTAGATTGGTATCACACCTTCAATATCGTCGACCCCTCCACAATTGAAGCCGAACCTTACGGCTTGGGGATGCTCGTTACTTGTTTCCACCCGAAAGAGAATGGTGTACCGGCTGTGGACCTTGGTGACGTCGTCTTTCTCGTAGGGCTCAAGGCGAGAGAGACTTCCGTCTGTATACGCCCCGTTGCTGATCGATCATAGACAAGCCGTTTCGGTGGAACTATTAGAGCCAACGGCTATGCTGACAAACTACAATGGGCGGTGTACAATGCCTCGCAAGGTCGCATTGGGCACGGAGAATCATCTGCGTCTGATAGGCATTGCTTCCAACCAAACGATGTCGAACGCGAATACAGTATCACTCTGGGAGACTGGTGGCAGAAGATCCAAGAGAAACGCCAGGGGACTGTCAACCAGATCAGCAGTGTCATTCCCCCGCCGAAGACCCAACGGAGACACGTGTTGCTTTCGGAGACGCAGGATGTTGAGTACTTCGATTGCACGGTCGAGGCGAGTCTGAAAACTCAACTGCACGTGGAGACGCTGAGAAAAGTACAGATCCTGCAGGCATACGAGAACAGCCCCACCTATTCCATTTTTTGCACCGACTACACTGAGCTTGCAGGCGGGAAAGCCATTGAAGCCGACTGGTGCCCACCCATCATCAAGGACAAGGTTCTGCGTATAGAAGCTTGGGATGCTGCATTTGCATATGCGCAGAAAATGATAGTGGGAGAATTCTATCTGCTCAGAAACGTGCGGATGCGGAGAAACTTGGTCGACCTACTTGAAGCCAAGATAGTCGAAACAAAGATTAGTCGGCTTGATCCAGACAAAGAGCCGACAGACCACCTGGCAGCGCTGCTCCAGTGCGTGTGCGGTTTCTTTTGATGTTCTCTCGTTCATCTTTGCAGACGCAAGCAGGCTCTCGGCGTGACAGACGACGACGACGTGACGGAATTGAAGCTCATCTCAGACTGTGCCGAGCGCAGTCTGCTTCAGAGTCTGGTCGAAGTACGTGATCCACTATCAGGAAGGGACCCGATTTGACTCTGCACAGCTGCTGCATATCGATCCATTGAGCAACAGCATCTACGTTACCGACTACACCTCACATAGCAAGCTGCCGGTTTTCACCGAGTCCTGGGCTAAAAACCTTCCGCAATACATTCTCCGTGTTTATCTGCACGACGAGCAGCAAAGCATGATCACTCGGATGGTCGTGGGGCAATTCTATCTACTTTCGAGGATGCTTGTGAGAGAGAGAGGGGCGACGAGCGAGTTTGCTGGGACGATGGGCGGATCCAATCGCCTGATTCTTCTGGTCAATCCCAAATCCAGTAACTTTGAAGATAAGAAACGAGCCCTGCTCCAGTGAGTGCACGATTGTGCGTGTAAATCTCGATTCTGACGCGATCCTAGACGAAAGGAAGATGTACTCAAGGGCTTTTCGAAGTTACCTAAGCTCGAAGAAGCCTTGCAGAGCAATCAGACATCGCGACCAGTGGAACAGTCTCCCATTGTGGAGCTCGTTCCTAAGAAACCGCGCCGTAATTGCCAGTCGATACGACAGATGCTCGAGAGTGAGGGTTCGGAAAATTGCTTCGTATACGCTAAAGTGGTCGACTTCTATCCGTTCCGACTCGAGGACGCGTTCATTCGTGTTTGTGAAACCTGTGACGCGCGGTGAGTTTCTGGGCTGAGAAATATCCCCGCATTCTGAATGCCCACTCCAGGATCAGTGACAAACGAGTGTCTTGCCACAATTGCGAAGACAGCGTCGTCCAAGCAGTTTGCGTACTGCGATTGATGATTGATGATGGCGAGAGACAGCTCAAGGTCTCTGTGTCAGGAAAGGTGCGTCTCGACAGCAATACTAACTCGATCTGTGCTTATTTCCCTTGAGGTGCCTGTACTCGACGGCTTGGGCGCTGTATTTCTCAGAGACGACCCCGAAGCATCTCGCCAGTTTGAGAGCAGGATGAAGCCACTTGTGGGGAACATTCCCCAAGTGCATGATAGAATCGTGGCCGTAGGACGGGCTGATATCGAGCTGTCGAGCCCGTGGCTGATGATGGAGATAGACCATTGGGAGAGAAGCGATGGGCGACTAGTGTACGGTCTGCGTGACTATGAAAAGTAGAGCTGAAGACAGGATGCAAAGCTAACAGTAGCGTACAGTCGCGAGAGCATGAGATCCAGAAAGAGGAGACTTGATAAAAGGGCAAAATCAATACAAGCTAGCCTGGCTGGAACCCAAGGCAAGATGGCCGAGCGGTCTAAGGCGCTAGTTTCAGGATTAGGACTCTTTGGAGCTCCATCAATACTAGTCAGAAATGGCGTGGGTTCGAATCCCACTCTTGTCAATCTTTTTTGCCTCCAACCTCAAGTTCATTCTATGGAGATTGATTCAAGAGACACTTCAAACGAGCCCGTACACTCGAGCTTCCTCATCCTACACATGGCCAGGTAGAATAACTCTCGGATTGCTTCGGGACTACAAATTCGCCTATTGACCTTTCTGGGTGAGTACTGCAGTAGACCGTTGGCATGAGAATTCTGGATGACCACCACTGGTTTTGTCCCCTGCGAGATAAAGACCCCGCTAGTAAGATAATGTTTCCACAATGCCATCCAGAATGCGCACTGCATCTGGGATATAGAATCGCTCATACTGCAGTGCGACTGGCGTGCTGAAGAAAAGGTCAAACCCTGGCTGGTGAGGAGGTTTGAGACAACGCACTCCCATCCGGTGATCCTGCGAACTGGGGCAGCAAGTTTCAAGAAGCAACGTTTTTGGATCTCGGCAGCAATTTCTGCACCCGCGCCGGCTGTCAGACCAGCCTCATGCACTATCACCAGTCGTCCTGTGCGAGACACGCTTTCCGCGATCGTAGCTGCATCCCAAGGAAGAATCGTCCTGAGATCTATGAGCTCTATCCGGGCCTTTCGAACAGATTCTGGCACGTGGGGAGCCAGTCCGGGTGGCGGGTCTGCCAGCATCTTGAGAGCCGTTTCGCAGTGATACACGGGTGTTCCCCACGTGAGGAGAGTCAGATCGGTTCCGGCCACGAGCGTTTCTGCTTCGCCAAGTGGCAGTGTGAAGTCGTCGGCAGGAACCTGTTCGACAGCAGATCGATAGAGGATTTTCGGTTCCATGAAGATGACTGGATTCGGGTCACGGATCGAGCCCAGCAATAGCCCTTTGGCTTGAATGGGGGATCGAGGTATAACCACCTTGAATGCGATGAGAACTTCTGCAAGTTAGGATCTTCAGGTCCTATACTGACCTTGATCCCTGCAACACCCATGAAAAACCCTTCCGGCGATTGAGAGTGGTACAATCCACCATGTCCCTTAAAGACTAAGTCTCGGTGAATGACTCACAGTTAAATAGTTTACCACAGACATGCTCGGTGTCCGAATCGTCAGACCACCCGCATTATACTGTCCGCCTGAGCGGTAGCGGATCTTCGCAGCTTCATTGACGATCTACGAAAAGGGGTCACCGCATTATCTTATCGTGATCGGCTATATCCCACCTGATCAAATGCGGGGAAGATATAATCAGCGAACTGGATTTCTGCAATAGCGGTGTGGCCCATGACTGCCATTCCTATGGCTACAGAACCGACTTTTTTAATGATTTTCGAGACATCTAGGAACGTCGCGTACCAAAACCAGCGATTCCTTGCTCCGTCAGCGGGGTGTTGAAGACTCGTTCACGACCTGGATACGTGTCGTCCACGAGCTGCTCGACTGAGACCTATGAAAAGATCCTCACCGAATTCCTCCGCAAGACCCTGATGAGTTGCGTTCGGTCCTGGAGGAATGGAGAAACGACAACGCAACACGCACCATGGTACATCGAAACACGCCGCCGAAAGCTATGTCCTCTCCGAAGACCACCGCGTTGTCATCCTTCGTTAACGCGATACTAATCAAGCATAAGAGCAATTCTTTTTGATCTGAGCATACCTGGAACCACATACCTCAACGCATCTCGCACCGCTTGATAGACATTCATCTTTCGCGTTTCGCGGCTCGCACCAGGAAACGTTTGCACAGAATCATCGTCGTTCCAAGTAAGTCCTCGGGTCTTCAACGCGCCTTCCCTGGTGGTCCGAAGCAGCTGAGAGGTAGCCACAGAAGGTAGATGGCCTCCAGCTGGGGGAGGCTCTGCTGCACTGGAGCTGCGACGCTGTGAAACGGTTCTCTTGAGCATGGTTTGGCCCCGGGCGTAGATAGAGACTCGCCAGTAGGGTTTTCCATGGACTGTTTGGTATGCGGCGTAGAGTCAACATGCTCGCCTCGTAAGATCCGGGTTCCCGAGGCGGGGACTCGGACCGCTTCTGATCAAATCAATCTGCCCTTGAACCTCTACATGACAACTCTCCATCGCGAGTGAGGATCTTCGCGTATGGAGAACGAATCGACGTTCGTCGCACCAGAGGGCGTGTACACCGTGACGGAGGAACACAAGCCTTCCGTGCTTCCCCACTTCGGAGCCTCGCCCGCGCTGTTTCCCACTCGTGTCTCGACCATCTCGATCAAATTTCCGCCTGTGAAAAGCGGCGGAGGACCCGGCTTTGCGCAGCTACTAGGAGGAGGGAACAAAGACTCGAAGAAGGACAAGGAGAAGCAGGATAAGGATAGAGGCAAGGATGTGGTGAAGGATAAGGATGATGGAATCAGTCTCTCCAGCAGCGATTCTCCCGACGAGGATGCGTCTGGGGCACAGGAGAATATACCGCCGACGACACGGGAGCACACTCTGTTTGCGGGTCCCTCAGCAGCGGCGCCGGGGAAAAAGAAGGCCGTCGCTAGGCCTAAACACAATATGCGTACGACATCCTCGACGTTCATCACCCGTATACAGAATGCGGAAGGTCTCCCTCGGCTGTTGCAATCCAAGTCAGGCGATGTGACGTTCATGTTTTATAACGTGTCCAAGAATTTCATCTGGATTGAGGCTGCGTCCAAAACCAAAGTCAGTCCCACTCGGGCTCAGTGCTTCCCCTCTAATTCCTGATCCTTCAGGAACCACTGGCTCGCATGACGTTTGCGGCGTACCCAACTTGCCACGATATCAACTTGCTGAGCTCAACGCCTGACCGGCTGGATGTTATCATTGGGTTCCATACTGGGGATCTGGTTTGGCTAGGTGCCAGTGCATTTTTCTCTCTCCCAGCATCATTCTGAATCTGTATATCTCTAAAGACCCCACCGTGTCTCGTTACACTCGATTGAACAAACAGGGCAGCATTTCAAGCTCTCCGTGCTCTGCTGTACGATGGGTTCCGGGCTCTGCGAACCTGTTTCTCGTCGCACATGCCGACGGGACAATTATTGTCTACGACAAAGGGCGAGAAGATGGGACCTTTTCCCCGCAGGAGGTCGTTGATTGGGATCCCATCGACAGCATCTTCATAACAATACCTCCCTGGCATCCAGTCTCGGGGACAGTGCCCGGTGCTCCCAAGGGAGAGAAGGTCGCAAAAAACCCTGTCAGCCATTGGCGCGTCTCGCGGCGTGCAGTTGTTGGTGAGGGATGTGTTTGTGTGCTCAGGTCTTTTCTGCTGATTTCGTGATCTCAGATTTCGTGTTTTCTCCTGATGTCAAGTACGTTGCAGCCATATCTGAGGATGGGTGCCTCCGGGTCATCGATGCTTTGGCAGAGCAGTTAGTGTTTCTCAGTCCGATCTCCTTGTTACTAGAAATCGGGCAGGCTGGTTGACTGCTATGCATCCTATTTCGGTGCGCTGACTTGTGTTGCATGGTCACCGGATGGACGGTTCATCTTGGTTCGTATCCTCTCCTTTGTGCTTTGCTGCCATGTGACCATTGGCGCAGACCGGCGGTCAAGACGATCTGCTGACCATCTTTTCTCCTTGGGAGCAACGCGTCATCGCGCGATGTCAAGGTCACTCCTCATTTGTGTCTGCGGTGGCTTTCGACGAACTGCGCTGTGACGGTCGCACATATCGTTTCGGGAGTGTGGGCGAAGACAACAAACTCATACTCTGGGATTTCTCCAGCGGAGCACTCCACCGCCCCAAGTTCCAGCCAACCCATCAGCAGCGCATGTCGATGGCCTCGACCGTGTCACTTGCGTTGCGGCGAGATCGTTCCACGATTTTTCTTCCGACTGGCGAAGAGACCCCGTTTCCGCGATATCATCCGGCTCCATCTCGGAACGAAATCGCGGTAGTGCAGCCTTGTTTGGTGAGAGAATGCATCAGCTGTCTGCACTTCCACTCAACCAGTCTCTTAGATCAAGCCTGTTGACAGCGACATCCTTGCGACTGTGGTCTTTCTTCCACGGTCAATACTTACATCCACCCGCGCAGGACTGATCAAACTGTGGATCCGGCCACTAGCGCTAAGACCACGAGTGAAGCGGCAGCCCATCGACGTAGACGTGTTATAATGCATGTCGCTTGGATATAAGTTATTTTTAACATCTAGAGCTTGTGGATCTCTGTACACTTTTGCTTTCATTCTTCTTTTCGAACGACCACAATCCAGCGCTTGAGCAACCCGGCAGAGAACAACGCTGCCTCCCAAGCTAGCATGAAACGTTCTTCGCGCCAAGACCGTTCGCCAAAAGATGAGATATACCTGGTTCTGACTTGACGGTCCTCTTCCAGTTTTTCGTTTCGGTCCATCAGCACAGCCGAATATGTACTTGACGCGTTTGATGCGCTTTCAAGAGCAAGCGAACCGTCACCGATAGTCAAGGCTTCGAGAAGACCGTGCAAAGAGAGAAGAAGAGGCGTAGTAGTCCGGCGGCGTTGAGTGGAGCACCGCCGAGGCAAGAAAGGGATGGCGCACAGCGTGAACAAAGGGGTCATGGAAGTAATGGGAACAGCGGGTGCTGTGAATTCGAGACTAGCCGTTGAGCCCGGAGGCAATGTGTTGCGGAGCTTGCGAAGCTGTGTGGTGACTAGAGGATAGGGGATGAATTCCAAGTCCAGATGAGTGTTTGTGGTGACTGAGCAGCACATGTTGGCCCATTCTTCTTGCAACTTGTGGGCACCGCAGTGGATGCGTTTCGGCGAGCGAGTCATATTTCGGTCTGTGTGTGGTTAAACATATTCCAAAAGTGCGCATACAACCTACCCGACACCAGCCCATTTCCCTTGTCAAAGATGAGTTTCAATTATGCAATGCAGCACAAGCACACGCACCTCCTTATTTTGCAAAAAATACGTGCTCATCCTCCACCAGAGAATATCCCAGTTCCAGTTTGAGTCCACATTGACCAGGATGCGCCATCCGCACAGAACCAGCTTATCGCGCAGAAGTTCGCTCAAGTCCTCGTATCTGCGGATCTGAACTGTGCCATCGCATACTCCTTGGATAAGGCCAGACAGTGATACATAGATAGTTTTCGACTTGGCTGATGCGGAGTGTGGGATGATACACGCATAGTCTCGCGGCCATGCCACGTGCGATGGGACGATCAAGTGCGTCAAAGCATACGCAGGATCGACGCCTTGATCAGTAGTAGAGGTGCGTGGGAAGAGAAAGCACAGGATGATGATCGCGAGGATTATGACAGCGGCGCAAGCAAGCGTGGTCAGGGACGCTTTTGAGTAGGGAAGATAATGATTCGGGAGATGAAGAGATTTGAGGATGTGTTCAAGTTGAGGGATGTGATCTTCAAACTGAATTATTCCGAGCCCAAATTTGAGAGGTAGTGCACTGTTCATGCTGGGGGACGATGAGGAACTGGAGTGCGGCAGCGGTCCAAGATTAGACTAAACTGGTGTTTATGAGCAAGAGAGTCACAGACCACGTGACCGTGTAGTGAGGTGACCGTCATTACCCGCCTTGAGGCCCTTGGCCCCAGTGACACTTGAAAGCCTATTTCTGATCGATGTTTCTCTTCTCGTATCAATAGAGCATGGCTCAAGTTCACCTACTCGGCGTTCCCAACTTGGCTGATGACTACGATGTCACGATAGCTCTCGCAGCCGTGCTTCACTGCGAGGATTTTCGCGCGTTTGCGCGTGCGGAGGTCGAGGCCGTGGTCAATCTCGACCTCCCATCCGAAAAGCAGAATCTGAACTTCCTGGTCGAGCTTAAGGAGAGCACAGCCGGCCCCACGAGAAACGATGGGACAGGCACATTGTCGCTGCCCAGTGAAGGTGTCCGACGCAGATTCCTGGCATGGATGCGGGATAATCCTTTCAAGATCCAGCACGGAAAAGAGAAGAAGAAGATTCGCTTTAGAGAGGGGAGATTTCTCAAAGACTTGGCGACGAGATTGGCCAAGACACAGTTCATTGACCCCGAAATTGAACGCGTACGACAAGCTAAGATCGAGGAACTCCGGGGATCTCTGCGGGTCGATGTAGTTCAGTTCGGAACTTATTACCGGGAATATTCTCTATCTGGACGTCCACCCCCATCCAATGCACCCCTCCCATCACGCAAGTTCTCGATCGAATGGGAACAAAAGTATTTTGACGAGGGGAACGAGCGAAGGCGAATTGAAGGCACGCCGAGCGGGGTTGCTTGGATGAAGTTTGAGTACGACCACAAGTTGATTAGGATAAGGGTAAGTCCACTGTGTCCCTCCGTTCAATTACATCCTGACATCCTTGATACACAGTTGGGTGACGACACAACCGAGTACATTGGCTCAAACATCAATATTACATTCGCCAGCATCTCTAAGATTGCGGTCGGTTTTGACCCACAGCCTTGTGCGCATGCGATCCCAGCGCTTTGATGTATCTGACCTGTTTGCAGATATCTGCTTCGACACCATCATCCCGCCGATGCTGGAAGAGATCAAGTTCCATCGCGCCATAACTGGTGATGACAAGATAGACAATGAGAAATCTACCAAACGCATTGGTGCATTGCAGCCTCGCCATCTCCGCGTCACGCCATATGCCCAGCAGCTGCGAATCTTGCTTTACAACGACCGCAGGTACGACGTTATCAAAGAATTCCGAGACCTTTGTCGGAAGGCCGGTCTGCCGGACACTATATGCGTCGATTTCAGCAGGGCGCCACAGCCCTTCGAAGCCTCGGGACGCCAATTCTTCTCTGAGAAGAAACTGCGCAACATCGAGACATTCTGCCGCAAGATGGAGTGGGGTGTGGCCTTCCAGATTGAGGCACTTTTGCGGAATGCGACACTCAACACCGAAGAGATCGAATTCTTGCAGCCAAAGATTACTGCTTTGTGCAAGGAGAAAGGGGTTGCATACACTGGTTCGCTGCTCCAAGAGTTCCACAGGAACATGCACATCAAGTCCCCCCGTGACAGCTTCATAACCTGTTTCGAACAGACACGCGCTAAGTTTGTGGAGAACACCATGGCCCTCCAGAACGGAGCTTTCAATTGTTGTCATGTGTGAGCTTTCGTAGACCCAGATCATCAACACTTTGCTTATGATTGCAGCACTGTGACACCGACTCGGATGATTCTCGAAGGGCCGTATCCGGTGCAGTCAAATCGCATCATCAGAAAGTACCCTGGCTACGAGGGGAACTTTCTCCGTGTTGACTTTCGTGACGAGGTAAGCTTGCTGAACGTGAACGTGGAAGATATAGATTGTTGAGTATCACGCAGGACAAACTCCAATACCGTTGGGCTCGTGAAGTTGACGGAAGACAGTTTATACAAGAGCGAGTCGGCGGGATTCTCAAGCACGGCTTGCGACTCGGAGGGAGAACCTTCGAGTTCCTGGCGTATTCCACCTCGGCTCTGCGCACTCATGCTGTTTGGTTCCTTGACCGATTCCACGACAAAAACGGCAAGTGGGTCACAGCTGATAGCATCAGAAACGACATTGGAGATTTCGTTGGCACACCTCTGCTCAAATGTCCCTCGAAATATGCAGCTCGGCTGGCGCAAGCGTTCACAGCGACCAACTCCTCGGTGTCCATCAGACGAGAACAGTGGGAGGAAGTTTCGGATCTGGTTGTACCCGGACACGAGAAGGAAGAGAAACCCAACTCCAAATACATCTACACTGATGGGGTGGGGACTATTTCCAGCAAACTTGCGGACGAGATCTGGGCAGCTTTGCGGCCTGATCCCCAAGAGAATGCGGTGCGGCCGTCTGCGGTGAGTCCCACGCGTATCGGGTGTATGGGGGAATGACGGATAGTTCAGTTTCAAATCCGATTCCTTGGATTCAAAGGCGTTGTTTCGGTGGATGAGATGCTGGACAAGAACGGCAAGGGAATAATGATGCGGTTGCGCCCCTCGATGCGCAAGTTCGAGTCTGACGTCCAGCAAGCTGCGAACGCACCCCTTGAAGTGGCGATGGCCTTCGAAAAGCCATCGACTGCATACCTGAATAGGTGCGAGGGACCGCGAATGGATCCAGAGATGTTGTGAATGATTATCCAGACCACTCGTGATGGCTCTCGAGGACAAGGGTGTCAGAAAGAGCGCGTTTACGGGACTCCAAGACGACGCGGTCAAAGAGGCTCGCACAATTCACGACTCAATCGGACAATGGCGTACTTTTATGCAAAGCCACTCCTCCGGCGGTGCTTTTCGGTTGGCCTTCCTATTACAGCAGCTGGAGGACCGAGACCTCAGCCTCGGGTCGAGTGGGAGGAGGCCAGGTATCGACAACGAGTTCTTCAAGCAGCTCCGACAAGTGGCGATGAACAACGCACTGAGAGATATCAAGCACAGTGCGCGAATTCCCATCCCGGAGAGCTATTTGCTCGTTGGTGTCGCTGATGAAGGACCGGCATACAGTATGGCTGGCATGGAGAACGTATACGAATTGCCTCCCGGGAAGATCTATGGTAGGTGCAGCTGTTACCATTACTTGGCTAGTCTGATCGAGATAGCCTGTGTCCAGGCCAGCTTGGACGAAGAGCCTGTCTGGATCAAGGGCTCCTGCACCATATCACGCAGTCCCGTTGCTCATTTGGGAGATAGTGAGTTGGTTCGCACCTGTCGATGGGTCTCCTTTGTCTAAACAGAGCGCTCTAGTTCAACGGGTCACTGCCATAGGCAAACCGCCGGAAGGAATGATATGCGCGTTTGCTGGCCTCAAGAATGTCGTCGTTATGTCATCGAGAGAGAGTGGGTGCTCTTGCATCATTGCGTCGCTGTTTTCCTCACATACGTAAGGGCTGCGATCGCTTCCCTCCTGCCTGGGTGGTGGTGACTTGGATGTGAGTTTGATTATGATTGCAGTCATGTCATCCCTTGCTCACATCTTTAGGGGTGAATATCATTCGAGCCAAACGAAAGGAAGGTAGACGACTGATGTCCTTTCTCAGCGATCTGTTTTCTGTGATCTCGTACTCTCAACTGTTACCGACCAGCACAGACGATGCTGCATCTTATGCAGATGGATCGACCCTGACCCTCGATCGCGACAGCACAGTGGATGATATCTGCGACTTCGTTGTCGAATACATCAACTCGGACGTCTTGGTCAGTCAGTCTCCGATCGTACAACTTGAAACTTGAATAGTATCATAGGGTTTACTCTCGGACCGACTTCTCATCTTAGCCGGTAAGCAAGGCTCTCCAGACTATGTTCCAACACTGACGAGCCCTCTACTGTAGACCAATCGAAGGTATGGACTGAACGGTCGGACCGCGCCCAGACGCTAGAAATAACACGACCATAGGACGGAATGTTCGACGAAGACTGCCAGAGGCTCGCCGAACTGTGTTCTCAAGCCGTGGACTATCCTAAACAAGGGATCCCCGTCAATCTTGACGAGAATCCGCTCCCTCATTTGCTGATGCGCTGCAAACCAGACTGGTTTGTGCACTGATATAAACTCTGAGAATTGGCTGATATTTGACGTGAGGCATGCCGCCGAGATAGTCTCTCCGCGCGAAAACGACTACTATCGGTCGGAGAAAGCTCTCGGAGAGCTGTACCGGGCCATTACGTTGAATGATCCAGATCCTCTGAACTCTGACAAGAGCCAGAGCAGCTCTAATGGAGTCAACCAATTCGCGGTCGATCCCATCACCTACGTTCTGGAACCGGAGGTGCAGCAGGCGCTGGGTCCTGATTACGCAGTTCCAGATGGCAGTTGTGCAGAAACTGCACTGATGTTCAAAAAATATGAGGACGAGCTGGAGTACATCTCGACGACACACACGGTGAGCATCAAGCCTGGTGTGAGGCTGCTCGAATCAGAGATCGTCGTCGGCACTATTCTTGCCAAGTGCACGCAAAAGCGCTGGCGGAGTGACTGCATCTACCGGATGCAGTTCCATGCGAATGTGCTCGTGCAGGACCTGAAGAGACAGCTGATGAAGAAGAACGGGGCTGCCTTCGTTGCTTTCACCAAGGAAGATCGGTTGCTGGGGCTCAAGCGGGCTTGGGTCGCTTGGGATTACAGCCGGAGACATCATGATAAATTTGCAGCCAAGAGCTTTGGTCTTGTTGCACTCGCTATCATCTTCGAGTGCTTGGAAGGCCTGGCACAAGAATAGCCCTGTATTTTAGGATTTTAGTACTGTTGAATGAAATGGAAACGTGACTGGCAAAAAAACGTGACCGTCTCAGTTCATCTGACACACGTGATCGCGAATACTGCAGGCTGACACCGTATTTCGCACGCCCTCCATACGAAACGCTTTGACCTCCGGTGATGATCTGACAGTGCAGGAGCCTCGTGGAATGGCCCACGGCAGCGCCGAATCATATCTCAAACTCAAAGGCCCTCTACGCTCGATCCTGACGTCATTTTGAGGCGTTTAGTCTCCTAGGGAAGCCACGTCACATATGGACTGGTCACTGCTCGAAGCGTCAGCATGGAGAGCTGCTTATCCATGCTAGCTCGCGGAGACCCAGCAAGAGATATTTTCTGATGCAATATATCGGAAGCGTCCATCGCAATCCCGCTGGTTGCACATCCTGAGAGCCCTGCTGTCCGGCTCTGCATCTGGCTTGGACCGGGACCCCATACAATTATCTGGTCATACCCTCGTCGTCTCGCAAGGGTCAAGTGCTTGATTTTATATGCAGAGTGGACATAGAGCTAAAAGGCGGGGGGGACATCTGGGCCTCTCGAGCGCGGCTGTTCTCTCGCCTCGCGCCTTTGCTCGCTGTCCTTCAACGCCGCGCGTCGCTGATCACGACATTCGTTTCAAGAAATTTGTGCTCATGTGGCCTGACCAGAATGCATGCATGCAGTGACGGGGCGCCGCAAGCCATGCGATAAGCGGGTCTTATCGAAGACCTTGCTTCTGTTTTGGGAGAACAATGGCTCGAGGGTCGTGATGGCCCGACTCGCATTACGGTCCCAAGCGAGTCACGAGATGGGATTTAACGCGCTCGCATTGTTGCTGTAGCTCTCCTCACGTAGTTTGGCTTGAACCGCCATCCACTCCCCCCTTGGTTGCCAGCAAACGGTGAGCACTTTCAATCGTTTCGCGTTGCTCCGGGATCTGAATTTCAGCAGCTTACGACGATGGATGCCCTCCGCCGAATTCCGGCACCTCTCACTGCACAGGAAACAATGCCCATGGTCGAATGGGTGCTGCCAGCCGCTCGACCTCTGCGGACCGAGGAGATCGAGGCGCAGGGTCTCCGCGTGAGGAAGGCAGCCGCAGTGCGATCGAGACAGCTGTATTGGCGCGTCCACTACTCGGGGCAGAGGATACACTTCACGGTCAATACGCCCGAGCAGCGGGAGGCGCTGCAGCTCGGCAAACGCCTGCGAGTGAAGCTGATGTTGGCCGCACTGGCTGCGCCGGGGCCTGCGATGGAGCGCCCAGATGAGGAGTGGATCGCACGGGCCAAGGCGCGGGAGGCGACGCTCAAGCGGGCCCCCGTGCCTACCCCCGCCCCAGCCAAGGCCCAAGCACAGAAGGCCATCCCCAAGGTCTTGCCGCGTCGCAGCAAGATCCCATGTGGAACACCTCCCACTCGTATCCAGCAAGAGGGCCGAATTCGTCCTGTCCCCACTGATGCATCCCTGGGGGACGCTAAAGGTGACGGTTCTTCTGTCCACAACAAGCTGCTGTCACTTACCGTTCGTTTAAACAGGCTTGTTGATCAGTGCTAGAGATAGCTTCATCAGCGCCGGGGATGCTGAACTAGGTCATCCGAAGAGAGAGCATGTCATGCAAGATGCCACGGACCAGCTCTGGCCGCCCAGTGTTTACGCCATCACCGTCGACTTCATCCAGCCGGTAGTCACTCGCCACCCAGACAAGTTTACGAGCGTGTGAGTAGCTGGGCTTCTGGCTGTTGATATCGACTGATCCATTCCCCAGCACCAAGATTCGTAAACGCTCGCCGCTCGTCCCTGAAGAGATTCCTGATGAATCTGTCCCTCGCACGGAGCCCGTGACCCCTGAGATAGTCGCTACGGAGCCTGCGACACCGCTCATGGTACCTACCGAGCCCGCCAGTCCCGAGCTCCTTGCGAGCGCGCTCCGCCCCCCGCCGGCTATCCGGACCACCGAAATCACTGTCGCCAACGTCCAGCGCGCGCTCGCTCGTAAGGGTCTCATGCGCGCGTCTGCCGTGGTATTGCCCCAGGCCCCGGTGGCTCCCAAGACCCTGAAGCGCTCCGTTGTGTCGTACGTGGTGTCTTCTTCCATCGTTTACCTAGTGTGTTGATTGGTCACCTTAGCGCAGAGCTGCTTTCGTCGGACGTGGACGAGGAACGGCCGCGGAAGAGACGCCAGCCGTTGGCGCGTGTGCAAACCTGTCGTGATATGGATGTCGAACTGTTGGTGCTTGGCGATTGATTCCATGTCGTACTTATTTCATGATCTCTACTTGTATATGTAGTCTCCCGCATCTTCATAACATCGAACATGTCTATATACATACTTGGAATACACGCTATGAAACTGAACCTTTATTTTGTCGCAGGGCAACGGGTCCTACGAATTGTAGGAAGACTGGCATGACATTTCCGCGCGCGCTTGCACGGCGAAAACGGAAATTCGGTGTCCCACTCATCCGCTTTCCGCACTCTTTTCAGAGACATCGATTCGGCGGAGACAGCCCCCGTTTCCTGGGTAGGATCCTCCAGACCATATCCCGCTGGATCATCATCCATCGACCAAGTTTCAGTTTCAGGGAGAGAGTCCAGGGCCTTGCGGAGCACGGCAATGACAGCTGCATGCGTGAGCAGGCACTCCACTTGTTGTCCCGGCTCTCGCGACGTTCTGACGAGCTCTTTCCACTCTGTGGCGAGGGGCTTCAGCGGCGCAAAGTACGGCGCAAAGTTATCCAGTGCTCTCGTCCGCCACAGCCCCTTCTTTGTGATCACGGCGTTTCGGCATCGGGCGATGTCCTCCCACTCGCCGTCTGCCCAATTCCCGAGCGCAGGGATTTCCGAGAGGTCGAAGTTCTGGCGGAAGATGCCGCAGGGACCCGCGTAATGCCAGCAAATCCAGAGGAACACGAGGAAGAAAGATTCAAGATCGTGTCTGGGCTCGTGGACGAAGCAGTCTTCATCGCCCCACATCAACACTGAACGTGACATGAATTCCTGGGTGCCCTGGATGCGTTGATCAGTAAGGGTAAGAGGCGTATGGATGCTGAGCTCCACCCACCGTGCGATGCTTGACTGGTCGTTTAACGCCTTCATCCATCATCCTCGCATTGTCCATGTCGATGAGAAACCCGCAACCGAGCGCCGCTGGGTTTCCTGATGGAGACCTGACGATGACGATGTTGCCAATGCTGGCATCGCAATGAAGAATTTGACGCTCCACCAGGTCCGAGTGTGCTAAGTGACTGCCGTCAGTCTCGGGAATTTATCGAATACACTTGGAAACCAACCTTGAACGGTGTCGATGAAGACCGAGATGAGCTCTCTGAGACTGGAGAATTCCTCGAGCTTGACACCTAACGGAGTCATCACCACGCGATGATGTATCCTCGTCTCCATCTTGTCGATCAAGACCGTGAATCGCTTCCCCGAATCGCCTTTGAGATGTTCCAAGATGTGATCGCGGAGGCGGGCAGTTGAGTGAGCGATCCCCTTCACTGCAACGTCGCACTCAGCAACGACTTGCACGATCCCTGGGATACCGCTCGCTTTCCGCAAGAGATTTGTTTCGGCGCGGGTGAGGGAGTTCAAGGGCCAGGTATCCTTGATCACGAAATCCCTCCCGTCGGATTCACGCTTGGCATGCCAGCAGACAGTGCCCCGCCCGCAAACCGTCTGGTCGAGAAACAATGGCTTTACTAGCTCGTAGCGTGCCCCATCAGCGCTGATGAAGCGTCTCCCGTCGGCTTCAGATGTAATGGACGTATCGAAGCCGAGCACGCCACGGTCGTTGGTGAACATGAGCGCAGCTAGTACGCGCACGAATGATTCGGGATGCGTGTTTATGTCAAAGGCCTTGGATACCACCACCCCCACACGGTCCAACACGCAGACTCGGATGGAGCACGCGTCGAAGATCAGGGAGATGACAAATTGCCGGCCGTCTTGGGTTGCGAATATATGGGATGCCCCATCTATCGCTTCGTCGAGGCCTCCCCGCGCAGCATTGACTCCGGGAAGCACTCCACAGACTATTACGTCTTTCTCTTCGTGGTTGTGTCGGTCTGGATCAGTGGACACGAGGTCAACCCACTGGCCGATGGGCGCAAGCCCTTCATCCTCTTCGAGTCCCTCGGCCGCTTGAGAGTTGCTGGCCGTTCGAGCTACCCATCCCATCCGCAAACTCGGGGTACTGATTCCATTGTTCTCGAACGTCCCCAGAATCGCGTCCCCCAGATGGTTGAGGAACTGCGCGAGAGCCGTGTCCTTGGGTTTGGCCAGGATCGAACAAGCGACCCATTGTTGACCGCTGAATTCGGGTTCTGGGCCGGAACTGAGTCCACGGAGAATTTCCGAGGCAGGAAGGGGAAGGCAGGAGTCGGGGAAGAGGTAGAGGAGGATGTTGGGTACGTCCCATAGCTCCGACTCGATGTCCGGTTCCTGCGACTTCCTTTGCGAGAAAGAGGATGTCTGTGACATCGGGAGGCTGATACAACTTCTTATGTGCCGCACACTAGGATTATCGTCGACCTTACGCGCGCAGAGACGATTCGGAGCACCGTGCAGGGGTAGATGATGAGCGCGTTGATGAGAGACACGTGCTCGCTTCTCATCACTGATAGGGATCTTCTGTCCGAGTCCCACCCCCGCCACCAGCTGGCAGCCGCCACCCCCGAACTTCGAGTCTCTCGCTTTTCCCAGCTAATGCTTGAGACTTGCATAAGAAGCTTGAGATAGCGTACCCCGAGTTTCTCGCCTACTCTTTCCACGCCAAGGGAGACTTCACTTGTCGTCGCGCGCCCAGTGCTAAACTTGGAGGGATTGCTTTCGGCACTGCTTCCGCGGGAGATGGGGGACTCGCCAAGCTCACTTTGCCCGATCTTCGAGACCCTCAACGGTGTCTTACCTGATCCGCTCCTACTCATTGCTGGGCGATCGCGCAGTGATCGCCGTGTGCTGAGACTCGACCAAAATCCCCCTTCTTCCGCTCATCCGTCCCGAGACAAAATGAATCCTGAAACTATAAGAAGGCTGGGAACTCCAGCCTCTGAATCATTGCACCTTGCAACCTTTTTCACTGCTCTCTCAGCTTTCTGCTTTGAACTTCGTCGCATTCACAACCTTATTCTCACTTGAACAATGTTTTTCACAACCCCCTTCGCATCTGCTCTCGTGATGATGCTCACTGGAGTCAACGGTCTGCCCAAGTACGTCTTTGGCGCTGAAGGGGTCCCCGACTGCTACTGATGTATCTCTCCACAGACCCTTCAATAGCGACCTTGCGGCCCGCGGCTCTTGCAACTCTGGCCTGTATCAGTACAACAGCACGACTTGCATGCCTTGCCCAGCAGGAAACACTTGCGACGGCACAAATGACCCTCAGCCTTGCGACTACGGCACGTTCCAGCCCAGTTCGTGAATACCTTTTGTGTCTTGTGTTGCGGCTTACATGTCTTTGTAGGCACCGGCCAAACAAGCTGCCAGACGACGACGCCAGGCAACTACCAGCCGAATCGAGGCTCGTCTTCACAAATTCCTTGCCCCGCAGGAAGCTATCAGCCCTACGCCCAACAATCTTTCTGCTACGGCGCACCGAAGGGACGATTCCAGAGCCAGTAAGTTTTACATGCATTTCTTTGCTCTCCAGTTGTTGACTGTTTGGCTGCCAGACCCGGGAAAGCATTCGTATGTGGAAGCTGCTGTGGATGGGCGGCACCGATGCCGAACAACAACGTCAACGCGGTCCAATGCACGGCCCCGACGCCCAACTCTTGGCCCTCTTCTGGTGATGGATGTATCAGCAGCCAGACTTCCTGCACTCGGGCAGCCACTTGTTCCCAAGCTGCAGACGGTTCTTGCCGTGAGTCCTCGCAACTTTCGTGATTCGACCAGCACTGATATCTCTCGTCCAGCTATTGGATCGGAAACTATCCGGGGTTAATTGCTGTCGTGCCTCTGCTCTATATTATATCATATTTTAATGCGTTAATGCCTCTCATGACCTTATGACCATATATCCATTGTTTCAAACCACTTCTTTGTTTGGCTGCCGCGTGAAGGGAGGCACCAAGGTCTTTGTCTCGCCCATGACCTCAAGTAGGCGATGTATGCGCGTGATTAAACAAATTCCCTTTCCTACTCATCCCTGTGCTGTGCACTCAACTTCACCCGCCACTCTCCTTTTGTATCAATTCGGTTGATTTAGCTCCTCTGTCTTACTGCGCGACCTCTCCTCTCGATCGATGCTCCTTAGTAGCCTACGCTCTCCTCAAGAACTTGGAGATCTCATGAATATCAGAGAGACCAATAACACCACTCCGGTGCGCCAGATTTCCGGATCCCTTTCACGCCCAGGATTTCTCAACCGTGTGGCTTCACAGACACCCTCGACAGACTCGCTGCGCGAGCAAGAATCCACAAGCCCAGTCACCAATGCATCGCCTCTCGATCTCCCCGAAGTCCTTTTAAATTTCTCGCTGTGTTTAGACGATGTCGTGTCCGACGAGAAGACTGCAACCGAGATGATTGCCGCATCTACCCGCCCCGCTAACAAGTCGACAACATCGCCCTTGGAGGACATTTCATCCAGGCTGCAGTCCAGAGTGAGCTATCATATTCGCACATCTCTTCAGTCTCCTCACGGCCCTCACAGCCCGCATGGAAATCTTCTTCCCACCAACTCAAACCTGAGAAATCCACCCGCGCCCAACTCCGCGTGACTCCTCGCGAGAAAGAGAACATCCCACCTGTTCGCCAGAGGCATGAGATTCAGAACCTCTAATTACACGCAGCGATATATCCAATAATCTACTGTAGCTTTAGAACTCCAGTGAAGACTTTATCACGGCACGCGACGAGCGGTCAGGTGACCGCGCTTCGTCCCGACAGTTGCATTTCCCTTTTTTGTCCCGTCCCAACCCATCTTCGGATATGATGTGGGAAGACGTCTCACCACAGCACCCTGTGGAAACGCAGCCGACAATAGGCCTGATCGGGATGGGTGCTATGGGCCGTATGTACGCTAAAGCTCTGTCGAAGGCGGGGTGGAAAAAGTACGTCACTCCGAATCCCTCGGAAAGATTGTCGCCTCAGTGGCCGTGAAGGATCCACGTCTGTGATCTTCCTGCAAAATACGATGGCCTGACTCTCGAATACGCCGGTATGTCATCATGACATCGGCTTCTCCTGCCTTTTTCAACAGTGCGGGCAGATGTGCCGGGTGTGACTGTTCTCAGAGATGGGCACGCCGTGTCCCGATCCTCTGATTTCGTCCTGTACTCAGTCGAAGCGGAGTTCATAGACGCTGTCGTCGCTCAATACGGACCCTGTGCGCAGCCCTGCAGTGTGTCGGGATGCAGGGGTTGACCACACGTTCTCAGCTACGAAAGTGGGCGCTGTTGTTGCGGGACAAACGTCTGTCAAGGCTCCGGAAAAGGCCGCCTTCGAGAAATATCTTCCTCAGGATGTCCATATTGTATCGTGCCACTCTCTGCATGGGCCTACCGTATCGCCAATCGATCAGCCTTTGGTGCGTAATCGGCTCCGTGTCCTGCCCACTGCCCTCATGGAGTTGAGTCAGGTCATCATCTCGCACAGGGGACCCCAGGATTCAGTCCATCTCGTCGAAAATATCCTCCGCTCCTTCGGATCCCGATACGTCTACCTTTCTTACGAGGAGCACGATCGGGTCACAGCGAACACTCAAGCTGTCACGCATGCAGCTTTCCTCAGGTGAGTGTACGGCGGGAGAATCGGTCCGTCGCTGACTCGAAATAGCATGGGAACCGCATGGGCCTCCAGAAAAACTTATCCTTGGGAGGAGGGCCGCTACGTCGGCGGTATTGAGACAGCCAAAGTCAACCTCACACTTCGGATCTACTCCAATGCATGGCATGTCTATGCGGGGCTCGCCATCCTGAACCCCAGCGCTCGAATTCAGATCGATCAATATGCCGAAAGCGCCTCAGATTTATTCAAATTAATGCTCCAAGGTGGCGCGCCTGGCGGCGCAGACAAGCTTCGCGAGCGTGTCATGTGGGCGAAGAACAAAGTGTTCGGGGATGACATGACGCGGCAGCCGATTCTGCTCTCAGAAGCGGTACTGGACAGATTCAGCCTCGGAACATCGCGACCCAGCTCGGAGGAGGGTCACGAGATCGGCAACTCCCACCTTGCTCTGCTGGCTATGGTCGATTGCTGGGCGCATCTTGATATCAAGCCGTTTGAGCATCTGGCTTTGGCTGCAACTCCGATATTTCGGCTGTTCCTTGGTGTCGCAGAGCATCTGTCCAGGACGCCCGCACTGCTAGATTCCGCCATCCACTCGGCGCTCCACGACAGTTGGCATCGCAGCGATGATCTTGAGTTTGTCATCGCAGCTCGCGGCTGGAGTCAGTGTGTAAGCTTTGGGAGCTTCGAGCTCTATCGGCGGAGATTCGATGAGACGAGGGTGTTCTTCGAGTCGAGATTCGAAGAGGCAGGGAAGTTGGGCTCGGAAATGATCAAGGCAATAATGGAGACAGAGAGAGAACGCGAGGCTAAACAGTCACATAAGTAACTTGTTGGCCCATCCCTGTAGTGGTAGTGCACTCCACTTGGCGCCAGATTTCGCTTTCGAAACTGGGTGTGGCCCGGCAGTCCGGCCCGATTCGTCCGGCAAGCGAAGACGAGCAGTCTGTCTGTCCTGTCTGTCACGGTCACCGACCAGCCACCCTTGGATCCCACTCTCACAGAGACGCAATGTCTCTGCTGACGCCCATAATCGCCATATTCAATGCGGCATTGCAGCCCGTCGCGCCGTTTACCTGGTTCAATATCTCCATCAGCACCTTGGATGTAGCGGCGGCCTTCCGTCTCTGTCTCATCCTCCGACAACTTAAGGAATCGTTGCACAAGGATCACATATCGAAACATGGTCTCAAGTCCATTGAATCCAGATCATTCGCTCGGGATGTGTCTACAACTCTTACTGTCGTCTACGGTGGCGAGGTGATGACAGGTCCGTGCGCTACAAGTCTCCTCCTTGTACCCTGTGTTTACATCAGTTCCAGCTCCATTCCTCGGTGTACCGCCATCCTTTATGATCTCTGGTGTAGTCCCTGTGTTCTACACGGTCGTGCAAGCCATCGTCGAAATGCTTCCCTCTGTGCCCCCGATGACAATCCACACCGAACTTCCGCTAGCGGTCTTGGACGGATTTACCCGTGCCTTTCTGCTGTGTAACCTGATACCCCCGCCTGTGACGGCCAACTCGTCTCCGCTACTCGCTTCTTCCCCTTGGACGCTGCTAGTGACATCTCTGGTACAGTACGCCTGTTTGGCAAGATGCCGGTCTCTTGAATGAAAGCCCATATGTGCCATTTACAGGTTGCTGCGAACGGGGGCTTCTTTCTGACGAATCTGTTCTCCTTCCTGAACCCGACACCACTTGCCCTGCAGACACCCCCGGAGCTGCAGGCGTACGGATGGACCACCACCGACTTGTGGTGCGCGCCGCTGATCACGGGGATCTACGCTCTGCTCACGCACGCCCAACCGTTCTGGGTTGATGTGCACACCGTGCTGTCGAGCATGCTCGGGGGCAGCGTAGCCGTGAGTGAGAAGGGGGGCAGCTTCGTCGAGCCAGTGGACCCGGATACCGCCCGGGCGGCTTGCGCTGCGATCCTGGCGACCTTCTTCGTTGTTCGTTCGGTGAAGAACTTTGCGCCCCAGCTCTGGCAGAAGAAAGGTTCGTGGTCTTTCTGCCTGTTGAGTTGCGACTGTCGATCTAATCTTTCTCAAGCTGAGAAGCTCAAGACGCAATGAGCAGTCGAGAGATAGATGTACATAGAATGTACTTGCACGATCATAACGAGCCTTCTACACGTCTGAGAGTCCTACTGATGCGCGTTCTATCGGAGCGGCGTGATAATCGCGTGATGGCGCGTGACTCGCTCCACTCATCACACGTTCGTCTCGCATATGCACTTTGAGCCTCAGGCGCACCACGCCCTATGATGCTGGCCCTGGAATAACTAGCACTCACGCGCAACTCCGCATACTCATGCACAAGACAACTGTGCAACTTGCGTTCTTCTGTGTACTTGTTGTCTGGTTGGGCCTCACTTGGTGTCCGACGAGTCGATTCGACGAAGCATTCGGGTGGCAGGAGAGCGAGCGTGATATCCAGAAACTGTGGGGCGCATATACGCCATACTATCCGGTGCAGGAGTACAAGGCGCCTCCGGCCGGATGTGCTATAACCCAGGTGCGTGCTGACCTAGTGTATCCATCTGGTATCCTGACAGATAGACGATCACAGGTGAACATTGTAAGCACCCAGTAGTACCCTAGCTCCGGGGGGCAATCACGTAGGGTGGTGACTGAAGCGATGATGCAGCTGCAGCGGCATGGTGCACGGTTCCCGACCGGCGGAGCGGCCGCGAACATCATCTCTGCTGTGCAGAAGCTGCAGCGCGTGCACGCGCAGTACACGCATCCCGCGATGGCGTTTCTGCGCTCGTTCGAGTATGATCTGGGCGTGGCGGATCTCGTGCCCTTCGGTGCGATGCAGTGCGTTCTTACCTTGGTCGTTGGGTCCGGGGGGGCTGATGTCGGCTCGTTAGGTCGCTGGAGTCCGGGAAAGAGATCTTCGAACGGTATGGGGAGCTGGTAGATGAGGATCATATTCCCTTTGTTCGAGCGTCGAGCGGACAGCGGGTGGTCGATAGTGCCAACAATTGGACAACAGGTTCGTTGCAATCTCGACAACTTACCGGTCTGATTATCGATTTGTCAGGTTTCGCGGTCGCGTCGCGACATATTTATCGGCCTATATTGAATGTGATCCTCTCTGAAGAGGTGTGTATTCATCCAATGAGCGACGCTGTCTCTAAATTAGTCGTTCGCAGGGCAACGACACGTTGGAGAACCACATGTGCCCCAATGCTGAGAAGCCGGAGGAGCTGACGCAAGAGTGGCTTTCGCTCTATGCGCCAGCGATCACCTCCCGTCTGAACATGTGGGCCCCGGGAGCGGGGCTGACGCATCCCGAGACCGCGGCGCTGATCTCGATGTGCGCATTCCACACTGCGGCGCTGGCAACGGGCTCCACCTTCGACACGCTGAGCCCGTTCTGCGATCTGTTCACCTCGGAGGAGTTTGCCGCGTTCGACTACTCTGCGGATCTGGAGAAGTACTACTACACGGGGCACGGGGCACGGCTCGGGCGTGTGCAGGGCGTCGGGTATGTGAACGAGCTGCTGGCGCGGTTGACGCGTTCAGCTGTGCGCGACCACACGCAAACGAACCGGACGCTGGATAGCGATCCAGCGTCTTTCCCGCTAGACAGGGCTATCTACGCCGACTTCTCACATGACAACACGATGATCGCCATCGTCGCTGCACTCGGCCTGTTTCGGCAGCGCCAGCCGCTCAGCGCGAGATATGTCGATCCGTCAAGGACGTGGCGGATTCACGAGATGGTGCCGTTTGCAGGCCGCATTGTCGTTGAGAAGTTGGGATGCGGACATGGACAGTTCGTGCGGGTGCTGGTCAACGACGCATTGCAGCCGTTGGACTTTTGCGCGTCTGACATATGTCGACTCGACGAATTCGTGGAAAGCCAGTCCTATGCTCGCAGTGACGGAGAGGGTGACTGGGAATTGTGCTACTCATAAGGAGACGCGTAGAAGTAGAAGGGTGTCATGTTTTCGCTAGTGACAGGAATACATAGATAAGATAAGATAGAATGCATGCGATTAGCTGTTGTTGATGCCAACGAGGACGTTGTTGATGTTGGGAGGAGCGACAGTGAAGAAAGAGTTGACGCCGGTGGCGTTGGCCACACCGGACAGACCACAGGTGCCGATGAAATCACCGGCAACGGCAGCCCGGTCCTTGTTGATGTACTTGGTGAACTGGTCGAGTGGGCAAGAGCGTCCGGGGCCCGACTGGCATGCGGGGATCTCGACGGGGGCACGGTTGACCTGGGGGTGTTTTAGAGAGCATATCAAGTTCTGCGATTGACAACTCACCCGGACGCGAACGTATTGCTTGGTCTGCGGAGTCAGGGTCTGGTTGGCCACGTGGTGGACGGTCTTCCCGGGAGCGTGCGCGGTGCAGGAAAGACGCTCGAGGGCAACGTAGCCTCGGAAAGACACGATGTGAGAGGCGCGGAACTGGCGGCGGTCGCTGGGCTTGGTGAACGACAGCGGGTACACCCCCTCGTGATCCGAGTTGTTCCACAGGCCGAGTGCAGACATGATCGGCGGCAGGTTGTTGTCGTGCTGCAGCGAAAGTGTGTTTCAGTCGCGTTGTCAGCGGACAGAACTGGGCACGCACGGTGAAGCTCATGATGAGGGGAGGGGGAGTGATGTTTCCACCCGGGGTCGTCTTTCCAGGACCAAGAGCAAAGAGATCAGACATGGCCTTGACCCACGGGTAGCCGACAGTCGCAGAGTACGGGTTTCCAGGGCCAGCACTGGAATCAATCGGTCTCCGAGAACGCAAAAACATGCGGACAACCCACCCGTAGTAGTAGTTGAGGTCATGCGCATACTCGTACTTCAACCACTCGGAGTCTGCGCAAATGTCATGTGAGCCGGAGAAGCAGCAGATTGTAGTGGCTGCAGCGCACCAGTGTAGGTGTTACAGAAGCTGCTGTCGCCGTCGACTTCGGTGAGGAAACCGCAGAGATCGCCGAAGCCGCCGATGTCGTTGACGTCGAGGGTCAGACCCTGGATGTACTTGTTGAGACGGGCGATGGTGGCGTTTTGCCAGGTGGCGCGCCACGCGGTGGTCGCCGGGCCAGACCTGTCACCTGACGCATAGCGCGGGCAGCCGGCTGACGAGGTAAGCGAGTCGGCGAACGTGTAGTTGACAGAGTCGGGGAGGACGATGATGTTCGCACGGTTGGCAGAGGTGTTGGTGATGTAGTTGCCCTGCGAGAGGTAGCCCCGGGCAAAGTACGTCGCAGTGTCCAGCACACGCTGTTGGCCAGCGGACCTGTGATCCAGCCAGCGTCAGATGACCTGCAGCGCATCCGGAAATAACATAACGCACCAGAGCGTGAAGTTGCTGCCACCCGGTGTCATCTTGTACAGCTTACGCAGTTGCACACCGAGCGAGAACGCCTCCAGTGCACCGGTGGAGGACAGGTATAACGGCTCATGGGGAGTATCGTCGATCGGATTGGTCCACGACGCCAAAAACGCGAGAGGACCGGAGACGGTGTACGTGCCGTTCTTCAGCTTGGCAGCGAGCGTCTTCCAGTAGTTGGCAGAGCCAGGCTCGGGGTACCGTGCGCCGTGACGGACGATGTAGGCGGCCTGGTCGACGACACAGTTGTCCGGGGTATCGTAGCTGACATCGTCCTCGATCGGCGCGTCAAAGTAAGGAGAGGCCGGTCCGGAGTGTTGGAGCGGGTTGAATTCTGCAAGGACAGTCTGGAGCGAGACAGCAGCGAGGACCAAAGGAAGGAGTTGCATGGTGGGCGACTGAGGCACGGAAATTTCGAAGCCCAGCAGTGCATGCTTAAGTACGACATTTCCCACCAGACAGAGAACGTGTGTGGAAGTTCGGCCACAATAACGGACAGGCTTCCAAGGTCCCAGGTCTGGGATTGCGCTCAGGAACACCTGGCCGAGCACAACCCAAATCTCTTCTCCTAGGCCGCCGCTGTCCGAAATAACATTTTAGAGGTGCTGGGACATGTCATCCCATACAAGTCGCACAAGTGTAAGCCGTACTCCCAGGCGCGTTATTGCGGTGCTTGCAGCAGCACTCACGGCCTACGAGTCAGGTACACCACGGTGGTCGCACGACTGAGCGATCTTCACGTCACAGCGAGCCACGCGACTTGACGAACGTGCTTGTGTCGAATGACGTCTGTGTCTGTCGCGCGCTCGCTGATCTATCGCTGATCCTCGACTTCGAAATTCCACGGTCGCGCACGGACGCAAACGTGGCTGGCGGGAGCACGAGCTGGGCAAGCAAGCGTAAGCACGGCTATCGCACGAACGCGCTCCCCAAGCCTCTCCGACTGACAGCACTTCCTTTCTTCGTGGAATCGTCAATCGCGGGTGCCTGGCGCGTGCGGCGTGCCTAGGCCGGGTGCCGCCAGTCAGTGGGGCGTTATATTCTCGAAAGAGAGGAGCGGAGGCGCTTTCGTGATGCGGTCAAGCTCGACCAGACTGACGAGGAAAGTTTTTTCTGTTGCGATTCCAGATTGCAGGTCCCTTATAAGATCTGCATACCACTGCAAAGCATAGATCGACTGTCGGTCTCCCAGTCCAGACCGGGGATAAGCACGTCAGTCGTATGCGCTGTTCAACATCGTCAGGATTGTTGAGCAATGGCGTGGCGGGATCACAAACCTCAGGCAAGCGCGATTGCTCGTAAGTTCGTAACCATCAGATGTTTTCCATCATCGATCATCGATCATCCCTTACAACCTCACTTTCATCTTCAGACCACTACATCGTCTTCTCCTGTCTTCTCGTGTTATTTCTCGCTGCTCCTCTGCGCAATACATCTTTGATGAACACGCACATCCGGCTATCTGAGTCCGTTTTCATTGTCCGCGGGAGTAAATGTGCGACTTGTCGGGACAGAGCTGATTCGGCACAGTGTATCTGATGTAGCATGTCCTCAACATCTCTCCGTGCGATATTGATTCACCCTTGAGTTCCGGAGCAAGTCTACTATCTACGCCAATGTTTGGCATCAGAGCGGTAACCGACTCCCTTCGCTCCTTTCGCGCGTTTGATGATCGTCAATGATTGTGTTTCGTCCCGAATGCATAAAGTCGAGCAGATCCCGCTGAGATGTCTATTCCTTTCCTTTCCTTTCTCCAAGGGCTTTCTTGCAGCCCTTCAGTCTTTCCCTGCCAGCCAGGTTCTCATCACTCTTTCTCTTCGGCCCCAACCGCTTTTTGGATTACTTCATTTCAATCTTCCAACCGCAATGTTTACCTCCACTCTTTTGACGCTCCTCAGCGTCAGTGCGTCCCTCGCCGCCCCTATCCGACGTGATGTCACCCTCGATGCGACTGCGACGGCCGAGGCCCAGCGCCGCGATGCAACTGCGACTCGCGCGTTCAGTGGAGTCCCGATTAAGGTACGTCTATCGGGCCGAATTCACGTGCCCCTAATGATTCTGACTCTGATGTGCTCTGACAGACCTCGAGTGGAAAGTGTCTCTCTGTCAATCCGTTCTCTGGAGACTTCCGGGAGAATCTGACGCCGGTGAACCTCGTCGACTGCAACGGCAGTGCCAACCAGACCTGGGATGTCATCACCGCGGGCGTGCATAACAACGCGCCTGGGACTGCTCTTATCGTCAGCGCCTTGGTAAGTGCATATACATCTGTAATACATAAGAGACTGATCTCTAACGCGGCACTTCATCAGACCCAAGCGTGCCTTAACTTCGATCCTCGGCGTGCCGCAGGCAACCAGGTGCTTCTGTTCTCGTGTGGTGGGCGGGCAGACGGAGGTGGATCCGTCACGAACTCTCAGCAATTCGCCTTCAACGGCGGCTCGGGCCCGATTCCTCTGGCCCCGCTCAACGGGAACAACCAGACTTGTCTGACAGCCGGCGGCAAATTGCTTGACCAGACGGCTTGCAACCCAGCTACTGCTTCCGGGAACTTAGTGCGTTTGCATTGCCTAGATGAGATCATGCGTTGACAGGTCAATTAGTTGTTCACTATCGGTTCTGGTTCCGGCTCTGCGGCTGCACCTCCTCCGCCTCCACCTCCGGCTACGACTGCTGCCAGTGCTCCTACCAACGTGGCCGCCGCTGCCCCGGCTTTGCAGAGCGTCACGCTCGATCAAACCGCCGTTGCTGAGGCTCAGGTTCGGGACAACACGGCCACCCGGGCTGCTTCCAGTGTTCCGATCAAGGACTCGACTGGAAAGTGCCTCACTGTCAATGCCAACTCGGGCGATTTCCGCGAGAATCTGACCCCCGTTACTGTCCAAGCCTGTGACGGCTCCGCTGGACAAAACTGGGATGTGGTCACCGCTGGCAAGCACAACAATGTCGCTGGAACTGCTCTGGTCGTCAGCGCTTTGGTGTGTTGCCTGATTGATCTCTTTTCGCATGGCTGATACCCTATAAAGACTCAAGCATGCCTGAACTTCGATCCGCGTCGTGCCGCAGGCAACCAAGTTCTGTTGTTCTCGTGTGGAGGTCGTGCTGACGGCGGAGGATTGGTGACCAACTCTCAGCTGTTCACCTTCTCCGGCGCTGGCTCGATCCCCCTCCAGCCGACGAACCAAGCCGGCACGTGCTTCTTCAACAACAACGGATTCCTCGACCAGCAGGCTTGCAACAACGGGGCTGCGCAGCTTTTCACTATCGGTTCTGGCTCTGCGGTTGCAGCCCCTCCCGCGGCGACGACGGCTGCTGCGGCCAAGACCACTGCTGCCGCACCTGCGACCACTGCTGCAGTTCCGGCGACCACTGCCGCTGCTGCTGCGCCCCCGCTCAAGAGCGTCACCCTCGACCTCACTGCCGTCGCCGAGTCCATGGTTCGTGACAACACCGCAACTCGCGCTGCCTCTAGCGTTCCGATCAAGGATTCGACCGGAAAATGTCTGACAGTCAACGCCAACTCGGGCGATTTCCGCGAGAACTTGATCCCGGTTACCGTTCAGGCCTGTGATGGCTCCGCTGGCCAGAACTGGGACGTGATCACTGCTGGAAAGCACAACAACGCGGCGGGGTCGGCTCTTGTTGTCAGCGCCTTGGTGCGTTTGTTTGCTCCTCCATTGCTTTTCGCTCTGCTGATTCGGCTTCTTAGACCCAGGGATGCCTGAACTTTGACCCCCGTCGTGCCGCAGGCAACCAAGTTCTGCTGTTCTCGTGCGGAGGACGGGCTGACGGCGGAGGATCGGTTACCAACTCGCAGCTGTTTACCTTCACCGGCGCGTCCAAGTCCATCCCTCTGCAGCCGGAGAACCAGGCTGGAACATGTCTGTTCAACAACAACGGATTCCTTGACCAGCAGTCGTGCAACAACGCTGGCTCGCAGGTGCGTGTGGCTGGCGTGTGGTCGTGACCGTCATTTGCTGACCATCTTCTCCCAGGTATTCACCATCGGCTAGACGAATGAACCAGCCATTCTCGTAGATAGGATTACGATGTACACGCATATTCCCAAAAAGAGTTTGTCGGTTACTTGGGCTCAGATTGTGTGACTTACGCGGATCGTCACCGACCACGTGCCGTCTCGTCACCAACTGGAAGATCTCTTGACCACGACCACTTACATGTTGCGCCGCTCTTCGAAAGTTCCGGCCCAAGAACTTGAAGTAAGAAATCACAAAAGATGAACCCGAAACTTGATTGAGAGAACAATTCGAAATTGATCTGGAGAACCTCGCCCAGTTTTTCCTCAGTCAGGTTCCAACTGCTTTGATGTAGAGTGCTCGCGAATACTTACTACTATGGGGATTCGGTGCCATGTAAGTGATATTTCGACAATTTTCAACCTCCCTCGTTGATGATGAGGGCAATACTATGACCTGATCGACTCCAGAGCGTACTAAGTCCTCCGTATGAGGACATGTCCGAACTGTACTTCCAACGATATGGACGGTCTCTTCAACTCGCTGCGCGCATATCAATGTTGTTGATATCAGCTTCACACTTGGAAGCACCGGGGATGAATGCAGCATCGTTGCCGCGCAATATGGGTGGGTGTCCGTCCCTTCTAGCGATGGTATTACAGTAAACGTTATCTATCCTGGAGCAGGGAATGCCGTGCCTCCGAAGCGACTGGGATGATGCTTGTCGTCAAGTCTTGAGGGCGAACGGTCGCAATGTAGGGCATGTCTTGATATGGCGACTATCCAAGAATGTCAAGACCAATCAAAGTATGCATCTATATCTTTCAGAAAGTCAACCTGCCGCCTTGTGGAAGCAGCACGCCGGGAAATTTTGGGGATGGACTCTGAAGTCAGGTGATTGTGGAGCAGAAGAAACGCGCGGAGGATCACAGGCAGCCCTTGTTCTCTGAGCGCCTCGAGCTCGGCATACTTCACCTCTCGGCGACAAAGGTGACAAATTCGAACGACTGTTAGTCGGAAAACTCCCAGAAAAGGCCGGCAAATGCTGCGCAATCAGACACGCATGCTTCGCAAACTGTTGGCCAAGAAGTCAAGGGCTAAATGCGACATGCTACAGCTCTGCACGATTCTGTTCAAATGCTATGCGTGTCGTCGACCGGACACTTGCGCTCGAACTCTGTTTCATGGCTGTTTGCGGCAGAAGCCTCTTCTTGAGGACCGGGATCCTGAAGACGACCAACGCTTGTTGCTCGTGTTCATGTCTGTAGCTCTAAGCGTCTAGGGTGTGAAGTTTGACGCCGAGTCTCCGTCGCTGGTAGGCCTGCTTGTGTAGCCAAGACTCACAGAACATTTCCGGCTGCCACGCTCGAGGACAGGGAGACGAGGTTCTCTAACCTGCGGTATTCGGGAACATGCGTGGGCCGGCCCTTGTTCTGGCGTGAAGCGGTGAGTTGTCAGCCTTGTGGACGATAATCTTGCCGATTCTTCATCGTCACAGGTCGGACATAATCCGGAAAATCACCGAGACCGGCCATGCTTGAGGCTCTACCAGAGCCTTGAAAACAATTCGCAGTATTCGAAAGGTAGCATCGATGATCTCTAGCAGCATATGTACACCGCAGACCCGGTCTGACGCCCGAATGATGTTGGTCACCAACACCGTTTGACATTTGTTAATGATGTGAGGTAGACATCTTAATGGTGATCAGAATCAAGTCGAACAGCTAATCACTCCGTTGTATCTCTGACCAGGATGTATTTCTTACATCCAATACAAATATCAGCTTTATGTATGTAGAAACATACTATTCTATTCAGTGATGATCTTGATCTTGTTTCTTGGATATGTACATGGCCCTCAGGCAAGATGTCAATGCAACAGATGATTTCGACTTCAATATGAGATTTGGATCATATTTCTTGGTACACAATGACTATCAACTAAGTACTCGACCCAGAAGCAACACCAAACTCAGAGGGTACCAGGCTTGCACCTCGGGATGAAGGACGTGTCCCATTCTCCTCCTCCTCCTCCTCCTCCTCCTCAAGTTCCTGGCGCTTGCGTTTCTTCTGGCCTCGGCTGAAGCACTGGACTTTGGCTGCCTGTGCCGAGAGAGTGATCAGCCAAGCGGGACACTCCTTCGCTAAGGCCGATGTGCCAATTTTGCATTTGGTGGTCACAGGATCTCCATACTTCTCGATGTCGTCTTCATAAGCTTCTTCGAGAGCTCTGGGGCCGACGCAGAAGAGTCAGACTCAATTAGCTAAGAACTGTAAGACGCAACTCACGCAACAAAGTCCATATCCCCGATGTCTCGCAACTGATTCATCTCGCTATCGAGTATGTCCCAGTGCTGCTTCACGGGATGATTCTGTTCCACGTGGTAGCGCTAAAGAGGCGGATACATCAATGAGGGGGACAGCGGGCTGAGCAAAAAAGACTTACCAGATATGCCATCCGCATGAATGTGAATCGCGTTGCACAGACAGATGGGTCAGCATGTTTCAGAATTCTCTCGCAGAGATGAGCAATGTTCCTCATCTCCTTGTTCTTGAGTTTGATCGATTTCAAAATCTGTAGAACGGTCAGGAGCTGCAACAAGCAGAGACAGTCAATACCTCCCTCAGCCTTGAGAGCAGAGCGGATCACACTGACTGCGCGACCCAACCAAGTCACAAAGAGACCATATTCCTCTGAATCAACACCCGGGACACGCTTAACTTTCATGAGAGTCAATGTCGTCTTAAGTAGAGTAGTCAGTGGTGCTCAAGAGCGGTCACAAGCCTCACCAGAATCGCCGTTTCGATGGTTCCACCATAATACGTGAGATTCGGGAGACAGAGAATAGACCACACGTATTTCCGACAGATCTTCTAAAAAAAATGTCAGTAAGACATGAAGGCGATGTGAAACTTGCATGCAGCTCACAGCCAGTGACGTCTCCGGAGCCCATTCACCTTCGTGACTCCTGGCCGTATCAACTAAGCCGCGAACCATATCCTTTGTCTGAAGGAGATGCATGAACGCGATGGTGTCACGTTCGTCCTTGTTCGAGGTCTGAGAGACTGTCAGCGCAAGAAGTTTCCATTGATGTGAACTTCACCTCGAAGTATCGTCTAAACTCTGCTTCACTGTCGGCAGAGAGGCTGGCATCTTTGGCAAGACGTTCTCCGAAGCTCTTCACGCTTGAAAGTGGGAAGCGTGGCTGAGTCAGAGGAGGAAAGTCGGGAGTGCTGTTGTCACGGTTGAGTCGAGGTGGAAAGTTCTCAGGCGGAGCAAGTGGAGAACTCGGCACAGGCGTCAAATGTCTGCTACCCTGCTGCGAAGCTGCACGGGCAGCTTCTGCGCGACGCGAAGCCCTTTGAATCAGTGACTCCGCCATGAAAGCAAAGGGAGAGAAAAGGCGATGTCGAATTAATGTGTCAACAAACAAAAACTGCACGGCTGTGTTAAGTTCGAAAGATTCTCACCTCGAGAACAGACCTTACCAGAAGTGGGTATTCTAAAACCCATATAGACTATTGCACAGAACTGGAAATGGCACCGACGCGCTGGGAGCCGCCATCGGGTATTATCATCGGCTGTGCGCAAGAGAAGGTCAGAGCTGACTGCCACTTTAGAACTGAGGCCGCACCTGGAATACTCTCCAAAGAGGACTCATGTTAGATGCCTTCCCTGTCTTGAAGAGCGGAAGTCGGGAACTGGACGGTTCATAGACCGCAGAAATCTGAAGGCGCATTTGGAAACAAGCACACATTCTGCAGCTTGGACAAACCATCAAGTGCGCGCTAAAAACCGAGAACCTGAAATCGCTTCTATTGACACCTCATACACTGCAGATGCTCTTCAGGACATCGTTGGGCTCGAGGACAATGTTGCTATGTTGGCTTCGACACGTCTTGGGATGTTCTCCGAGTCTTCCACGAACTTGAGCCCTGAACACCCAGATCCATCGTTGTTGGCGAGAGGCAGGGACGATTGGTCGGCTCCGGTGCCCTTGTTGATAAGCGAGTTGGGCCTTGGCTCGTCGGATTTGTGTGAGGCAGACACACCCGAAAAGCGCAGAGCGCTTCTTGCACACCAATTCCAGGAAATCCTCATGGATGCAACGAATGCCCAAACACCTCTTGACTTGCTGAGCGACGAGGATTTTTTGGGGGATGAGATCAACGAGATCATGGCTCGAGAACAAGGAGATGAAGACGATGACCTTTGCTTTGATTTTGATGCACGCGCTTCATCGGCATACAGGCCGTATCCGAACAAGGCCGTGAGTGGAGTGCTCAGTTTATTGGCACGCTGGAACTCATCTAAACGTCTCAGATGATGCTCCTTGATATTATGGACAACTTGCCGCGCTGCCGCTTTACAAGCCTTCAGCTCTCCCTCATAATACATTTTGCGAAACAGCTTGGGGCTCCGGATATCCCATCTCTGAAGAGCTTTCGTCAGTTCCAACAAGTTCTACAGGAAAAAACGGGCCACAAACCAGTTCGATGTGTATCTCAATTTGAGAATGTCTTTTACATGAACGATATCCGTGATGCCATTGCTCGGGATCTGGCCAACCCGTTGGTTGCGCCGCACCTGCATTTCTATCCGGAGGAGCCATCAGGTCCCATTTCTGAGGTGTATCAGGCCGAGCGATGGTTTGAATACACGGCATCACAGTTAACACCGATGTACAGTCGAGGTCACAAGCGGTGGTGGATCGAGGAACTGTCTCGGCTTTATGATGGAACTTTCGTGATTCCGCATACCTGGATTGTTCGCCAAGGAGTGCTTACCGCCGACGCATCCGTTGTCATACACAACCCCGATGGCAGCTGGACCATATCCTCCGAGGAGCGGACAATCCTGGCCGCTGACCTTGAGCTGGACTTCGGTGATATCACAGCCTTATTCGGTCAAGATTTTCAATGGACGGACGTGAGTACGGTTCAGGTGATGCCAAATGTGCAGCGCAAACTGGTGGATGAAGACGAAGACTTGTTTGTGGTCATGGTCTCACCCTGGGCCGACGATGTCTCCGGTAACCGATCGAAACAATACAATAAACACATGAATATGTATACAGGCAACGGTTGCCTCCCTGGTCGTCTCCTCCAGCAGGAATTCCACATGCATTTCCTCTCGAGTTCACCGCATGCTACTTCACCTGAGCAATTCTCCGCATTTCGAGACCAAGTGAAGGCCACCGAGACTGATCCCATCCGATGCTTCAATGCAGCGACTAAACGAAAAGCCCGTGTCATCCTTCGAGTTCCATCGTTGCCTGCGGACAACCCACAGCAGTCCGAAGAGTCTTCTCATATGGGAAGTAACGCGAACTTTCCATGTCGAAAGTGCCATTGGGGCGGGACAAAGATCGAGAAGGAATCTGATGAACTCTATCATCGGTGTCACTATCCGGGCATCATGCGAAACACAGCTGAGATACGCACTTGCCTTAGAAGACAGCTTGAGCTTGCAACTCGTGGGGACTCGAAACGAATTGAAGAGCTTCAGAGAACAACGGGGACAAAAGACAAGATTACACAACACTGGATTGGTGTACTGCTTGACAAGTTCAAGTTAATGAAATCAAACGTTCCCCGGCCAGGGGTGGAAGATATTGCTGTCAAATTGAATCAATGGCTGGACGAGCAACCCGGGGACAAAATGAACCCATTGCTTGATCTTCTTGGCCTTGATCCATCGCAGGATACACCCATCGAGCTGCTGCATACAGTCCTTCTCGGAATCATGAAATACATCTGGCACTTCATGAATACCAAAAAATGGTCCGATGAAGATCGACACTTACTTGCGATTCGACTCCAGTCCACAGACTTGAGCGGCCTCAGCGTTCCGCCCATCCGGGCAGCATACATGATACAGTACAAGAACAATCTTATCGGGAAACATTTCAAGACTTTGATGCAAACCCTTGCTTTCCACGTCCACGGCATCGCAACACCCGAGGAGTTTTCCCTCATGAAAGCAGCTGGGGACCTGGGTGCTCGTTTGTGGGTCCCGGAAATCGATGATATGACAACGTACCTGGCCGAAATTGAAGTTGCTGTTGCGAACATTCTTGATGCATTCGATGCTGTGGACCCATCACGGATTTTGGACAAGATCAAGATACATCTGTTGACTCACATAGCAGACGACATTCGACGCTTTGGGCCCCCCATCAGAAGCGCGACAGAGATCCAGGAGTCCTACAATGCCGTGTTTCGACTGTGCTCGGTTTACAGCAACCGTCAAGCACCGAGCCGAGACATCAGTACAAAGTTTGCTTCGATGGCGCGCATGAAACACTTACTGTGCGGGGGCCTCTGGTACAACGCTGACCGGGATCATTGGATTAATGCTGGAGATGCTGTTTGTCGGGTCCTTCAGGATGACGCTACATTCCAGCAGTTCCTGGGTTGGACCAAGCCAAAAGATGTTAGCCCAGGATCCATTTCGGCTATGCCGAAGAGGATTCCACTCCGAAAATGGACGACGACGCATGCATCAAGATACCAAGACTCAACCTTGTCTGCGAAACTGCCAAACGGAAGCACAGCAGAGATGTGGAAAGCGGGGCAAACCTTGACAGCGCAGAGTGGTGACGCGATCCAGAAGGGAGGCTGGGTTGTTGCATTGGATCCGCACGCCAAGGTTGTCTTTGGTCGGGTGATCGAGCTTCTCCACTCGCCAGTCGCAATCGTCACAATTGAGTGCTTTGTGATGGGTGAGAAGCGACATCCAGACTTCAAGTGGCCAGTCTTACGCCGTCCAACTGGCCAGGAGATAGTTGCAGGAGCGAAGAACTTCTGGGTCCTGGAGGGAAGTGCCGTTCAACTTGCGATTTCCGTTCAACATGACTGTCGAAGGGGGGGCTGCGAACCGAACATCGTTCGCAAGGAGAAGCAAGAACGTGAAGAGACGAACCAGATTACCAAGTTAATCCAGCACTCTGACGATGACCGCTTCATCCTCAATCTCTCCGCCTGTCATAACCATGTACAACTGTGCCGCATCCTGCCTCCAGAGATGACCATGCTTGAACCACTCCATCCGGATCGAAAAACGTTCCATACCCTGATGTCATCGCAAGCCCAATCGATCAAGACGAAAAAACGAAAAAGGACAGCCGAGAAACGACGAGCTACAGCGGCAGCCAAGCGCGAAGATGCAGATAGGGCGGAGGGAGAGGCAGGAAGGGCCGAGAAAGTAATCGATGAAGAGGCAGACGGGGCGGCAGATAGTGACCTAGAGGGTTCAGACGCTGGAGGATCGCCTGGGATGGAGACAGAAGAACTGGCATTTGTGTCTGTCGACTTGGATGAGCGACCGCGAAAATGGCGCAAGGCAGCCATGTGACTTGATGGATGGATGGATCACCGGATGTGATGTCTCCGCTGGATGTACATCTGATCAGTTGGGAAGATTTCTTGTGGATGTAATCCTATAGTTGAAAAATACGTCTAAGTCACTTTATCATATATACATGTGCAGAACATCGGTTGAATATCCGACGAAGATGTAATCTGGATGTAAATACTTCACATCACCCTAGCATCAGGCCGGGTTGGTGGTGTAGATAATGCGGTATTCAGCTACAGATCAGTCTCTCTCGGCTTCTATGTCATTATTAAGTGGAGTTGAGCCATGAACATTAACTTTGTGTAGAAGTCTTACAGTAAGGCCATTATTTAATCAGGCTCAGTCTCGACTTGCGCAATTTTACCTGGTTATTTGTCTCATGTGAGAATTACCACCAACACGACTGAGTTTGCTCTAAATGTATGCCGAGAACATTACTTCTTTAGTTTTCGGAATCGATTTAAGGAACTGAATTACTTTACGCGTCCAAGAGATGATATCGCCCCTCCGAATGTGTGGCTAGGTGTAAGCATTTCAAAATTACATCACATCTAAAAAGAAGAAGAAAAAGGCTATACCCTCTGAAGTAGCCCGTTGTCCGCTCGCAGTTATACAGTGAAGCGGGCTGACGGAGACGCTGCGGGTCGTGTAATTACGGTTGACAACCGAAAGTCCGAAGCGACTTTGTTTGGTGTTTGTTTGGCCTCGGGTGATAACGGGTATAAACACTCGGTCCCAAAAGTTACCTTTCCTCACCATACCTCGACGATGCTCACCTCGCGCGGCGCAGTAGCCCGCCTCTCCCGGAGAGCGGTCAGCTCGAAAAAGGCCACCGCTGCCTTTTTCTCCACTCTCCCCCGAGCTTCCCTCCCACAGTCGAAGACCCAGCAGCGCGCCGGCGCACGCCCGTCTTCTTCTGCTGTCCCCTCGTGTAAGCTCTAAAAACACTACACCGGTGGCTTGCTTCTCATCCACTCTGCCCCCAGCTCGCAACTATGCGACCGAGTCCAAGGCAGTCGTCGGCTCCGTAAAAACCGTCATTGGTGCCGTCGTGGATGTGCAGTTCGAGACCGAGAACCTTCCCCCCATCTTGAACGCCCTGGAGGTTCAAGACTTCTTCGGCGGCCGGCTCGTCCTGGAGGTTGCTTCTCACCTTGGTGAGAACACCGTCCGTACCATTGCCATGGACGGTACCGAGGGTCTCGTCCGTGGACAGAAGGTCGTCGACACTGGTGCCCCCATTCAGATTCCCGTCGGTAGCGCCACCCTCGGCCGTATCATGAACGTCATTGGTGAAGCCATTGACGAGCGTGGCCCTATCAAGGGTGTCAAGCTGTGCCCGATTCACGCCGACCCCCCTGCCTTCGTGGACCAGTCCACTGAGGCCGAGGTCCTCGAGACCGGTATCAAGGTCGTCGACCTGCTCGCTCCTTACGCCCGTGGCGGAAAGATTGGTCTCCTCGGTGGTGCTGGTGTCGGCAAGACCGTGTTGATCCAGGAGCTCATCAACAACGTTGCCAAGGCTCACGGTGGTGTGTCCATCTTCTGCGGTGCGTCCTAGTTTCTTTCCATCCTCTGCCAATTCTCATTTTCGTTCAGGTGTCGGCGAGCGTACTCGTGAGGGTAACGACTTGTACCACGAAATGATTGAGACCGGTGTCATCAAGCTCGACGGCGAGTCCAAGGTCGCCCTCGTGTTCGGTCAGATGAACGAGCCCCCTGGTGCCCGTGCCCGTGTCGCTCTGACTGGTTTGACCATTGCCGAATACTTCCGTGACGAGGAGGGACAGGATGTGTTGCTTTTCATCGACAACATTTTCCGTTTCACCCAGGCCGGTTCGGAAGTGTCTGCTTTGCTCGGACGTATTCCGTCTGCTGTCGGATACCAGCCCACGTTGTCCACTGACATGGGTGGCATGTGCGTTGTGTTTTGCTAGTGTGTGACGTGGCCTCATTTTCTCCAGGCAAGAGCGTATCACCACCACCAAGAAGGGTTCTATCACCTCCGTGCAGGCTGTCTACGTGCCCGCTGACGATTTGACTGACCCCGCTCCGGCCACGACCTTCGCTCACTTGGACTCGACTACTGTGTTGTCCCGTGGTATTGCCGAGCTCGGTATCTACCCTGCCGTCGACCCCCTGGACTCCAAGTCCCGTATGTTGGACCCCCGTATCGTGAGTGTATGCAACCTGTACGTCTGAGTCCTTCCTGACGTATGTTTCCAGGTTGGTCAGGACCACTACGACACTGCGACTGCCGTCCAGAAGATTCTCCAGGACTACAAGTCTCTCCAGGATATCATTGCTATCCTGGGTATGGACGAGTTGTCTGAGGAGGACAAGCTGACCGTCGAGCGTGCTCGCAAGATCCAGCGTTTCATGTCGCAGCCCTTCCAGGTCGCGCAGGTGTTCACTGGTTACGAGGGCAAGCTTGTGTCGCTGAAGGACACCGTCCGTTCGTTCAAGGAGATTCTCTCCGGCCAGCACGACTCCCTGCCTGAGTCTGCCTTCTACATGGTTGGAACGATCGAGGACGTCAAGACCAAGGCCGACCAGCTTGCCAAGGACATGGCATCCTAAATGTCAACAATTGTCTCGTTGAAGGGCATCGGTCACAAAATGGCGGTAGTGGGCGCGCGGAATAATTTTACTTTTGTCCTATCGTACATCTTAGAGAACCCGCCTTTCGTCTTGTCCCTCTACGTTGCAACAAAAAATAACGTTATTTCTGTCACGAGTGATGAGTCGCGTCAAGGACTGTTTAGGTTGACTCCACAAGTTTGACTTTCCGCCCTTGTGTTCTTCACGTGACCTGCCTTTTTGGGAAGCCACCGGCACGTGCACACGGAGGCTCCGGATCCTAATTTATTTTATTTTAATTATCGATGTGCTTGTCCAGTAAGCATGTTTGTTGATGATCTCGTGACCTTCCACCTTTCTCCCTTGCCCATCACCCTCCTCCCATTCGACGCGCCGATCCAACGATAACCCGCCCCAGCCGTTCGTGCCACGCGATGTGCGTGCACGAACGGCCTTCTACGTCATTCGGCTTCCGCCCCACCGCTAGTACTTGACGGAGGGAGGGCATCGGAGGTGATGCCGTGACCGCTTGCTCACGGCGTCACTTCCGATGCCCTCCCTTCCCTCTTTCTTCCGCTACTCCCTCATCCCCAGCTCTTTGCGCGTCGTCCGCTCTCCCTCATCCTGTGCCACACAGCACCTCCAGCCCTCTGCTATACATATACACAAGTAACTCTAAGTTTATTTATCTCTACTAGCTACAGTGTTATATGTACCTCTATGTAGATGCAAATGCCACTTCCTTGCCCCCTCTTCCTGAGCTCCTTGAATTCTAGGTATATTTCTAACACTTAGTCATTATTCCGTGTATCTGTACCCTATTTATTCAAAAGAAATGATTTTCGACGAAACCCAAGGGCGGAAAATGAGAACTGCCGGTCAACGGTGTTCTCATCAGCGGCCGCCGGCGCTCACGTGCTTCCCAAAAAGGAAACCCAAGGGCGGAAAATTGCGAACTGACACCACATGGCCAAAGTCGATATCCACGCTCACCTGACCAGCACGTGAGAATCAACACTCATCTTGAAACCACCTCTCGCTCTCCCGCGTCTGCGGCAAATGGCGCCCCGCCCACCTACCGACAATGCCCAGAAGCTGCGCGAGCAGCTCTCAGGAATCTTCGATCAAGTTCAGACGTCGCTGGCGAATCACCGGAAGAATTACGTCGCGCTGCACAAAATCCATTCTAAAGCGGAGCAAGGGGATTTCGTAGAGGTGTTTTTGGAATGCGTCAGTCGGATAATGAGTTTGAAGAAGGGTCCTGCGGTGGATAGGGTAGGGAAGTTTATTGGCGGATATGTCAAGTTTGTCAACGAGAAAGGTGAGGGATAGCGGTTTGTTCCATGATCACAGGCTTACGCTTGCCCCAGTGAACGAGGAAAAGGAGAAACTCCTTGCCGATAAGAACAGGTCTATATCAGCCGGTGGAAACGACGATGCGGATGAGGATAGTCTCGCGTCTGTGTTCGTTGCTGCGATCTTGGAATGGATCATGCAAGGTTTCGTGGCAAAGAACAAAGTCGTGCGATATCAGGCGGTGCATCTAGTTGCGGAAATGATCGCGTTTCTGGGAGAGATTGAGTGGGTGCCTGTTATTCCTCCTGTTTCCACTTCTCACTCGAATGTGTGCTCTGTAGCGAAGAAAGTTACCTGTCCCTACGCTCGAACCTCGTCGACCGCTCAACCTGCGACAAGGAGGCCCCAATTCGCGCTCAGGCTGTATCTGCGCTCTCCCGGCTAATAGGGAGCGAAGACAACGATGAGTTGGAGGACGGGGAGAAGTCTATCCTGGAAGTCCTGCTGGAGGTCATGTCGACGGATCCGTCACCAGAAGTTCGCCGCGCAGCTCTCATGAATGTCCCACTTACACCGACGACGCTTTCCGTGCTACTGGACAGGACGAGGGATGTCGACGCGGTGACGCGTAAACTGGTATACTCGGGTGTGTTCACGCCAAGGCTTGAGAATCCCCGGATGCTATCGATTGGTCAGCGAGAGACACTCGTGCGCGCCGGACTCGGAGATCGGGAGCCTGCAGTAAGGCTCGCCGCGGGGAAGATGGTCGGACATTGGTATGATGGGGTTTTGACGGATCCCTCTACCAAGGATGATGGATGGAATGGGGACGACGGCGGAGTGATGCGAGCTCTTGTATCGCTCCTGGGCCTCTTCGACGTTGTTGGCCCTGGTGAAGCGATCGCTGTTGACGCGCTTGCCAGTCTGTTCACAACACGGCCCGAATTGTATACTGTGTTTGTTTTCGAGGGTACGTCGACCTTTTTTAGTTCATCATTGCCCATTTTGATCGAGATCAGACTCGTACTGGCAAAATCTGACCCCTGAATCAGCCATCCTGGCGCGTGTATTTCATGAACGTTGCCTTGCTGAGAAGCGCGATTCCCTTCTGGAGGATGCGGGTCTGCCCGTGGTGACCGCGTTTGCATTCCACATACAAGAAGGATATAACCAGCTTCTGAGTGCCTTGGAGGCTGCTGAGGTGGCACGTGCACTAGGCACCGGTGATGACGATGAAGACAGTGGCGCGGAGGAGGAAGAGATGGCCATTCGTGAAGCAGTGCTCGGGGATTTGCTTCGGATGGCAGTCAAGCTGGATTATATGGATGAAATTGGGAGGAGGAAGGTTTATACTGTATCCCGTACGTGTTGTCTTCCTTCTGCTTTCCTGGCGCTGAACGACAGACCAGGCGACATGCTCGCTCACGCCCAACTGCCACCCGGCCTTATTCCATTATGCCAAGACGTGATGAAAGAAATCTTGCCCACAGAGCGGGAGCTCATCCGTGTGAATGTGGAGATTATCATGGATTTGCTAGAGCCCGAACAGGAGGAGCAGGATGTCAACGATGTACGTGTCTGATCTATTGCATTTTCTGAGGGACTGAAGGGATCGTAGAACGACACTACTACATCCGATGCAACGTTTCGTAAGGAGCGCTCTCTCCGGCGTGCCAAAACGCGCGAAGACATGTCTCCTGATGAAGCGATGAGTGCGGACTTGACGGATCTGAGGTGTTTGGAAATATGCATCAGTATGCTTGAAAGAGTGCATGGGGCGAGTGTTTTGAGCTCAAGTTACAGTTGATACTAACAATCGAGTTTCCTCAGAACTTTGAAGACAACTCCACCTTGGAGGGAATTCTCGCAGATTTGATCATTCCCGCTGTGAGGAGAAAAGAAGTCGGGATCCGCGAAAAGGGAGTGGTCAGTCTCGGGCTGTGTTGTCTTATTGCCAAGGCATGTTATCATGTTTCTGTGCATTTGAAGCAAGCTGACCTTGTCCAAAGAATATCGCCGTAAAGTCACTTCAATTGTTCCTATCACAAATTCAGGGTGCACCACCACAGCTCAAGCTCAAGCTGCTCCAAATTGTATTTGACTTGATGGTGTTGTATGATCAACAGTTGTGGGGGCGACCCGAAGATGGGCAAGCAATTCTGGGCTTCCTGTGCAATCTGCTGCAAGTCGAGGAGTCGGACGAGGTACAAGCTGTGCTTTGTGTGGGACTAGCCAAATTGTTGTTGGCTGGTCTGGTGAGTGACGAAGGGGTGATCAAGACGCTCCTTGTTGCCTATGTCTCACCGTACACTACGGGCAACACAGAGCTGCGACAGTGCCTGTCTTATTTCTTTTCGGTGTATTGTTACTCAGCGCCCGAAAACCAGCGCAGGGTTCAGAAGGTGTGTGGCCTCAGTCTTTTCTGTTAGTCAGATTCTGACAGTCGCAGACGTTCATGGCGGCGTTCGACGCTGTGGTCAAGATGCATGACGAGCTTGACGATGAGCAGACGATGGTCACGCCTCAGCAGTTTGGAGAACTTGTCATTGATTGGTTGGATGCTGGCAAGGTCGCAGAAGTGTGCGTGCAAGCTGACTTTCCTTTCCCTGCATCTGCTGAAAAATTCTCAGCAACAAAACTGCTGCAGCAGGGTACGCGCAATCGGAGCTGGCAGCCGACATTCTCGAAGCCCTGTATGACGAGGAGCGAAGGGAAGAAGATCAACAAGCCTTGTGCACCTTCTTAGCGTATTTGCACCCCGAGCAAGAAGCCCCATTGACGCCAAGATTGTTGGTGAAGCTGAGTGCTTTGCTGCAGCACGTCCAAACCCAGTGCGACCCATCGCTGGCCAAAGCTGTGGCCAAATTCAGTGTACGGTTCAACAAGGAATTCGGCGATGCTGTGGCTAGCGTTGACTGGGCTGAATACGGGACGGATGAGATGAAGAAGCTGTATGACTGGATGAATGTCGATGTCCCTGACTATGGGTGCGTTGTTTGGATGTTCTCAATCAACACTGACGGTCGTTGAAAGCCAAAGGGGTGTGGAAAAGAAGAAGTCATCTCGCACCAAGAAACCCAAGCCAGATGACGAAGAGGAGTGAGTGGTTGACGTCGACTTTGACATTTCGACAGCAACTGATGTCTGTTGCAGGGAACAAGCAGAAGATGAAGAAGTCAGCGAGTCGCCGGAAGAGGCGCCAGTGGATGCAGACCTGTCAGAGCAGGAAGAGGCCAAGCCCGCAGATGAGGAAGATGCTATCCCAGACGAAAGTAATATCGAAGATGGCGTCGGTTCCGAACTGGAGCCGGACACTGAACCAGAGCAGGAGCAGGAGCAGGAGCAGGAGGAAGATCCAGAGCCGGAACCCGAGCCGGAACCCGAGCCAGCCCCCAAAACCAAGGGGAAAGGGAAGGGCAAAGCATCAGCTAAAGTCAAGGCCCAAGCCGAAGCAGCTGAAGAGGTGAAGCCCAAATCCAGAGGTCGAGGCTCGAGGAGCAAGGTTACCGAAGAAGTCGAAAAAGAGTGCGTTTACGCGTCGTCTGCCGGACTCACTGTCTGACACGACCTCTGCAGATCTTCATCTGTGAAGAAGAGGAGTAGTCGAGCGCGTGTGAGTCAGCCAGCTGAGGAACAAATAGAAGAGCAGGAAGAGGCAGCGGCCCCCCGGAAAGGGAGATCTCGTTCGACAAAGGCTATTGAGGAGCGAAAGCTGGCCCCGAAAGAGAAGAAACTCCGGGGGAGCATTGCCTCCCAAGCCGATGCTGAAGAATCTTCTGCACCGAGGAAAAGCAGTCGAAAGTCTGTCACATTCCTTGCAGATAGTTTCCACGCTGATCATTTCTTTTCAAATCACAGGAGGGCTCGAACGCCAGATCTGAAACCCGAGTCTACTGGAAAGAGGAGGAAGTCGCAGAAGGACTCTGAGCCAGAGCCAGCTGTAGCAAGTAAGGGCAAGAGGGCGAGTTCTCGACGGAAACCGCCGGCTGATGGCTCGGAGGACGAGCTCGGTGCGTATGACGAGACTTGAGGGTGAAGAAGACGAGTGATGGATGGATCTATGTGTATTTACGCGAGAACTGCCATGTACCAACGTATATTATGTTTACTTTAGAGATTTGTTGTTGTAAATGCACACTGAACTTGACCAGCAGTTGCCTCGTCAGTGTCGTTTCATATGATATTCCATAAGGCCCTCGATATGGCGCGATGGCCGAGTGGTTAAGGCGACAGATTAGAATGTTCTATCCATCTGTTTCGGTTTCCGAGCGCAGGTTCAAGTCCTGCTCGCGTCGCTGAGACAGACGATGTTGCACATATTTCTTTTGCTTCCTCCGTACGCCAGGCATAAGACCGTATTTAAATTGCCACTCGTTTCCCATGACAGCAGTTCCCTGAATGGTTCTATTAAAATAATGCCGACTGAGAATTATCATCGACTCAATCCCACTCCTCAATAGTATCATTGGACATTTGCGTGGCATCCGGTTCCTACATCTTGGTTGGCCAATACATTCATCAGATGAGTTGTGCTAACCTGGAGCGGCGAGATATAAATCCCGGGAGCAGGTGCGAATGCAGGGCCACGATTCGAGGTTGGCAGCATTCGGCGAGTCTCAGGTGTCGTCGTCATCGTCTCGTTCTCTACAGACTCGTTCGCATGGGGATCATCAATAGCCACATCGTTCATGCTAACATCCTGGGAATCAGCGTTCTGCTCTTCTAATGCATCCTCGTCGTCATCCGGATCTTGCTCCGGTTCGACTTGCGTCTCGTACAGGTAGTCGTCATCCAGACCCGAAAGCTCTTCTTCGCTGTATGCGTCTTTCCGGATAAACGGCTGCCATTTGAAGTCCAGGTCCTCCAGCTCGTAGCCCGGCTCGACTGGGTCTGACGAGCTCTGAGGATCCTCTGCCGGCGAGTCGTAGTAAATCGGGCGCGGGGCGTAGAACCTATTCCCCAGCTGCGGACTAGGGGTAGTGAACTCCTTGGATGGCTCTTGCACGACGATGTCTATGCTGGTGGGAAGCTCGGCTTGATTGTTTGCGGGAGTGCTTATTGCGTCCGAAGGATGCAGATTGTGGAATGTTGTTGGTTTCAAATGCTCATATACTCGGGGCGGAGGAGTGGAGTATCGAGGAAGCAGGACCCATGGTTGCTGGGACACGAGGGAGTGTTTCTCATTATCTTGCACTAGAAGCGGAGTGTCGAGCCCGAGAGGTGTGTCTAGAGCAGGATCGATGGTATGGAGTGCCCGGCCATAGATGTCCGGACGTGCGACATTCGAATCAGAGAGGTCGGAGAACTGCGGTCCTCGAGTAGAGAAGGGCGCTGGAGTATCAGCATGTCCGTCAGCGGGCAATGAGAGCAGTTCTTCTGGAAGAGGGAGGTCAGAATGGATCATGACAGCTTGGTCGAGCACGTCAGGTGTATTGAGTTCATCCGGAACCGAGAAAGAGAAGGGATGTTCGAGTTGTTGCTCATCGCGTGCTGATTCACTACGAAAGCTTTCCTGGAGAGCAGGCACACGAGCAGGAGCAGGAGCAGGCACACGAGCAGGATCGGATGTATGCGTCGTAGAATTAGGAACGGAGTGAGTGTTCAAGTCGAGCTGGTTTTCATCTTGTGGTAAAAGTAGACGTAGAGGATGATTGGTGTTGAGCTTCGAAAATGTGGATGCTAGCCATGGAGGGAGAGGCGTCAAATTGTGCAGATTTGTCTGTGGCTAAGCAATCCCTGCTTGTTAGCGAGCAGGAAGGAACGGACACAAGCGAGAGCTCACGAGCGCCTCATTTAGATCTGAAGAGGACGAATCTTGCTGCAGATCCCGTGGTGACACCTCAACGAGTTTCTTCATGCGCTGTTTCTTCGGCTGGTGTGTCGAGCCGCCCATCTTGATCATCGAGAAGTCGGAGCCCAGGCGCTCACCTGCAGTATGGATGTCGTCGTAGTACTCGTCGATAGGAGTGCGCGGGACACTGCTGCCGGAGGTGGACGACGTCGAGTGAGCACGTCTGCGGGTGTGCTGCTTCTTGGGCGAGCGGTGGATGACGTTCATGCTTTCGACCAAACGGTCGAAGCGCGTGTTGAGATTGGAGCGTGCCGACTTGCGTCGCTTGTGAACATGGATATCTTTAGGGACGATGTTATTAGTCGGGAAGCGAAAGTGCACGAATGGAACCTGGTGCGACGGAGGTCGCTGATGGGGCTGCCCCAGGAGCTCTAGAACATGACTAGGAGTCGTAATGGAAGACCTGATGTGGATTTCAGATTACCTCTTGCCTGAAGGGTCAGATTCCTCGAGGAATTCAGAAAACAGTCTTGCGCGTCGGGACATGATGATAAAGTACTGAGCGATTCGGCAATGTGCGTTGATCATATCATACCTGATGCGGGGCCAAAATGACAGGATCACATCGCCACTGACAGTGACGTTGATCAACTTTGACAGAAGCAAGCAGAAACATCATTGTTACAAACTCCTTGTGCATCGTGCAAGGACAACCACATTTGACTTGGAGAATTGGTCGCTAAAGCTATTTCTTACTTTGTCAGCTTGCAAAACAATCTGCTGCAATTTGCATCCATGGTGACATTCACACAATCCTGCTTCTGGTGTTTTGGATCTGATGCTAGAGCCCTTGCATTCATCTCTATGAGGTCAGTTGTATCATTGAAGACTGACCGTGTCTTTGAATCATGATAATGACCTTGGAAACACCATGTTTTGGGCAGCAAGATCCTTACACTGATGGGCAATGCCCTTGACCCTCTCCCCCATGTCCTTGCGCCTACTACACTCCTTTTACATTCTACTTTTGTTTTTCCTCAAGTCCTGGGTCAACTGCAAGCTCTTGAACACCACAATAGACAACAGCAGCCCCAGCTTCACCTTCACCAGCTCATGGAACACAATTACCCCAACTCAGCCATGTAACATCTGCTCCTCCAAACCCAATGCATCTTTGGTCTACCAGGGAACTTGGCATGATGGAAACATACCCACCAGAGCATCACTAACAACCGGATCCTTCACTTTCACTGGTGAGCGGACTGCATGTGGTGCCACCTGATTCTCATACAGGCACCCCAGGTTCTGCTGTGTATATCTTTGGTATCAACCAAAGGACCATCGAGCCTGACATTATGTTCACGCTTGGGAGCACCATGTCTGTGCGCCACCCAGCTGTTGGTGGATTGCCGGTGTTTGTGTATAATGCCCTCTTCTTCTCTGCCACGGGACTGGATGGGTTGCAGTCGCACACTGTGAGCTGGGGCTTGATTGTCATGGATACCTTGATGCCAGTCCAAGTCACGTTGTTCAATTATGCAGTCATGACCAGTGAGGAGCAGTGTAAGGGCAACCTTGAGACCCCAGGGGTTCCCCTGACAAGCAGGACAATCAAGTAGCTTCATTGTCTGCAAATCAACCTGTGTCTACTACCACAATCATCTGCACAGAGTGAGTTTCTGCCATTGCTCAGGTGATTTCTGCTAATGCAAAGATATTCAGGACCATGACACAGACTACGTATACTGCCAGATTTCTTCAATGACTCTGGGCTGATTTTTTCTGCAGGGGGACTGCCTCCAATGCCAGGACATTGTCACGTTTGTAAGTTGCCAATCTCTGTGCCATGGTGGGTAATGCACTCACTCATCGCCAGCAAAAGCATCTCATCAACTTTGTCGAATCATGCATCAGAAGTCGCATTGGTGTCCCCCACTTCTATTCTATCATCCCAGTCCAACACAGGCTCTGCACATGCCATTGGGGCCAGTATTCAAACTGGCACTGGACCTGGAACTGGGACTGTCACATGGGTAAACTTGGTCTTGGTCTGCAGCTGTAACTAATAATGCTAGGAATGGAACAGAGTTGGAGGAGCAACATCAACAACAACTGTTACCCAGCCTGATGCTGCTGCCATCTCTGTAAATCAGCCCACTTGTATCAACAAATTAGCTGCCATTATTGGCTCAGCAGTGGGCGCTGCTGCCCTGTTTGGCCTCTTCACTATCTTTCTATTCCGCCGCCAGCGACGTGCAAGATCCTCCTGACTGCAATCAGAAAAGATTGCATGGTTGCAATTCCTCTGCTTGGAAGACTACCCGTTGCACGCGCTGCAAACAGCCTCGACAGTCAATCATAGCACCGTGACAGTGTCTACCTCAAAGAGACATGGGGCTCTCATTCCATTCATCTGGGTAGTCAGATTGGCTGATCTTGATCCGGGCAGGCATAACTGTGACAGAGGTGGTCGCAACTGATCACGCTGAATGGAATCCTCCGGCAACATCCCCTGAATCAGATCCTGTTGGGACTGGTGTGATAATATTGCACGTTCATGACGGAATTGCGCCTACCATGAGTGATAGTCAAGCGACCAATTTGACTCGTGACTTGCGATTCCTGGAAGAGAGGCTGGGGACCTTGGAGGCGCAGGTGGCTGGCCAATCTCAGCATCCTCCCTACATCCCGGATAGTGATTGAGCTGGGCTCTTGCACTCAAAGCACTGCAGCATATTTGTGTTTTCATATTATTACTCTCCAACTGTTGTAAATCAGCCTCTCAGAATACGACCAGGCAAGGAACATAGGCAGAGTCGAGCCATTACACGTTGTAAACGTGGATTCTGCAGGTCCTCTAGATACGGCTACAATAAAAGCGACAATATATTACGATACAAGTAGTGAAAGCTCAAGACGGTCACATTAATTTCGACTCGCGCTTTGCTTGTTGAACTTGCGCCAGACGCTGACTTCGCAGGGTCATGTGCGTGCCCTGAGTGGGTTTCTTGGCAGCTGCTGTGGTTCCAGCAGCAGGTAAAATGGAAGATTGCGAGAGCGAAATTCGTGTGTCATCCGACGAGAAGCCGGGGATACGTATGTTGTGATTCCGCTCTTCAGAACCAGTTAGCAAGAAGTCCGACATGTAATAACGCAAATACCTAGATGCAGCTGCAAGTCCCGCACTTCCAATGTATCTCCGCCACGGTGCTTTGCCAACCGACACGCAAAGTTGGTCACTGAATCGATGAACTCGTCCGCAATAGACAAGAGAAGCTGTAAACGCCGCGTGAATAGTCACGTCGCGACACGGAGGAAAAGAAAGCCTACATCTTCAACTTCAGGCTCTATTTTGACATTCGGATCAACACTGGCGACCAGATCGTGTATAGTGCGCCGCATGCTGAGATCTCCGGTGGGGTTCTTGCGCGGTTGCGTGCGATGGTCCGCTGTGAACGTGATGGGTATCGGGTCTTCTCGTGCTATCTGCGAAGGCGTGCCCGATATTCGTCCCGCGGCGCTGCCACCCGTTAAAGATGGGCGCTGGTTAGCCCAGGTTGCCGGTCCAGGATTCGTGACGTTCAGAGTCTGGCTAATAGGATACGCAGACGCGTCGGCAGCTGAGGACGACAAGAATGGACTGTTGTCTATTCCAGTATCGGTCTTCAGGGCTGGGTTCAGAGGATCTGGCTGCGTGGCAAGATCAATGGAGGCGAGGCCCCGGGACAGATGCAACGCACTCTAGAAACTCCTTCAGCCGCTTTACGCGCTTGGTACTCTCTGATTTCGTTCAGTTTCTGGTAAAGGGTCAGCTCCGGTGCGTCCAAGGCTGGTATGAGATGTACCTTCAACATGGTATCGTGTGAGATGTTGTAGCTTTTCATGATCTCTTCCAGCTTTTGTTGCATTTGCCCGTTCTTCTCTTTGTCTCCACTGATGGCGGCAAGGAGCTCTTTGAAAAGTTCGGAACTGCTGAAGGCAGGCTGTGATCCTTGTGCCGGCGGCTGTCGAGATGATGAACCTTCCATTGTCGGGGAAAGAGGCTTGACGCGTTTGTTTGTTTGATGCAAACCTGTCAATCTTTCGGCAATCAGATACTACTTTCAAGTTTTCCTCGACCATGGATGTCTCCAGTATAATAGCGTCAAACGCTGCGAAATAGTATGCTCTTTCATAACTTCGTCGTCCCGAGGATCTGATAGCGACCCAGTCAACTGACGACCGTCGAGAAGGAGACCCCGTTGGAAGTTGATGCCGCCTTCCTCACTGTAACGGACCTCAATCCTATTGACGAAGATGGCTACAAGTGCGCACGAAGCCTTTCCCAATTGGATCACTTTTTTCTGATATCGTGCAGATCAAATCTTGAAGAGCATCTTCAAGCACTGGCCCGCGATGGTGTCCAAACCCTTCTGGGCACCTTGTTTTCTCTACCGACCATTCGTTCCGAGGACGGTCCGCTTGCTCAACTGCCCGCCCCAACGACATCTCTCCCCCGTGCAAAGCCCCTTCCAAAACCCAAACCACCAACGAAATGGGAACAATTCGCTGCCGCCAAAGGCATCCAGCACAAGACGCGAGACAAGAAGATCTGGGACGAGGAGCGCCAGGAATGGGTCAATCGCTGGGGTCGCGACGGTAAAAACAAGGAGAAGGAGGAGCAGTGGATCACAGAGGTGCCTCTTAATGCAGGTGTGTGGCATGCACCTCCCAATATCGACACCCTCAAAGTCTGGCCTCAGATGCCGACTTCGATCCTCGAAAAGTGGCTCGCGACGCTCGTAAAGCTCGGGTGGCCAAAAATGAGAAGCAGCGAATCGCCAACGCTGCGCGCGCGAGCGCATCGACATCAACACCTGCCGCTTCTCCGCACACCGGGCGCAAAGGCGAGATCGAACGCACACTGGCTACCTCTCGACTGAGCACGGCGAGCATGGGCAAATTCGATCAGAAACTGCAAGGGGAAAAGAAACTGCGGGGCATCAAGCGCAAGGTATGACTTCGAATTCTTTTTTCACTGTCCGGGTGTCCTCACCAGTCCTCACTATAGTTTGACCCGGCGGAACAATCACTTTCACACGAAAAGGATGCATCTATAGCTTTGATTTCTCGAATGAGCAGTGACGCTAAGAAGATGAGAAGAGATGGGCCGGTTCCTGAGGAGAGCGTGCTTAATGTGCGCAAAGCCGTTCGCCATGCAAGCAAGGGTAGTGGTGGCGCAGCGTTGGGAAGGTCGATGGCAGGTGGCTCTAAGGCTGGCAAGGGACAGAAGCGAGGGAAACGCTGAAACCGATAGCGGATTCGGCGGGCCTCAATGTGAAAACATGTGCGGGATATCGCGTGGCATTCATAATGAGCGACTCGGAAATGCGTACAGATGGTGGATGAATACATGTTTACAGATGGGACAGGGAGAGAAGGGTACTGAACGGACCCAAGGCAAGAACAAGCCCGACCATGGAGGAGAGAAACATACGCCCAGACTGCACTGCGGTCTAGACCTGAGTATCGCTGACGCCTTCTTCCGTGTCCTCGCCCTTCTCGTCCGGATCGAGCCAACTCTCCTCGACCGTTGCCTTGACACGACGCACATACTCCTTCATGTTTTCCCTGTATAGCTGCGCCGCCTCGGCATTGGCAGGGCTATTGGGATTGGGGTCGTGTAACAAGCTCTGGATGGAAGTGAGGATGGCGGCGACATCGTATGTTGGAGACCAGCGATTCTGGAGTATATCCAAGCATAGCTCGCCGTTCGCGTATACATTGGGATGGAACATCCGCGACAGAAACTTGACGGTAGGTGGCTTATTAGGATACGACTCGTCGAATGTCAGCACGAGCTTGAATGTACCGTCTTCGAACGGTGTTTCTGCTGCGAAACGCATTGACATTGGAGTGGCAAGACTGATAACGGGATGCCTCACCTGGTCCAAAGATGACTGCATTCCATAGCATGATGTTGTCTGGGCATGGACTACCCGAGATTCCGCCTGGAGGATCGGTCGAGAGGCGTTTGAAGTCCCGGATGAGACGGCGTCTGCAATTAGTGGACTATGTAGCGGGTTATGTTGGATGATATTGCAAGGAGGAGCGCACATACCATTGTACAACGAGCGGTGAATATGGAGGATGATCAATCGGATGTGGTGGAACGCAAGATGGGTGCAGTGAGGCTGTGTACAGCCTATGCCTGTCAAATGTATTCCTATATCATGTGATCTGCTTACGGCCAAAGCGTCAAAAACGAAGCTTGTCTATCTTTGCAATTGATTCTACTCACTAAGCTCTTCGCTGAGTAACGATGGCCGTCCACTTTCTCGCGCCCTCTTACAACTTCAATACAACGTCATAATTGTGCTCCTGTACTCCGGATTCTTGATCAATCTCCTCAGAGACTCTCCATCCCCCGGTCTTCTCCCTGTGCCGTTCCGGCGATCAGGCTCCGGCGATTGCTCCGCCTCGATCAAGAAACGATCCCCAATTCTGTTCTCTATTCGATCTATTTCTAGTCCCGCCACCATCCCATGGCTTCCTGCAGGGTGCATACAAATATGTTGCATTCTCATTTAGTCGAGATCCGAATGGACTGTTGGCCAAGAGACTGTGTGCTTTCCTCTCCTGAGAAAAAGCGCTATAAAAGCTCGATATGAGCACTGAGAGCAGTCGTCCCCTCGGGCTCTCCAATCCGACGACTTCCAACGCAATGCTCTTCTCTGTCGTCTCTGTCGCGCTGTTCCTCGTCCCCGGTATTCGCGCCTCTCCTTAGTACGAATGGAATACCATCTCGCTACTTTAGGGCTAACGAATGTCGTTCCAGTCCCGATGGTCAAATGGAGGCCCGCCAAACGGCCTGTCCTGCTGGGCAGTATCGCACCAACCCTACGACTTGCTCTCCCTGCCCGGCTGGCAGTTTCTGCAATGGCTCAGGCAATCCCGAAGCTTGTGACAACGGCCGTTATCAACCAAGTGCGTCCTTTGAACCTCCAAGCGAAGCCGGTGTCTTATCTTTACAAGGCACTGGTCAATCGAGTTGCATCGGAACGTCTCCAGGCTACTTCGTGAACACCAGAGGCTCCTCTAGCCAGACGCCATGTCCTCCAGGAAGCTATCAGCCTTGTGAGTATTTGGCTTGATTTTACACTCATGTTACTCTCTCTGACGTCGATCAGATTCGACTCAGGCGTTCTGTTATGGGGCACCATCAGGCCGCTTCCAGGCTCAGTCGGTATAATTTCTGTGTCTCGAACGTACAGCTCACGTGTTTACAGGTCCGGCAAAGCGTTTGTTTGCGGCTCATGCTGTGGCTGGTCAGCTCCGCTCACCAACAACAATGTCCATCCTGTCAAATGCAAAGGATCGAGCCCGAACTCTTGGCCCTCGTCTGGCGATGGTTGCATTTCCGCCCAGACCTCCTGCACAAGAATGGCCCACTGTCATCAGGCTGCTGACGGATCTTGCCGTGAGTCCTGTCTCTGCTCACTATCTGATAATTCTCAAAGACCACAGCCGCTCAAACTTTCTATGGATGAACAGCTCTTGATAACAAACATCAAGGCTAACAAGCTTCCATGTTTCTGGCCTCAAATCTCTTGTACCATCATGTAAATTAACTGTATGTAACTCATTGAATGTACCACTCGAACGGAAAGTCCTGGTGATGACATCTTCCACCACCATCATCACGCATCAATTGTCAATCGCGTGACTCTGTCGCGTCTCTCTCCGTCTCGTCTCCCATGAAGCTGACAGAAAAGATCGCGACTCATGTCGGCCCATCCCCCTTCTACACTCTAGAGTTCTTCCCTCCTCGAACGGATCAAGTTAGTTTATCGGAACGCGCGACAGCTACCCTCCATCTAATCTCGATCTATTGATAGGGTTTCGCGAACCTCTTGACTCGGATTTCTCGACTGGCTTCGCTGAACCCTCTGGCCGTCAGTATTACATGGGGTGCAGGAGGGAGCACGAAGGAGAGGAGTCTAGAGCTAGCAAGCGTGACGCAGTCGGAATATGGTCTGGACACCATTCTGCACTTGACATGCACGAACATGGAGAAGGGAATGATCGATGAAGTTTTGAAAGTGAAGCGCGTCGTGCCATTTCATATTGGTTCTCAGACGGGTTCTACAGGTGGCCAAGGAACGGGGAATCCACAATATTCTTGCTCTACGCGGAGGTCCGTTGATCATATTCGGATGTCGCGTAGCGGTGCTCTTGTTCAACGATTCAAAGATCCTCCAAGAGGCGAGGAGGAATGGATCCCAACCGACCCAAGATTCACGCACGCAACTGATCTGGTCGCGTACATCCGGTCTCTTCCGGAATATGCTTCCTATTTCTGTATTGGTGTCGCTGGTTACCCAGATGGACACACAGGACAGCTGGATGACGAAACCGCAGAGATAGAGTATCTCAAACTCAAAGTTGATGCCGGCGCAGATTACGTCGTCACGCAGCTGTTTTACGACGCCGACGGCTTCTTACAGTGGCAGAACAAGGCTCGTGAAGCAGGGATCAATGTGCCGATTATTCCTGGCGTCATGCCCATCCAGACCTACGCGTCCTTCTTGCGTATGACCAAACTTTGTGGCGCTCGAGTGCCCGACTCGATTTTGGCGGAGTTGGAACCCATTCGGGTATGTTTACCCTGCCCGATCCACAGCCCGCGCTAACGCGCCTCAGAATGATGACCAACTAGTGAAGGATTTCGGAGTCAAGCTGGCGGTGAAGATGATCAAGCGGCTGACAGCGGAAGGCGATGTACCGGGAGTTCATATGTGCACACTCAACTTGGAGAAAAGCGTGCAACGTGTTCTCGAAGGATTGACATGGACCCGTTCCCCAGCCATGATCCCCAACAAACTCATCGAGGTGATTTCACCAGCTTGATGGAAGAATCTTCCTTCACAATCCGTCTAGGAATCGTCGTCGGCAAACGAACTGACAATAACACCATCTACAGCCACTTCATCGGCTACTCTAGGCTTAACAAATATTCCTCAAACCGAGGGAGAAGCTGGCCGTGGCGAACTCAACAACGCCTCTAGTTGGGATGACTTTCCCAACGGCCGATTCGGAGACTTTAAGAGTCCCGCTTATGGAGACACCGGCCTCTGGGGTGGTCCCGCCGTCGGTGTAAGCGAGTAGGCATAACAGTCAAGGGTTCTGCTGATAATATTCAAAAGCACGCCGAGATCATTTCACAGTGCGGGAACCCGCGCACTGTCGAAGACCTGACGGACATATTCCTTGGTCATCTGCATGGCTCACTCCTCGTAACACCATTCTCTCCTGGTCCACTCTCAGCCGAGTCGCACTTGATCCTTCCGCATCTCGAGCGTCTTACTCGTCGAGGGTGGTGGACTGTGGGCTCTCAGCCAGCCGTCGATGGTGCTCCGTCCAATGACCAGATCGTAGGCTGGGGTCCTCGTGCTGGCTACATCTTCCAGAAGGGGTTCGTGGAGTTTTTCTGCACGGCATCAGACGTGGACTTGATCGAAAAGCGTGTGATTGAACGAGGAGAAGGGTGGGTGCATTGGTTTGCAGGTCGTAAAGAGGTGCGCGTCCCCCGCGATTCTTCACTATCGCATGCGCTAACAACGTCAGGGCGACTGTCGTGGGAATGTCCCGGACGGTGCACGGAATGCTGTCACATGGGGTGTCTTTCCCGGACAGGAAGTCGTCCAGACTACAATCATCGAAGAGGAATCGTTCTTGTCATGGAAAGTGCGTACACCCGCAGACGCTACTGGAAGGGGGCCTGACCGCGCGCTAGGATGAAGCATATTCAATTTGGCAAGAATGGGCATCCCTTTTCAACCCCCAATCAGAAGAACGGAAGTTGTTGGAGAAAGTGGGCGAAGAGCGGTGGCTCGTCAGCATAGTCCACCATGACTATCGGAATCCTGAAGCGTTGTGGACGTTCCTCTTCAGTGATCCACCGCTAGCTAGCTAAAGATCGGCATGACGGCGCGGAAGAATATATCGCTGATTTCACACAGTATATACTCCTGGAAAATTCAGTTTCGATACATTAAGCGCTGCAAACCAACGCACTGATCTAGTTGCCTACTTGGCCTCTTCCTCCTCTTTTGGTGGTTCGGCAGCCTCAATAATGTTATAGCAAGGAATTCAAAGGTTAGCGTAGAGAACTCACAGGCTCAGGAGCGGTTTCTGCGGGCTATGGGAGTGTCAGCGCAAGGACACGGGAAGGATCTTGGAAGAAGGCAACTCACGGTAGATGCGACTTCGGGAACAGGAGCATCCGCTTCCTGAAATTGCATTTTCAATATCAAACAAACGTAGGTCGCAAGGTTACACACCACGGCCTGTTCGACGGAAGCCGACACGTCTTCCTCTTTACCCTCATCGTCCTTCATGATAACCGGCTCTGCGGGGGTCTCCGCGACTGGTTCCGGGTCATGTTTCTCGGTGTGCTCAGCATGCGAGTCGTGTCCGTGATGTCCAGCAGCGATTTTAGCCTTGATGGCGAAGGTGTCCTTGAGGAGGTATGCAAGCTATTCCATGAGACGCTGTCAGTAATCCACGAGAATATATTCGGTCGAATTAAGACATACAGAAGGGACGGTGACAGCCAGTGCGCCAGCCTACGCCGTTTAGTACATGGAGATGTGCTGTAGTCGAGGTCACACGCACAATCCAGGGCAAGTCGGAAGAAGCCTTGGGTGCGTGAGAGTCAGCGCTCATGAAGCGCTTGGGAGCGCCGAAGCGGGGGCGGGCAGTGCGCGTAACACGCGCGAAAGCTTGTCTTCCGAGACGAGATGCCATAGTCGTGGTCGAGTTCAAACTGGAGATCACAACCGGGGAACACCGGAAACTGGCGAGCTGCGATGATGTCCATCAATAATTCCAGGCCATCGGTCCAACTCGACACAATTCCTACGAGCCGATACACTATCTGTTCTGCTCCGGCTTTATTCGAACTCATAGGATCCCACTTGGACCGCTACTAGAATGTGCTGAGCGAGGGAAGTGTCGCCATATTTCCCGAATTGACATTCTTCGACCACGGTCGATTTAATCAATCCCTCGCCGGTTCGAGTGTCTCCATTGTGGGGACCACATCTTTGCTCCTGTTGCAGCATGTCCTATGCTCCACCCAAAATGTCTTGTTGGCTTGCGCTTCAACGACCCCAATTTCGGGCGCAGAAAACCTCATATTGTGGTGCTTGTGGATGATGATGTCACCGTGGGGGTATCGTAAAAGGATCTCGCATCCCTCTCCCGCGCTATGCTTCTCCCTAATGGTATGTCTGCTGTGGTCCCTTCATCTGCAGTCCCTGTCACGGTCTCGAACTGATCTGGCACACGGATAGAACGGTGTCCCGGCTGCATATCTCGACAACCCTCGCTGACAGAATGGAAGCCCTGAAAACGCCAACGCGCCGTCCGTATCATCCTGCCGCACCAGCGAAGCGCTCGGAGTGGGCGATGTGGGTGGGAAACGTGCCCAAAGATGCGACTGAAGAAGAGTTGTGGGACCTGTTCACCGGCTCGCGCGACCACGGTGTTCAATCAATGATCCTCCTCTCGCGTACGAAATGCGCGTTCGTCAACTTTGTCTCGGAGGCCCATCTAGCCATTGCCGTCGAACGATTTGATGGGAAGCAGCTTCGCCCGCATTCGCGTCGCGCTCCATTGGTCTGCCGTGTTCGAGGGCGGGAAGAAGACCTCCAGGCGGGCGTGGGCATTCAGCGAGGGATGGGATTGCATAAAGAATGGGTTGATGCACAGCGGTCCCATGGCCACGTTGACCGACTGGATAGCCCGATCTCCGACGCGTCCACATCGTCAAGTTTCCTGCAAACACACTTTCCCCAGCGATTTTTTGTCCTGAAGTCACATTCCAGGCGCGAACTGGACCGTTCCGTGGCCGATGGACTCTGGTCCACCCAGAGTCACAACCGGGGTGTGCTTGAGCAGGCATCTCGTACCGCAGAGGAGACGATTTTGTTCTTCAGCGTGAACAGAAGCGGGGAGTTCTATGGATATGGGCGGTACTCCAATTCGCATCCTACCTAATGGCAACGAGCTGATGGCCGCTGCAGAATGAGGCGCTCGAAGGCGGTCACCAAATCTGCCGATGACCTACCTCCGCACACGAATATTGCTGAAAGGTCTCCGAGTCCAGTCACTCCGGGCCCGACACCTGTCCCACCCGAGATCACCCAGTCGGCGCCCAGTGCTTTGGCAGCGCGTACTGCCGATGTCGAAGAAATGCGCGAAACAGGCCGGGACGTTCCCCCCCAGCATAGTCTTGATCAATTGCTCCGGCGCCCTCGAAAACTCGAGGGCGAGGATGTACAGAAGGTCTCCAATCTCGGGGAAGAGAAAGATGAAGATGAGCCGAGCAATGCGTTCCTCGTCGAGTGGATCTGCGTGGCACCATTGCCCTTCAGATATACAAGACATATCGTCAATCCATGGAATCGAGGACGGGAGGTCAAGATTTCGAGGGACGGGACAGAACTCGAACCTGGGGCAGGTCAAGCCCTTCTCCATGCATGGCGGGCATATACCCAATGATTAGATTGCACGCTTATCTCATGTACCTCGCAGATCTCAAGAGATTGTGGTTTCAACATTTAGTTCCGTTGATGCCAAGAACAGCTTACGAAAATGTCACGATCCAAGCCCTAGACGGTCGACCTGCGCGTCCAGATTCTGGGTCTCCTCCGTCGTAATCCAGCGAGCGTGTTGTTTGGATTCTTACTGTCTCGCGACTACGTCGAGGGCTGAACGTCATCGTCACCTGCTCTTCACGATTGATCGAGGCACTTGCCGCTGGGACATCCAACTACCACCCGCCTTCCCTTCGCTGTCCCCGTCTGAAAAACATCATGAAACGTATCGAGAAGCACCGCAACCACGGGGCCTCTGTCTCCTATGGAGCCTGTTGGCTCCATCGCTGCGTCAGAGATTCTTTGCTTTATCGGTAGAAGGGTGCGTGTCGTCAGATAAGTCGATGGATCGTACTGTGGACCGTTAAACCCCGCTGCAAAAAGTCGGAGTCAGCGCCGACCTCTTTGTTCAGGGGATCGTAGCTGCCTAGATTATGGTCTTCGCATACAATAACGCACGCGACACGCTTAGGATCAGGATTTTCTCTACAGGGCTGTCGTTGACGGCATTGAAAACCATCGAGACACTATACGCGCAGGCGCAGCCTTGGCTCATGAAAGCAAACTGATTTATAAGATATATGGGGCGTTTCTATGGATACAGAGCATCGCGATCTACGGTGACCCACAAACCGCGGTACACTACTGGTCAACAAGCTGGGTGACACAAATAGTCGGAGCGCTGGAGGCCCGCGTATCGTTTTATGTTTCAGTTGTTTCTCTGCCAGAGGCTCTGGGAGCGTTCATGGATCTCCGGTTCCATACCTCTTCTCCTCATCCGCTTAAAAATTGAATTTTAGACGCAGGTCATTTCCCACAACAGTCACTGGTCGTGCTCTTTCACTGATTTTCCCTCGTTGCAAATCTCGTGGCGGTGCGTTTCGATTACCCGAGTCGGAGCACGCGTCCAGTCGGGCAGTGGTATCGCAGGTACGGACTACGGTGTAATTACAATGTATACATCTATGTAAAGTATGTGCGTGCGCCTGGGTGAATTTGTACATCAGTTCAACAGTTGTCGATTTTTTCAATGCCCCTGATCCCACAGTAGACCTGAGTTGGACACGAAAACCAAGCCCATCGCAGCCTGAAACGGGTCTTCCTCCAGCAGCTTTTCGTCCAGCAGGCGGTCGAGGACGTCATCCGCGCTGAGCACAGCCTGCCCTTGCGCCATCAGTCGCTCATTCTCATCATGGATGACACGGAGATGCTTGAGTGCTGTTTCGGTAGGGTCGAACGCATTCATTGAGTGTACATCCAGCTAGAACAGGTCAGAATCAAGGAACCAGGAGTGCAGAGTCCAGTGTTGAGTTTACATTGAGACTATCTTGCTTCGGAGTCGAGTCAGATTGAGACAGTAAGTCTTGCGAGTTTGAATAGGGTGTGTTGGTGTGTATTGCCGAATTTGAGCTAGGAGCAGCGACGAATGAGCTCCATTCGGTGGCGACAGGATCATCATTGGGCAGTAGTGAGAACGAGTGCTGGAAATCAGAACTAGCGCAGCTGAAGTCGAGCCATGGCTGATCAGAGACGACAACAGGGGAAGCGTAGTCGGATGGGGCGGGGGACGCGATAGCAGTGAGGAAAGAATCTCCACGGGGAAAGAGAACATGCTCGGGCGCAGACGTGTAAATCAAAGGGACAGTTGACGTTGATGTCGGTGAAGCTGCGTTGAGCGAGAAAGCAGATGAAGAGGCGAGGATGGTGGGGGTCGAGAGAGGCGCAGGGGAATGATGTTTGGTCGGAGGCGCGAAGGAGTTATCGATAACAGGGAGGGAGGACACCGCAACATGCGGGGCGCGAGCGTCATTTCTGGTGCAACCTACACGTTTGCGATAGCGATGTAGCCATGCCAGAATCCACGGACGCGTCCTATGTGTGTTGCAAGAGGATGCAGAGAGAGAGAGAGCGCAACGTACAATCCTGTCTTCGACAACAGTGCTTCCCAGATGGCGGAGTTCGACGACGCATCGACCCCTCTGTGGAAAGCGTCTTCAAGGACAACGAGCTGCTTCGCGTTGGCACGGACAACTTTGGGCAGAGGACTCAGGGTCAGCAATCAAGGACCAAAGCTGCATACCTTTTCTGCGCACCCTCGGGGCAGGGGACATGATGGTTTAGGATGAGAAGAAGAGTTGCTTACAATCTCAACAGTGACTGATTTGAAGGCCTATGAATGTGAATGTAGGAAGTATTGCTCTCTGGACCTCAACAGGTAATTCAATTCAAAAGAACAAATAACATTTCAGTGAGTACATCTGATGAAGTTATCTACATAGATTCCGACCTCGGCCACAATAAGCAGCTTCACAGGAAGGAAAAGGATTCCAAAAATTGTCGTAAGCAAAAGCAGACGAACGGTTCGGATATAATTTGCAATCAGCAAAAGACCATGGATCGGTGTTAACCTCACTTCCGATGGTACGTGCCCGAGCACAAGAGATAAAGAACCAGCATGTTCGATCATGCGTCTTATACCTGCCACGACGCGCACGGACCAGTCACGTGAAATACACATCACGTGTACTTCTAGCTCATGGGTCGCGGTCCCGCCCCATCACATTGACACTGACAGTGAAAGGAATTTTATGAACAGGTGTCAGTACATGCTAACTAGCCTCTGACTACTCCGACCGTGACTTCGGCCTGACCGGAAGATCCACCCATCCCCAGAGCGGTAGCAACACGATCTCTCACCCAACGCGTGAGCACCAACACATCGTCGTCACCAAGCGTCGGGCTGACATGAACTTCAAGTGTGACAACCATCCCATCCCCATCCTCGAGCCCTCCATCAGCGGCCAGCTGCCAGATATGGGCGCGGGAAGATGGAGGACTTGCGGGTGTCTCTCCACATCTCGCATCGCTCGCAGAAATGCCTCCATCCGCCCTGAACGCAGTCCCCGAGCAGGCGCAGTTTGCAACAGGACGGCCCCGAGCACGATACAAGCCCTGTAGGCTGCACTGAATGTCGCAGCACTGGCTGCACCAGCCAGCGCAAGGTCCACCGGCCGGTGCTCGCCCGGGGGAACAACCAGGGCGGTGCCCAAGATCCCCAGCGCGATGAGGAGTGGCGTCGCAGAGTACGGATTCGAAAGAGCACGTGCCAGAGGTGCCGTCGGCTCTGGCCTGAGAAGCGAAGCTGAGGCCGCGGGTTTCGAGCTGAGAAGGTACCGCAAGGGGGGATCCGGTTCCCTGCCAGACTCACCAGCCGCGCATGGCTGTCGAGGATGAAGGCCGTGCCAGCCAACGCACAAAAGGTCGAAAAAGTGGTGATCAGAGGGAACAGGATGCCAGCCACCTCATCACCCGCGTGGTGATGATGTCCGTCGCCAGCATCAGCACTCAGTAGCAGATGTTCCAGCGCTTCTTTGCACACATAGACCGCCGAGAACATCAGATACACTGACTGCGCGAACAGCAGAACCGGGAGAGTCCTGGCCGTCGCATATGGTTTTGAAACGTGAAACCGCAAGTGAGGAATCGCGACGCCTATCGCATCAAAAACGGCCCAGTAGCCCAGTGCCGTCACTGAGAGCGAGCCGCACTGCTGGCCCTGAACCCACAAAGTCGCTCCCAGAAGGAATTGTCCCGTCGCAGTAGCCAGGTACACGGCACGAGGCTGGGCCTGACGCTGGTCGCGAAGCAATGGAGGCTCCGTCTTCCCTGGGACAGAGCTGAGAGAAGCATCTGAAGGAAAGGGGGAGATGGGCATCCATGGTGAGATAGGTGTCGGAGTCGGCTGCGTCACCAGCGTCTGAGAGTCGGTACCCCGCGGCTCGAGAAACGAAAAGAACGTATGAGAGACGGAGTGCTTGTGATGGTGACCACGCCGGCTGGCAGAGGAAGAAGGAGTGATCCCACCGGACTCATTCGCCGATGGCATGGGCATCTCCTCTGGCGGAGGCGTGGTCCCAAACGAAAACCCTGCCCCCAGCGTCGGCCTTATCTCCAGCTCCTGCACTCCGTCTTCGTCAATAGTGGCCTCGGAAACGGAGCCTGGTCGGGGGAAGAACACGGATAGATTCCTCGAGTGAATACGCGAATGTCTCCGGGTGTGGGGTGATATGGGGGGTTTGAGATTGCCGTCTGCGTCGCGGGTCGAGTTTGACGGCGCTGACTGAGAGGTGGGAATACTGTCATTCATCTGGTCTGCGAAAGACGTGCTCGTAGACAGCGGAGAGGGAAGAGAAGGAGAGTACGGGCTGGAAACGGAGCGAGTACGCGAATGATTGTGGGGGAAGTTGTTGCGAAATGGAGAGACCGGAGAGGCATGGAAAGACGTCCGGTAGGGCCCAGCAGAGGATGGTGGTAAGTTCAATCCTGGGTTTCCCGATATGTTCAACGGAAGACCGGAAATGGATTGGTTCCGTTGGTGACCTCGATGAGGTGTAGACTGCACCCTGGTCCGAGAAGGTGGGGGACCCATTGGTATGCTGGGGAAGTCAACTGGTGGGGTCACCACGACAAGAGCATTGTCATCGTCGTCACCGGCGCTCGACCGCCGGCGGTGAATACGACGCGGCGACTCCACACTCATCGTTTGAGACAACGTTCAATAAGTCTGCTCGTGACCTGCCACACCACGTGTCCAGCCGAAGGTGACAGTGACAATATCTTATCTGAAATCTTATCTGTCTTATCTCGACGCTGAGTGATTCTCGACGATGTTTGCTGGCAATAAGTAGGTGATACAGGCATAAATACTAGTACAAATCCGGTGCTGGATATTAAGAATGCTTGGACGGACAGCATAAATCATGTAAGGAGCACTTACAGGATGTACTCTATGTGAATATGCGATCATAACGATTGAGACACGACCAGCCCTCGCGATCTGACAATAACTTAGAGACGAGGATGCAAAGAAATGCATTCCACCACTTACCAAAGTTGTCATTGACGTCACACCCGCATTGTCCTCGAGAGTGAGATGGCTCCTGCGGACAGTGCTGGAACGGGTTGTGGTGATAGCCTGGCAATCAATTGGTCCGAGCTGCGCGACAAAGTGCGTCTCCAACTCACCAATGTCATCGAAGAAGTGCTGCGATGCATGTGTTTAGCTTGTGGATCTCTGTACAAGAAGAATGAGAACGTACGATCTGATCTTTGCGAGCGAAGAGTGCTGCTCCGATGCTAGATGCAAATGAGTTTCATATGGATTGGGAAAACTGGGGTACATACGAATGAACTGGTGCATCACCCCATCGTTCATAGTAAAAGCCTCCTCGTGAGTCCAAGAAATCACTGCAAGTATGTCAGCTCACGCCCCTTCAATGTATGAAGATATGTTACAAGAACTTGGTGTATGCCTCTCCACGCCAGAGATCGAGATCAGCAATTTCGAAGTTGGACCAGAAGTGGCAGTTGTTGTAAGTCAGGCCGCCATCGTCGCTGAGGAAGCCCATGGCGTTTTCCGGCGAGATCAGCTCGGGATACTCCTTGATGAAGTCCCTAACCGTCGCCCAGAGCGTAGGGATCGTTCGCTCGTACTCAGGAAGGGAGATCGTGAAACCGTACTTCTTGCCTCATCTTGCATGAAGAGGAAGGGGTCGTAGTCAAGGTTACAGTAGAAGTTGACGTCGGGCTCGACACGCCAGTAGTACCGGTACTTTTTGAGCAGCTCGTGACGGTAGAAAAATCCGGAGTTAAACCGGCACATATTGCGGTACGGGACGCTACCTACCTCGGCTTCAGCGTGAGTCGTTATTGTTGACACAAAACGTACCGCCATAGATAACATCATGTTCGATCATGTCCTGCCGCGCAGCGGCCGCCTTATTCTCGTCAATCCAATCGGGCTGGAACCAGTGGTCGTGGGGAATTAGCCCGAACTCGACCTTACTATCGGTGAGAGTGCGGACGGTGTTCTTGAAGTGGTCCGTGAATGGTTCTTCATTCAAAAACACGTAGGGATACTTGAACTTTTGATTGAATTTGACTTCGAGCTGCGCGACGCTGCCGCATCTTAATATGCGAGTTCTGCGAATTGGCTAACTGCACGCACCTTCGAATGATGCCATCCAAGTCACCGTTCCTAGCCAGAGATACGATGACGGCGTTTGCTCTTCTCTGAGTAGTGTTGGGCTTCAGATAGAACGTGTCTGGGATGGGAGTCTTATATGGCGGCTCGTGCCAAATCTTGTGACCGGGGACTGTGGTGGAGTTCGAGCTCGACCCTTTGGGAAAGGAGGAAGAAAATTGTTTGGCGATGGATTCCAAAGAGGTCGCTTGGCCGTATCCCTCGTGCGAGAAACTAAGAATGTAATGCATGCCGATCTGTGTGACGAATGAGACGTGTTTTTGGGAAGTGAAACGGAGACAACTGACCAAGACCGCGAACGCAAGGACGCCATACCGCGTCTTGGTCATCATCTTGGGCGAAGGGGAAATGAGCGCGAGACACCGAGATAGCTCTGCTACGCAGTGGACGTGTCTAGTATGAAAGGTGATTTGGTGCTGACGTGAGCGGTCAGTGGCCGGCGACCGGAGCCGTGGCCGGGCGAGGCCCTCAGGCTCCCTCTTCATCAAATGACCAACTTCCAGTCGTCAGGCGCAATTATTGGCTTCAACGTCGGATACGGCTCAAGGATGCGAGCTGCTTGCGAATGTGCCTGACCCCGTTATCGCCTGCGATTCACGGGCAGCGGACATAAGTTCTTGACTAACCACGTATCGGATGCCCCCTCTCTAGGCAAAACCATATCGGCCGAAAGATCTTGACCGAAGCGCTTCTTCGGTTCGACATCTCTTTCTTATCTACTTCGAAATAGGCGCGCCGCTCTAGGAGAGCTGCATATCTTTCCTCCGCGTGCTCCAGCTCCTTGGATCTTCTTCCTGACCACAACCATGATGGAGAACGAGAGAACCGAGGTTCACAGCGTCCACTGGCAAGAGGGACTCTGAAATGTGGGAGCCTCATTCTGACCACCGCTCAGGTTCCGCAGCACAATCTTCCAGATCTTTGTCGTGGGCGCGGTCTTCTTCTGTGTGAGGACGATCTCCCGAATTGAGCTTACTTGGCTGATTATTCTTTAGGCTCCGGTACGCTCGATACATCGGTGCCGACGCGATCTTGAATTTTCTCCATAGGGAATGTACAACGCTCTCAGCTCCCTTGGTGCAGGGGGTCTAGCGACTCCATGGTATGCCAATGCTACCGCGGCGGCTGGTTATGGTAAGATCATCAACAACCGTGTGCATGTTCCGGGAACACTCACACGACAACCCAGTCTTCATGGCCGTTTTGTGCATCACTGGCGGAATCATTGTCAGCAAAATCGGCGTGAAAGCAGCTTTGACGGTGCGTGTAACTGATTCATTTGCTTTCAATCATACTTATGATTAGATCGCGAGCACTGGCGATATCTTGTGAGTCATTACTCGCACTCGCACTAGTGACTATGTTCAACGATTGCATCGCAGATATGCCGGCAGCCTGTATCTCAACTCCAAGAATGGAACGCAGTGGTTTTTGATGCTTGGTGGGCTTCCTCGGTGTATTTCTCTGGCATCATCTGAAGTTGGCAGGCTCTATCATATCCGGCTGCACGGACGGGCTGATGTATGCGGTTGAGGGTCCCATCATCACATGTAAGCACCTGCTCCCTGAGATCAGCAGAGAGATGACGTAGTTTACGCAGCCTATCCTGAGCCTGAGAGACGTGGTCGTATGTTGGCTCTCTGGGTGTTTATGCGAAACGCGGCTCCAGTCATCGGTGCGGTTTCTCTTCTTCGTCTCTTTCAGACGGCTCAAGCTATGCAGGCGGTGCCATCATCTTTGGTTTGAATAACTCCATTGACTCGTCTGGAGCGGTTTCGCTTCGAACGTACCTCGTGATCATTGGGATTATGTGTGCCGGGCCGTTCATCTCCTTCCTCCTGTCAGAACCCGAGAAAGTCCAGCGGAGGGATGGATTCAAGATTGTTCTGCGCAAGGCGGGCTGGGTCCAGACACTGACAGAATGGTGGAATATCGTCTGCTCGCGTGATGTCCGTTCTTGTCTGGACTTCTCTGGCTCTGGCTGACACCGATCTCAGATCCTACTGTTGTGTCCTCTGTTCTTTACCAGCTGGTTCTACGGGTCATACATTGGAACACTTCAAACTCAATACATGAATGTGAGAACTCGGGCGCTATGTGGTGAGTAAGTTATTTTTGTCAGGGAAGATTGGCCTTAAGCGCGATCAGCTTTTGTTATCCCGTTCGGCGACATAGCAGGAGGATTTCTGATTGGATATTTCCTCGATTCGAAGCGACTTTCGGTGAAACAGCGGGCTCGATGGAGTTTCGTGTGTTTGATGATACTGAATTTGGCACTTTGGTTCGCAGCCTCATTTGTCTTATATTTGTCGCTGATGGACTTGAAGGATCTGGACAGCCATTGTTACAAGACAATTGGAACATGAAAAGCCTGTGATCGACTGGACGAGCGGATCCATCTTTGCCAACACGTTCATCCTGTTTATCTTGTTTGACTTGGCGACCATGGCCACACAAACCAGTCTCTACTGGATCATTGGGCAGAGTCTGCATCACTTCGGTTCCTGTGATGTAGTCATCTCATCCATTTTCAGTGTCTGATGACTTCGTCGCTCTCTCATACATGACAGGCACCCTCCGAGGCGTCGAGTGTGCCGGTCAGGCGGTTGCTTACGGCATCAAGTCGAGCAACACTACTAACTGGCTGTCCATCGGGCTCAATGTCGGCCTCAGTGCGTCCTCCTCATCGAGTCTCATGTCGCGTCCTAATTGCCGCAGTTGTCTTCTCTCTGCCGTTTGCATGGGTCGTAATCAGGAAGATCGGGGTCGTACCGTTCACCAAATTTGCTGTGGCAGCGGACACACAGAGCGTATCTGACAAAGATTCCGAAACAGAGAAGGCGCTATGATATCCGTCGAGAGGATTTGAGTAGTCCGATTGATATAAACTACTGACACGATTCCAATACTCATATGCGAGAAGAACAGGTCTTATGTCGGTGATTCCCTCTATGTCCCTGTCGTCCGGCTCCTGGTGAGCATTAAGCGCATCAACTTGGCCTGACCCGGCGAGGGATTTGCGGCAAAACCCAGAACAGAGGTTTCTGATTCCAATCACGATCATGTTTCTGCAAACAGCTTCAAATGCTCTCTTCATGATAGTGCTCACTTGTTGATGACGAGGCGGATGTAGTCTTTCAAGGGTCCATGGCGCGCGTACTGTTCCGCCTTCGACTGGAACGTGGACGACTTCTAGCACTTCTCGAACCCTGCGTGTTTACCTGTATTTACCGCTCAAATACACTGCCGCATTGTGACCTCCAATTTGCGCCTACTTGAGCCGCCATTCGCTGGACGAGACGATTCGCGCATGCCGCCGGAGAAAGATATGGGGGGACCATCAAACCCGACGTGGTACGACCCCAAAGAGAGTGAATGGGATTTCGAACACCCAAAATACTGGAGCGAGGAGGACCAAGAAGTGTTCGTCGGCATTGTGAGTCGCGCCCCGAGTCCTCGAGTGCTGCACTCACGCACGTATCCTAATTTGAAAGAAACAGCGCGACGGCGACGAACCCACAAAACTCGAGACACTGTGTGGCACATACCGCTGGTTCTACGACTTCCCCGAACCGGGCACAACTGAGCCAAACGACATCTCTTACGACAATTCCGACGCATCGCTCCCGCACCCCGGGTACTTGACGATATCAAGCACCGGGAAACGACCGACGCTGAAAAACATCACGGGGACCGTGGTGGTGTTCGGCAAGGAGGCCAAATTCTCTGGGATCAAACGCGCGAAGGACCGCGACAAGAATCACCTGGTAGATAACCACTGGGAGTTTGTGACATTCAAGTGGAAGGAGAGCTATGGGCCGCAGCTGCAAGACGAAGGGAACAGTCTCGTTGCACTGGATGTGATGGACGACGGAGGAGATCCTTTCGTGATGATGCGATGCACGTATCCAGGGCCCTCGGGGCACACGTGGTACCGTGACTTGGCCGCGAAGAAGGAGCGAAGACCAAAAAGACACGGGCTTTCGGACGCGGAGAGAGCTCGGCTGCACATGGAGGTACACTATCCGGAGGTGAGAGCTGCCGCACAAGCTAAAGCGGCAGCGGGCAAGGCCGCCGCTGAATCTTCATCCTCCGAAGAGGAAAGTGACGAAGACAGTAGCTCGGATGAAAATGTAGCTTCCAGAAGGAGGGGATCGCGGCCTGGCAAGCGAAAACAACTCGACTCACTAGGCTCGGACACGGAGAATCGAGGCAGGAAGCGTAAAGCTTGAAAACTTGAGGGGAAATTAAGTAAATACCGGATGGACTGGTGTATTTGGATTGCTCTGCTATCACTTAGAATCTTGCGATACGATTCGAACGCTCTTTTCGGACGCGCCTCTGGACGCGTAGCTACGCGATCATGTGACTCTCTGTTGAAAGAGGACCTGGACGCGCGGGATTCTCACGCATTTAGGAAGTCTTCCCACAAGATGCCCTCTGAACGAAATTCGCTTTGTGATCTCGGAATAGGCCGCAGTACAGGAGTGGTCGATACGTGGAAGTATACACGATTACTCGGCCAGCACTTCGCGCCAGGAGGGACGAGTGCAAGATATTCTGCATCGTGAGCTATCACACCGGTGCCGTTTTCCGCAGGTCTCATGTCAGGAGGAGACTCAAGCACACATGAGCGGTATCCACACTTCCACGTCCACGAATAGATGTCAAAGGGGGCCACAGACGACCTGTCTTGACACACCTCTCTCTAGCGCCGGTTTGCAAGAGACGATCTCAAACGATGCAAAGTCAAATAAACGCAACAATTTTTTTTTCCCTTGTGCGTTCGTCAATCGGGCGTCGTCATCATTTCTGCTGACATCAAGCAGTGAACTTTGAGGGTTCCTAAAACCTCCCCTCGAAGCCTTCGACCCCTGCAGACCGAGACCCCCTCCATATTTTATCACCGGCCGTGTGCAGTGAAACTTTTATTTCTCGAGGGCAGCAGAGGATCTTGTACAGGCAGGGGCATTTGAGTTAGATATGCAGCTAGAGATTAGATTAGATGAACAATCGATGTCATGCGGCATACTTAGCCTCTTGGTCTCGTGGCCAGTGATGTCATTCAAGTTGTGCACACTGCAGACTCGGTGCTTCCGACTTGGAAACGATCTATCAGCTCAGCACTGGCGAGCTTCGGAGTGCTGCATGCACGGCTCCTTCAGAACTTTTGTAAGCGATCTTTGAGCACTGGCTGGCTCTCGGACACCGCACGCTATTGCAATTCCAAGTTCGTGCGCCGCACGCCCACAACATCAAGATCCATCTGGTCGCAGTCACCCCGAGATCCCTTGAAGTCCATGGAATTGGAGGCAAATACAAGCGCAGAGGGAAGGCTGCTCCATTTCGATGCCACTGCACGCAAATGGATTCCCTCGATGGCCCATGTCCCAGGCCAAACCGTGGCAGAGTCACCTCCGCGGCTGTCTCTCTTGTCCTGGAACATCGACTTTGCTGGCTCCCTATTGATCACCCGCTTCAAAGCCGCGCTGGATCACCTCGAGAGCCTTCTTTCCCAACCCTCAGCGCAGCCCACAGTCATCCTACTGCAGGAGGTCGACCAGGACTGCTTCGCGCCCCTTCTGGCACACGACTTCATCCGCACCCGCTACCACGTCACGAACGACGCGTCTCCCCAAAGCTACAGCACGCTGACGCTCGTCCCGAACCCTCTCGCCGCGTACGTTTCCGCCGTGACGCGTGTGCCCTTCGCGCGCGGTTCGGAGACGCGCATGAGTCGTGACTGTCTATACGTCGACTTGGACCTGCACCTGCCGCATGCCGAAGAGCCATCCGCCCTCTTCCGACTGCGGATCGCCAACACCCATCTGGAGTCGCTCCGCGGCTTTGGCGACGCGGCACGCCCCAAACAGCTGGCAAAGATCGCGAAGTTGTTGACGGCGCCAGGGATTGACGGTGGTGTGGTTGCGGGCGACATGAACTGCATCGCCCCAACTGACCAGGATCTGGCCGAGAAAGTCGGTCTCGCGGACGCGTGGGTGAAGAAAGAGGGTGACGAGTCAAACGCTGAAGGAGACGACACAGGCGAGGCGGACGGTCATACCTGGGGCTACCAGCCTAAAAATCGGTTTCCACCGCGCAGGATGGACAAAGTCCTTTTCGCCGGAAACGTAAGCGCTACGATTGTTCAGCGTGTCGGAGTGGGGCTGCGAGTAGAGCGCTACAAAAATCCGGTGTGGGTCAGCGATCATTATGGACTGTTAGCATCATTAGCGTTCAGCCGACCTGCCATTGAGAGCTGATACAGATACATAGACCACGCATATATCCTCTGGTATAAATAGATACAGCAGAGATTGTCTACGAGGAAGCCCGGTCCCAGCTGCCATCACTCCTGTTCGCGGGACTCGCGGCCCCAGATGCCGGCTCGTCTCGATAATGCGATGAAGATCCCGCCTGGGGTTGATCAGTCGGCTGATCCCGATACGCGCCCTCGCGCGCAGTGGAAGTCAACCGCGTCTGCTCATCAGCTTCATCCTCGTCATCCGAGACCTCTCCAAATGCATCATACAGCTCCTTCGTTCGCCCCCCACCGCTCGTCCGACCGGACCTGACGCCACTCATCGGAACGTCATCGCCCTCCGGCAGCGTCGAGTAATTGCGCAACTGTCTCGCCCGGCGACGCCAGAAGAAGATCCCCGCGCCAGCGATGAAGACAGCGACAGCACCGATGGCGACAAAGAACCATGCCTGGCTCTTGACCAGGTTCGACATGTCCGAGAACCAGCCCTCGTCGGCAGTCGGGTGGCTCGACCGAGTGCTCGAGGGGCTGGGCGAGCTCGAGGCAGTCGGAGTAACCGACAACGACGTGCTAAACAACACACTGTCGTCAACGGGCTTGCCTTGTCCAGGGAACGTCGCATTCGTGTTTTCCCCGGCTGCATCCCCGTGATCACCTGGAAGATGCGCAGTCGGTTTCGAGTGTTGCTTTGTCGAGCTGGCGGCCAAGGATGTCGTCGGGTTTGGCCGGGGAGGCGGTACCGCATCGACTAGCGGAGGGAAGATCACATCGTCATCGTCATGGGGAACTTGGAACGGGAAGGCCTTCGATCCATCGACAGCAGAGCCCCAGAACATCATGTTCCAGCCCAAGAAGCTTCCGTTGGTTTGAGACGAAGCAGAGCTTGTCACTTTGATCGTCCAATCTCCATGGGGTTTTCGCCCCAGTGCTTTACAGACATGAAAGTCCACCCAGGATAACCAGTCGTCGCACCATCCCCGTTCCGTTTCCCTGCCAAAACACTGCGGATACCAGTGGGGCTGACGAGCTCGACCTCGACATCACCGCGTCGGCCGTGCTGGATCCACACCTTCACATTCACATGCTCCAACGTCTCAAAGTTGTTCTTCGCGAGCATCTCCTTGGTGATCGTCATCACACTCGTAATCCCGTCCCGCCCGATGTGTTGGCCGCCCGAGTACTGCTCGTAAGCCGCCATCGTCCCGTTTTCGAACTGGATCGCCTTCGTCCGGAACCAGACCTGCGGCTTGACCAGTTTCCAGCTCATGGCTGCTTTGATGTATTCGTATCCATCCAACGCTCCGAATCCGTACTTGTAGGAGTACATCCGACCAGGAAGAGCAGTGGCTTCCCAATCCGGGTCGTCGACATTGATTCTCCGCGCATTCAGCACACAGAGGTGTTGAATGTCTCGCCAGGTCAAGTCGGGTCTACACCACGATCAGATCTGAGCCCCGCCAATCATATGGACCAACACTCACCGGGCTTCTAATGCCAGTGCGAACACACCGACTGCATTCGGTGCAGCTGCCGATGTACCGCCATGAGTGGTGGCACATGCATTCTCGCCCTTGTCCGTGGTGACCTAGCACAGTTTAAAATCAGGAAGACGAGATAAGATGTGTGCGCACAATAGACTTTCCGCTACCCGAGCTGTAAGCGACCACCATGTTCGCTGCACACGGCTCGGAGTAATATGGATGCAGACCCTTCCAGTCGACCGAGGAAACCGTCACAGAATAGATGCTATTTGTGTACCCGTCGAAGTTGCACTGGTCGCCATGCGCGGCACCGTTTCCGCTCGCGAAGACGTAGATGGACCCTTTTCCATTTCGGCCGTTGGTGATCCCGTTGACGATGGCCTTCTTGATGAGGTATCCGGGTGCTTCCATCGCCTTTCCCGTGTCAGGGGGCCCCAGGAGCACGAGTAGATCGACACATTGTTGTAACCGTAGTTGAGCGAGGCGGCTTCGTCCACGTCCGATATGGGCCCCGAGAGAATTCGGACGCCAGCAACGCGGGATTCGTACGCAATACCAACACCACATGCTTTGTTCTTTCCGGCAGCGACCTGGCCGGCACACCGTGTGCCGTGATGGTCGTCAGAGAGTTTGGGGTAGGGCAGTTCGACGTGGTCGTTGAAGTCGTACGAGTCGTCCGCATCCTATTCAGGCATAAGAAAATACGGAAATTGAGCACTAGCCCCAAAGTGAACGCACGAAATTAGCCTTCAGATCCTCGGAAGTGTAGTCCAACCCATCATCTACGAACGACGATATGACGCCCTTCCCGGTCAGCTTCAGAATCTCCCATGCGCCCGTGACATTCATATCGTGGCCCCGCTGGTCGGCGTTGTCGTTCACCAAGTGCCACTGCTGCGTGAACATCGGGTCCTCGATCTTCAGCCGGTCGGCGACAACCTGCGCGGTCCATGCCTCGGGACTGGGGGTGGGAATCGGCGGAGGCGGCGCCCGCTTTTCTCGCTGGCGCAGCGTCTGGCGCGCGAGATAGGGCACGGCCGCAGCGAGCGCCGAGGATCTCCGTCCATGCGCGTCTGCGTCTGGAGCGCCCCGCCGTAGCGCGTTGTACCGCTCGACGACGCGGTCAGGCGCCTCCTGCTCCCCGCGCACCTCGAGCGCGGACTTCTGCGTCCGTGCGAGCCAGTGGTTAGCCAGTTCCCCCGCCTGCTCGACGATCTCGACTCCCAGCGCGGTTGCGACGTCGCTTAGCGGCTCGCCGGACGACGGGTCGTGTTCGAGGACATAGTAGTTATGTGTATCGTAGAATCGCTTCGACGGGCGTGCGGCAGAGACAGTATGGTAGGATGCGTGGTGTAGGAGTAGTCCGAGAAAGAGTGGCCATGGTAGTAACATCGAGGAAGAAATGGGCGGCACAGCCACATGCCTCTCGCGTGGTTCCATGTCGATTCTCCCGTCATCACTTGTCACCTACATCGAGGCCTGGACAGTTGAAGCCTTGGCACTCTCACGTCTAAGTTGCTCGACCAGCAGTAAGTTTAACTTGATCGTAAATCTTTCAAAGCACTGCACAATGCCTTGATTAATATTCCGGACTGGGAACGCGCTCATTAGTAGCGCGACCCTCGGCCGCCTCGCCATCACTGTGATCTATGTAAAACGCGGCCCCGATACTCCTCCCAAAAGCAGCACCCAACTTGACCGGAACAGCGTTGCCAATCTGACGATAGAACTAAACAACAAGGACATTTGAGCGGAATCATCGAAGCTAGCCGCACACACTCACGTCTTTGACCCTGAGACGCGGAACTGTTTCCACCGACTCCAGGACGAAATCGTCCGGAAATCCTTGGCTTCGTTTGGCCTCGAGCACGGTGACAACTCGATTTAGCTGTATGAACGTGTAGGGAATCAAATGGAAGTTGGGCAATGCACACTGAAGGCACATACATTGGGATGAAGAAGACGAGCACCTTTCGAGGATGGATTCACAATTGTCATGGCAGTTGAGAAGTACGACGCTTCGTTGAGACGGCCATAGGACATGCCTCCTTTGAGCTTGTAGTTCAGACTCTTCGGCAGATCTGCTTGGGAGTCAGTAACACAGACAAGTGGCGAATGAGGGGCTTGACCTTCGTAACACGGAAGAGGATTGCTTTTCGATGAAAGCGGGATATGTGCACAGAGGGTCAAAAGACGCGCTGAATAATAGTTCGTGACATGGTCGCGCACTCGCTTGCTTCCGGAAGCACGCAGTGCCTTCTGATACGGGGTTTGAGGAGGGCCTGCGTAGCCCACAGGTTGATGATATCCGATTGGAGGGGCCATCAAAGGCTTCACCGAAGCGTCAAAGGTAACGATGTCAGCATCTTGCTCTTGACGCTGAAATCCAGCCCTACAGAAGAGGTCATTTTTGCTTCACTTGGACCGCGTGTGCGTGGCTCACCATTCCCAGAGTGGCTGAAGTGACCAGGGATAAGCAAAATCTCAATCCATTCAGAAGGACACACACCAAATCAGATATGACATCGCGGACCGTCACTCTGCAGTGGGGCGCATAGCTGTCTTCCTCCACATCTGGACCTGGATCACGCGTCGGCGCGCGCAGAAAAGCCTGATCCTGGTGCGACAGTTTGTACTTGCGTCCTTTGACAAACGTGGTGATCGGAGTCGGGAAACTCGGTAGCTTCGCATCGTTCCGCGCGGCAAGAAAGATCACGCGCTCCCGGTATTGCGGCACACCGTACTGCCCCGCCTGCACGACCTTCGCCTGAACTTGGAATCGCAGAGCGTGGAGGACCCGCATAATGAGCTTGAAGGTGCCCATCGGAATGACTTGCTTCGTTGTGGGTGAGGACAGCTTGTGATACAACAGCCCCGTCACATTCTCCAGGAGGAAATACTTGGGTCGATACACCTCTGCGAGACTGAGCATCACGAAAGGGAGCATAGACCTAGTCGGGACGTCAGCTCATGTCACTAGGCGCAATCATTCTATGCTTTGCCTCTCATCATTATCTCGCTGTGTTCCAATGAGCGATTATGCGGCCACATGAACAATTTCGCGCACCTTGAATCGATTCGCTCCAGAGAAGCTCTGGCAAGGCGGCCCTGGAAAAAGGTTCGACCGCTTCCTAATCAAGTAGCAAATGATAACTGACCACCGCAAAGAAAGTCAACCTGTCCCGGATGAGGGATCAGCTTGTCGTCAATCACCTGACCAGCCTCGGTCCTCAAAGGATCCGGTGATTTGTGGTCACGGCGGTCGACGACATATCTAAGCAACTTTTTAATATCCACACAGAGGACTGCTGAAGCCGTATGATTGGCGCTGGAACTGTCAGTCGGTGCTGGTGTTGGTGTTGGAGTGACGACTGCACGCACGCGAAAGTCTTTGCCGCAGATGCATCGAGTTCGACCGCCCATTTGATCTCGATACCCTTGCCTTCCTCTAGTCCAAGAGACAGGCCACCTGCGCCTAGAAGAAGCGATCGATTCTAGGTTCATCAGATGTGCCAGGAGAAAGCGTACCCGCGAAGACCTCCATCCCCCGCAATTTATGTTTGTCGAAGAAGGTCCGAGTCTTCTGATTATTTTGCTCTTCGTTGTCCAGGCATTCTTCGCATAGAGGTTTTTCAGGGCTGTCTTCACATGCAGCGACGTAAAAGTGCGTGTAGTCCTCTTCAATCCACTCCTCGACTCCAGATAACTGATCGGGTTCAAAGAACTTGACGAAACACTTGGACTCGACTTGTTCGAAATGAATCCACATCGGTTTGTCCTTCGATTTGAGCAAGCCTCTCTGCCAGGCATCAGCAAGAGAAAATACTTCCGAAATAGAACACTACCTCATTGAAGACACGCGAGACAGCACGACGATATCGCTGGATGAGAACTTTCTCCCTCTTCGGGTTTATCTCGAGAATATGCGCAATCAAAAGCAGCTGAGTTTTGTCCGTTTTCTTCGGGTCGTCCGAGCGTTTTTCTGGCTTGATGAAGACAAACTCGTTCAGATGGTATTGGACCAGATAATGTTCAAAGCCGGTGACTACCATCGAATCCTCGGTTCTTGTGAGCAGCTGGGTTGAATCAAACTTGTCGAGGTACTCCTTCCGATGGCAGTTTTTGCATTCCAACGCGTCGTGCTCGCCACGGAGCTCTTCTCTATCCCGTTCCTCAAGTGACTCCAATGAATGGGCAGTGTCGTCATATATAGAACTAGCTCCTTCGATGTCAACGAGATCGCCAGGTGCCATCGCATGACGCACCGGCAAAAGTATACACGAGACGCAGGGTCACTTCTGTCTGGCCACTCCAAGTCATCCGCGTCCAAGATCCTGACTTGCGCCTTTTGGAAAATCGATTGGACAGACAAGTCCGCACATTCGTTTAGATACACCAGTTCTTGACTGTGGGCAAAATCTTGAAAGAAAATCCGACTGCCTGGCCCAGATGAGCTGAGAGGACCACTGGGTGCTGATTTCGAGCTCACTGTGTTGGAACCACTGGCCGTGGAGCATTGTCTCATTATCGTCCTCGTAAAAATAACGAATCACGCAAAACCTGCAACGGCTGTCGGGAACCGCAGACAAAATGACGCGTCAGTCCACACTGACCAATGATCCTGAGCGAACGCGTTGACGCAATAGCTTCTAGATGCTCGCTCGCTGATATGTCTATGTCTGTCGTCGTCATCTCCGCATTTGACAGCAACGATGTCTCCAATCTGGACCTGGGATCAATGCCGGGGAGTGTGGGTCACGCAACAAGACCCACCTTGTAGATGGTGCCGTCTATCTCAGCTTCCGAGAAACGACCCACTCGTCGCAGTCCCCATCGAGTCGGATGAGGTCAGGATTGTCCGGGTGCTCATCCATTTCCTCGGGCTCGAGTTCCGACAAGGTGTCATCTTCGTCACCTACGGAAACCGTTGTGCAAGGCACGAGGGAGTGAACTTGTTTCCAGACCATGGCAGTGAGAGGAGTCTTGATTCCCCCCTTTGTAATGTCCTTGATCACACGTTTGGTCCCTTGAGCAGGGTTTTTCAAGGCGCCAATGTCGACAAGTCCCTCGACCAGTCCGGCCACCAGAGGAGTCCTGAAGAACCGGCATGCAGGCCGGGCTTGACGCTCAGAGAGATAATACAAGACTTGCGTCACATAGAGTCGCTTCAACGCACTTAGCGCGAATGAGGGGGGTTGTGAGGGCGTAACGCACATAAGCTTCACGGTGATCCTTCCCCTGCCATTGGCTCACGTCCAAGTCTGTTTCAGAATCGTTCTGCAAGCAATCCAGAAGAACATCGTTGCAAGCGCGTTGTTTGCGAAGGAAGGAAAGCCATAAGTCCTCGTAGTCCGCCGAGGGTTCGTCCAGTCGATACCAAGCTTCATTGGTTTCGATGTATATGTGCCTAAATTTCTGTCAACAATGCAAGAAAGTATCGCCTTCGTGGACATGCCTATCGAATGTCTCGCTCTCCGAGTCAAAGTGATGCACATTCAGGGAGACGATATGAAGGTCCTTGACGAAAACGCGGACCTCGTCTTCAGCATCTTCCTCCCCATCGTCGATATTCCCGTCATCCACGACCGCGCTCACGATTCCAGATGCCAAGTAGAAGCAGGCTCTGCCAGAGAACACAACTTCCTCCGGAGAAACCGACTGGCCCTCCTCGTCGTACATCCTCATCAGATCTAGTCGGCGGATAGGTATTTCCCGACGGTGACCGCTTGATTCGCCAAGACACTCAGACAGCTCGGCTTCGGTCTTGTTGACGGTCGGAAGATTACTGCCTGTTAAAAGTTGAGTAACAGGTCAACGCGAAACCAAGAATGCAGCACCAGTCGCATCTTCATCCGAGTCATAAGCAGAGTAGGTGGGCGATGTTGGCCGCGTCGATATCCCACTGGCAGATGTGAACGGTGGGTCTGGCTCGGTAGTCGAGAACGTCGGAGACGGTGAGTGAACTCGTGACCGAAATTTCGAGGACGAAGATAGAGGATACGCGTCGGAAAACGTCGGGGAGAGCTGCCGCGGGAATGAGACGACCGAGGGGAGCCTATCGTTAGCGCTCGTCCGCGATTTCTTGCAGGGAGACTCGAGGCGACTCTGAGCACTTGGGTGATATGGAGGATTGGACTTGAGCTCGCGTATTGATGACCCTGTGGGATACGGAGACGGGGGGACCTCTATCCACCAGTCTAGTTCTTTCGTGGCCTGGCTTGTGGGCGAAAGTCTCGTAGAACTCCGTTTCCTCTTATTCGAATGCATGGTGAAGTGGAGGAGAGAGGAAGAAGTATGCGGGCGGACAATGTTCCGAGTCGTAAAGCCTCAGGCCTAGGTAAGGTTACAACATAGTTGATAACTTAGGGAGTACAAGGGTCAGACTGAGGGTAGCGCAGGGCGGACAGCAAGATCGACGAGCACCGCGGACCCGCCATCAGATCAACACATTGAGACTCCGCCAGCGTGTGCTCTGCTCAACTTCCACCATGTCCCTCGCTGTCGCCCAGATCGACCATGACTACGAGAAGGAGAAAGGTCGCGTGAGATCCTGCTCGTCGAACCGTTCTGTTGCTGAAGCACCTATCCAGAAATTATCCACAGGTTCCTCGAAAAATGCGAAGGCCCTCTCGAGGAGGACATCACCAGTGGCTTGGCCGCTGTCCATATCGACGCGGACAATGACGCGACGGATGGCGGGGTCGTACCCCAGAAATATCTCAGGCAGCTGGTACGCTGCTTCTCCGCGCGTTTCGCGCGTTTTGACGCGCCGGCAGATCCGCATCGCCAACCGAGAGCAGCAGATGCTCGTTATCGACCTCGAGGACCTCAGAGCCAGTGTAAGATCATTTCACGAGACTCAAAACGCGTACGGGTTGCTGACACGCGCGAAGACCGACCCTGAGGTCAACGATCTGGTGGACGCAATACTCGAAAATGCTCATCGTTACGTGGTGCTCTTCTCTGAGGCCGTGGACGTGATTTTGAAGGAGCGGGGGCCGACGAAGGACATCAGCGACAAAGACGAGGTCATTGACGTTATCATGCACCAGAGGCGGGAGCGTAACCAACAGATGGACGAGGAAGGGTTTCCGGACGCCGTGCTGCGACGATAGTGTGTCTCACTCCCGCTTTCACTTGACCATCTTTCTCAAACCAGGATAGCAACCTATACTTCAAACCTCTCGAAAGCGACGTCGCACTGGCTGTTCGCGAAGTTCGTAGCACACACATTGGCAACCTCATCACCGTCCGAGGCATCGTGACGCGAGTGTCCGAAGTGAAACCGCTGATTCAAGTCCAAGCATACACATGCGACGTTTGTGGCTCAGAAACCTTCAAGGAAGTTTCTACCAAGTCGTTTATGCCACTCTACGATTGTCCCAACCCGGACCAATGTTTAAAAAACGGCATCACCGGCACCCTCCACCTCCAAACGCGAGCGTGCAGGTTCAGTCCTTTCCAAGAGCTTAAGATTCAAGAAATGGTGAGTCTCATTTCCACTGCTCCTTCTGTTTGCGTGTAATCTTCGCTACCTCCAGGCTGATCAAGTTCCCGTTGGACACATTCCTCGTTCGATGACCGTTCACGTTCACGGAAACCTAACACGCATGATGAATCCTGGCGATGAAGTGCATATCGGCGGCATTTTCCTTCCCATCCCTTACACCGGCTTCCAGGCCATCCGTGCTGGCCTGTTAACGGACACATATCTAGAAGCGCACCACATCCACCAGCAGAAGAAGCAATATAATGAGATGCAGACGACGCCCGAGATCCGCGAGCAGATCGAAGCGCTGCGCACAGATCCCGGATTGTACAACAAACTCGCCCAAAGTATTGCACCCGAAATCTATGGACACAACGACGTCAAGAAGGCGCTGCTCCTGTTGCTCGTGGGCGGCGTCACCAAAGTGACTGCGGACGGGATGAAGATTCGCGGGGACATTAATGTGTGCCTCATGGGCGATCCTGGAGTTGCCAAGTCCCAGCTGCTCAACTACATCTCCAAGATTGCTCCGCGCGGGGTGTATACAACCGGAAAGGGTTCTTCCGGTGTTGGTCTTACTGCTGCAGTTATGAGAGATCCTGTGACGGATGAGATGGTTCTTGGTGCGTTCTGTCGGTATTTTCCTACTCGAACACCGGCCCACGATACCAACAGAGGGCGGTGCCCTTGTTCTGGCCGACAACGGCATTTGCTGTATCGACGAATTTGACAAGATGGAGGAATCCGACCGGACGGCTATCCACGAGGTGATGGAGCAACAGACGATCTCTATCTCCAAAGCAGGCATTTCCACGACACTGAATGCTCGAACGTCGATTCTCGCCGCTGCCAACCCGCTTTACGGACGGTACAACCCGAAAGTATCGCCCGTGGAGAATATCAACCCCGGCGGCGCTGCTGTCCCGATTCGATCTTATGTTTCTGATCTTAGACAAGCCTTCTCGAGACGACGATGAACGGCTGGCGCAGCACGTCACCTATGTCCATATGCACAACAAACACCCGGATCTGGAGAATGATGTGATTGAACCCACCCTGATGAGGTGAATGAATCCCTGTTCATCCTCTTGTAATCTGAAGGCTAAACTCTGTTGTACAGGCACTACATCGCCGGCGCGAGAGAAAAGCGGCCCATCGTGCCTCCTGAAGTGTCGAGTTACGTGGTTGACTCGTACGTTCGACTACGAAAAATGGGCAAAATCGACGACGAGCAAAACCGGTCGCATTCTTACACATCCGCCCGGACGCTTCTTGGGATTCTACGATTGGCGCAGGCCCTGGCACGGCTCCGATGGACGGACAGAGTGGAGCACGCCGACGTCGACGAGGCTTTGCGGCTGATGGAATGCAGCAAACACAGTCTGAACGACGAGGACGAGGTCGAGCAGGGCCCGGACAAATCTGTGGTCAGTCAGATCTACCGACTCATCAAGCAGATGGCGGGTGCTGGTGCCCCAGCCCGCAAGAAGAAGCGGCAAAGTAGGACACGAAGAATGGGCCGCGGGCCGAATCGTGAGCGGGATGTCGATGGCATGGAGACGGACTCGGATGACTCGGACGATGAGTTTGCGGGCGATGCCGAGGAGGTTTCGCTGGTCGACGTTCGAGCGCGTGTGACAACCGCTGGATTCACTGAGGCACAGCTGAATGAAACCATCCTGAAGGTGCGACTGGCCTTACTATCCTTATGTCCTTCCATTAACAACGAATGCAGTACGAGGATCTGGGTGTTTTGATGAGAGTGGCCAATGGATCTAAAATTCGCTTTGTTACTGCTGACTAGATTGTTTGCTTTGTCTGTATTCTATTGTATCTTGTGTTCCAATTCTAAAAGTCAACCTGGAAATGCCTGGGCAACAACTGCGACATGAACCACGCGCGTGCAGCATTGCAATAAGGTGCTGAATCAAAATCACTTGCTCGACTGGCTCGCCTATGTAAAGCCCAGTGGTTGATACAACAATGAGACCAGTGAGTTCTGTATCGGCCGTTTTGCCCTTGAAGTAAGTACTTCATTCATCGGTCCACGTCAGAATCGATTGTTCATCGACTGTTTGGCCTTACTCTGTGAATTTTGCCAAGCACATCACACCAGAGAAGTATTCAAGTCTCCCAGAGGGACAACCGGACTTCCACGGAGTCAATAACGTGCTTTGGACATGCACACTGAGTTCAGGAAACCTAGTGTGATGCTCGAATCATGTGAGCGTGACTCTACGCGAGATGTAGTCCCTGGGTGATCAGCGAATCCGAATGTTAGAAAAGTACGAAAAGATCCTCTTAACAAAACAGGCTCCTCTTGAACTTAATTGCCGGCAATATGCCCCATAAGCCTTGAAACAAGCCTAATACTCGAACATCAGGGTGAGTAATTGGAAGTACAGTGCCCAGGATCCTCTCCAAGCACAAGTTTCATCATTCGACTCTTTTTGTAACATCGCTCGTCCGCCCAGTCCATGCCGGCTCTACAGGCAGAAATAAGTCCCTCTCATTGGTGAGTGCACGCAATACAATCAGCGCACCGATCCGCATCCCGTTTCTTTGCTTCCAAGGGCAGTCGCGAATGGCTATGGGTCGTGTATGAGATGCCTTCGATGATGATCGACGGGCTGCGGTGTACTGGACCCTGGCATGCAGAAACTTGCTCAGCAAATTCTGGATCGGATGCGGCAGGGACAAGTGTCTGATTAGGGACTGCATAGACGTTGCACAATGACGAGCGTGTCCGCCTCCAGACGCTGCACGCCAGTGAGATGAGAACGCAAGCCTCGCCCTGGGATTCAGACACTCACAAAGTCTGCTGGGGACCGTTCTTCATGGTTCGGCACGCGTTTGCCCGCCGAGCGATGGTGGCGGAATAGGTTTGGGGCCAAAAGCGATCCGTCGCGTCGGGGATGAGGTGGGATGGTTTCAACTGCGCACCAGAGCAGGAAACCATGAATTTGTCACGTTGTTCTGCGAGAGAGCAGACTGGACTGGGGTCAAGGACTCTCGACGCCACTGGAGCAGTGATAACACACCTCGTGCATCTGAGTCCCTCGGCACTTTGGTCTTGGAGCGCGACTTTGACTTGACGCGTTGCGGACGTGTTTTGGGCTTGCCCCAGCGATACGAAGAACGAACAATGGGCCGTCGTCTCTTCAAGCTCGGCTCGATTCGAGCAAGCCAATGAGTATCCCGGCGGGTCAACGGCCGCACGGCACCCTTGAGAACCATCTGTGTTCCAACAAACCTCCGCAGGCTCGCGTATAGGCGCCTCTGCACGTCGATGACCTTCAAGTACAGTTTCTCCAACGAATAGTCCACCCGCTCGTAGAACCGCTGAGGGCACGTTTGCGCAAACCGGCGCTGCATCGTGGTCCTGGCCTCGATTTGGAGCGTGGTAAGCTTGTTTCCGATCGGTTTTCGGGCCAGGGAAGATCTGGCGCGAGCACCGGATGCCTTTGCCATCGACGCTTTGGGTCCCAGACCGGGACCAAGTTTCTTGTGCTTCAGGACGACCATGACAGTCCTAGGAGATAGTTTGAGACGTTGGATGGGGCGGTAAAAAGGGTGGAAGCTGACTAGGATGAAATATGGGGGCGAACAATGCATCGAGTCGAAGTGACAATGCGAGCGTCAAAGCGGCCTCTGATACCATCAAGCGCTTTACGCATTGTCCCCCGTTTTCTTGAGCACAGAGAAGAGCATATGGTTGGTTTTATCGTCGCCAGCCCGTCCCCAGCATGGACAGAATACGATGGGAGCCAAAATGCCCCAAGGCCGTAGCCACGAGCTTGGCGAGCTCTCGTGAACTAGGAGCACGTAGTATCACAGACGTTTTCTGTCCAAAGTATACGTCCAATAGTCAGATGTCCTGTCGGTTTGTTCCCTTGAAATCCCGAGAATCAAGACAACTAATCTGCAAGCATTAGAACCAAAGATGTCGCTTCCAGGTCGGAGAACAAAGATATTCAACATTGCATCTGGTTCCTTTGAGTCAATTTCTCTCGAATACTAGGCTCACTTCCTCACTTGAAAAACGCTGCCAGGCACTATCAATTCAGACTCCCTAGCCTGCGAGGAAGTAAAAGCAAGATGCAAGCTGTCGCGATCACATGACTATGGTAAGTGATCCGCGGTACCTCATCGAGGTAGTTGACGCGTTACAACTCCGGCAATATCAAATTACATTGATTATACATACACGTTCAGAGAATACATTTCCTTCGTCGTTCTTCGTCGTACATTCTATTCACTTGATCCACTTGTTATGGGCTTTCTCCTTCTCAGCCTCCTTCTCAGCCCGCTCAGCCTGTTCTTTCTCAATGTCTTCGGTTTTTCGCAAACGAGTGAAAGTGTCTTCTCCCGGCAGAATAGTCATCTCCTTGCCGTAGAGAACCTCTGGCTGTTTCTGAAGAGTGGCACGTTCTTTACGGATGTCGTGCAGCTCGTGGTCAAGAAGGCCGTGGCCACCGACTGGACCCCAGTAGGTAATGCCGGCCAGAGAACCGAGGATACTAGACAATGGTCATCAATAACCGCAAGATCTAGCCATGAGAGGTACGACTCACCAAGTGCCCACGAGGATGGAAAGATAAAAGCGGTACTGCGAGTACCATTTGGGAGCTAACACGGGGATCAATTGATGCCCAAATGCAAATTAGTGGATGACTCACTCCAGCCAGCAACCGTGGCACGCGAGTCTGCCCACCAGAGGGCGGTAAATCCGGCCCACTGAGCGCAGAGAGCCATTGTCGGGTCCATGGCCAGTGTCGGCCACGCATACAGCACGGGGGCCGCGCCCAGAGCGAGTCGTCGCCAGCCGTGGTGGCCACCGAGGCCGGAGAATTCCATGCCCCAATGAAGCGCACCGAGGAAGGAGAGCATGACTGCGCCGTACGTGACTTGCAGGTTGAGAGCCTGGTCGAGGACAGTGATAGCGACGCCCGGGTCGATGCTCGTCGCGCCCAATGTGGCTTCACGAGCAAGGTAGACGGTCGTAGCGGCTGCCCCGATGTACGGAAGACCGCCGGCGAGACCGAATGTCATGACGGACGATGGGACTTCGGAGGCAAGAGAGCCCGTGATAGCGGTCTACAGAGTTAGTTCGTCAGCGCGTCGTCGCACACGATCGCAACGCCGACTCACGAAACTATCGTCTTTAGCCGGGTTAACGCCAGCAATGGCTTTGGCGAGGTCCTTGACGGAGTTTCCAGCCTCTTCTTTCATGTTTTGGCGAGCATGCGACAGAGATTGGCTGCCTGGACCGACGGTGTTGGCCACAGTGCGAAGTGGAATAAGAGGAGTGATGGGGCGGATTTGCAGTCGCTTAGGGGCATGACGCGCTGCCAGGGCGCTGCGAGGCAGAGTGGAAAAACGAAGTGAACGAATGAGGGGGTTCATATTGGATGAGTGTGAGCGGCGCGTGCCGCCATGGATGTCTTATATTCAAGGGTTCCACATTGATGTCATTCCGAGGTCATTCGCGACTCCAAAAAGGAAGGGCTTCTCTTTGGGGACACCGCTCCACTAAGTAACCCTAGTGAACATCAGACAGGGGCATGCCAAATGCCTGCTTACTCGCGTGTGTCAAAGCGGCCTTGAGGGGAGAGAGCATCGTATGCACGTGATCGTCTCCCGCTTACGCGTCAGTAGGCTTGATCGATGACCCTTCGCGATCACGCCTCCGACCTCCGTCAACCATGAGCTGCCCTCATACTTCAGATCTCACCCGGCTTTCTACTCCACGGCTTTCTCAATTTGTCCATCGCGAAGAATGCACCCAGTGCTTCGACAACCAGGTCAGCGTCGTGGCTGGGTGACGACACGCACTGACGCGATGCAGGACGGCCCTCAAGGTGTCGATGTCTGTCTGTTGTGTTTCAATGGAGCGTGTACCGGCGAGCGGAACCACATGCGCATCCACACTCAGAAATCGGGCCATCGGTTCACGTTGAACGTTAAGCGTAGACCCAAACCTACCTCAAAACGGGTCTGTCGCGTGTATTCTGTTCGTTAAGATCGCCTGTCTCAAGTTTCGCAGAATGACGAGGAGCCGCCCGCGAAGATGTCTAAGCTTGCGATTGTGGAGGAGAGAGAGGAGGACAAATACTTCCACACCACCGTTGTGAAATGCTGGAGCTGCGACGCAGAACATGGACGCGACATCCCTGAAGCCACCAACGATCCCGCTGTCAGTATCAGAGGAAGGGTCCTGATCGTGACTCACACACGCTCTAGATCCAATCTCTCGTTGACCAGGTGATGCGTTCGTTGTTCTCTGCGCGTCAATCCGAAGTCAAAGCATGGGAAGAAGAGCTGGAAGCGTGCGAGCACACTCTTTTACTCCAGCACACGAATGTTGGAGCTATTGCTGCTTCGGGTCTCGCACACTGCAATGATTGCGAATTGACTTCTAATCTGTGGCTTTGTCTGACTTGTGGGTCTCTGGGATGTGGACGACAACAATACGGCGGCGTCACCGGTGGGAACGGTCATGGGCTCAAGCATTTTGAGGAGACGAAACATCCGGTGTGCGTGAAGTTAGGGACCATTACTCCTGAGGGTGATGCCGGTAGGTCGAATCAGTCCTGAATGTGTCTGCGCTGATCCGCGAGCAGACATCTACTGTTATTCGTGCAATGATTCTCGACTGGATCCTTCTCTTTCAGATCATCTTGCTGCCTTTGGAATAAACGTGAAGACAGCACAGAAGACGGAGAAAAGTATGACCGAAATGGTGAGCGGGTTTGCATATAATCTATCGACCATGCTCATGCAAATGTCAAGCAAATCGAACATAATTTGAAGTACGACTTTTCTCTCACGTCCGAAGACGGAAAAGCTTTGGAGCCAGTGTTTGGACCAGGATTGACGGGCTTATCCAACTTGGGGAACAGGTGCGAGGGACAGCGTAGCAAGCGTCCTTGTCCGCTCACTGCGAGTTCACAGTTGTTATATGGCTTCCGTTCTTCAAACTGTGTTCT